TGAGGGCTGGGTAAAGAGGGAGTACAAAGGGCGGTCCCAGCCTGGAACTCCAGCGTGTCTGGTGCCATGCCAAGTGCTTGTCCCCTGTCTTGCAGATACACTCTTGGGCTCAGAGATTGCGCAGGTAACAGGGAATGATGTGGACTCGGGACCAGTGCTGTGGTATGTGCTGAGCCCATCTGGGCCCCAGGATCCTTTTAGCGTAGGTCGCTATGGAGGCCGTGTCTCCCTCATGGGCCCTCTGGACTTTGAACAGCGTGACCGCTACCACCTGCAGCTACTGGCACACGATGGGCCTCACCAGGGCCGTGCCAACCTCACAGTGTTTGTGGAGGATGTCAATGATAATGCACCTGCTTTCTCACAGAGCCTCTACCAGGTACTGGTGCCCCTGGATGTTCCCCAACCTGGGCCCAGGGCCGTTCATGTTGGAGGAAAATGATGAGGCTATAGAAGCATCTGGAGTGTGCTGGACATTCAGGGTGGTCTGGGCATGGGCTCTGGGGATGATTACCTCCCATCTCAAACCAGCCTTCCATATCCTGTGTCCAGTTTGAATCCTGTGCCCAGAAATGGGGGAATACAAGTTTTTAAGTCCTGTTAAACGTGGCTAACAGTGTAGGTACAGAATTGTAGCTAGCTGCGCATTTGTGGTTTTATCACTATTATTTGTTTGTTTGAAAACTGATGAGTACGGGCCCCACACCTGAACAGCTACCAGGCCAGGCTTATGGGGCCAAACTGCAGAACATGGACTGAGTGGGCAGCTGGGAAGCTTGGCCATAAACGCTTGTCCTCATATCTCAGGTAACGCTGCTCGAGCACACCCCCCCGGGCAGTGCCATTTTCTCCGTCTCTGCCACTGATCGGGACTCAGGGGCCAACGGTCACATCTCCTACCACCTGGCTTCCCCTGCTGAGGGCTTCAGTGTTGACCCCAACAACGGTGAGTCCTTCCAGGATCTTCTCCCTAATCTTTGACTATGTTGGGCCATATTCTGAGCTCATGCCTAGAATTTCTTGCCCAAACTCTGAACTCCTGCATCTCTGACTGAGATAGGGGAGTTCTTCCCTTGTCTCTTTTAAGTCCTGTCCTGACTGCATGTCTGGATGCCATCCCCCGAGTCCTGGAGGCCATTCCATACCTTCCCTGTGTGTCGGGGTCCTGAAGGGTCACTCCTCTGCTCACCCACAACAGCCTCTGCTGAATGCATGTTTCTCTCTGTTCCTCTCTCAGGGACCTTGTTCACAACAGTGGGAACAGTGGCCTTGGGCCATGAGGGGCCAGGAGTGGTAGATGTGGTGCTGGAAGCACGAGATCACGGGATGCCCGGCCGGGCGGCGCAAGCCACGGTGCATGTGCAGCTGCAGGACCAGAATGACCATGCCCCAAGCTTCACCCTGCCTCATTATCGCGTGGCTGTGACTGAGGATCTGCCCCCCGGTTCCACTCTGCTCACATTGGAGGCCACAGATGCTGACGGGAGCCGGAGCCATGCCACTGTGGACTACAGCATCGTTAGTGGCAACCGGGGCCGAGTTTTCCAGCTGGAACCGCGGCTGGCTGAGACTGGGGAGGGTGGTGGGTTAGGACCCCAGGTGCTGGGCTGCCTGGTGTTGCTTGAACCTCTAGACTTTGAAAGCCTAACCCAGTACAACCTAACTGTGGCTGCAGCTGACCGGGGGCAGCCACCTCGAAGTTCAGCCGTGCCCGTCACAGTCACCGTGCTGGATGTCGACGACAACCCACCTGTCTTCACCCGAGCATCCTACCGCGTGGCGGTACCCGAGGACACGCCTGTGGGAGCTGAGCTGCTGCATGTAGAGGCCTCTGACGCAGACCCGGGCCCACATGGTCTCGTGCGTTTCAAGCTCAGCTCAGGTGACCCTTTAGGGCTCTTTGAGCTGGATGAGGGCTCAGGTGCCTTGCGATTGGCTCAACCCTTGGACTGTGAGAGCCAGGCTCAACACCAGCTTGTCGTGCAGGCTGCTGACCCTGCTGGGACACACTTTGCTCTGGCACCAGTGACCATCGAGGTCCAGGATGTGAATGACCACGGCCCAGCCTTCCCCCTGAGCTTGCTCAGCACCAGCTTGGCTGAGAACCAGCCTCCAGGCACTCTTGTGACCACACTGCATGCAATTGACGGGGATGCCGGGACTTTTGGGAGACTCCGCTACAGCCTGTTGGAGTCTGGGCTGGGGCCCGACGGCCGAGAGGCATTCGCACTGAACAGCTCAACAGGGGAGTTGCGGGCACGAGTGGCCTTTGACTACGAGCACACGGGAAGCTTCCAGCTGCTGGTGGGTGCTGCTGACGCTGGGAATCTCTCAGCCTCAGTCACCGTGTCAGTGCTGGTGACTGGTGAGGACGAGTATGACCCGGTGTTCCTGGCTCCAGCTTTCCATTTCCAAGTGCCAGAAGGTGCCCGGCGCGGCCACAGCCTGGGTCATGTGCAGGCCACAGACGAGGATGGAGGTGCTGATGGCCTGGTGCTCTACTCCCTTGTTACTTCTTCCCCCTATTTTGGTATCAACCAGACTACGGGTGCCCTGTACCTGCGGGTGGACAGTCAGGCACCAGGCAGCGGAACAGGTGCTTCTGGAGGTGGGGGTCGGACCCGGCGTGAGGCACCACGGGAGCTGAGGCTAGAGGTGGTGGCACGGGGCCCTCTGCCCGGTTCCCGGAGTGCCACAGTGCCCGTGACTGTGGATATCACCCACACTGCACTGGGCCTGGCGCCTGACCTCAACCTGCTATTGGTGGGGGCTGTGGCGGCCTCCCTGGGAGTTGTGGTGGTCCTTGCATTGGCAGCCCTGGTTCTCGGGCTGGTGCGGGCGCGTAGCCGCAAGGCTGAGGCGGCACCCGGCCCTATGTCACAGGCAGCACCTCTGCCCAGTGGAACCCTACAGAAGCTGGGCCGAGAGCCACCCAGCCCACCGCCCTCAGAGCATCTGTATCACCAGACTCTCCCCAGCTACGGTGGGCCAGGAGCTGGAGGGCCCTACCCCCGTGGCGGCTCCCTCGACCCTTCACACTCAAGTGGCCGAGGCTCGGCAGAGGCTGCAGAGGATGATGAGATCCGCATGATCAACGAGTTCCCCCGCGTAGCCAGTGTGGCCTCCTCCCTGGCAGCCCGTGGCCCCGACTCAGGCATCCAGCAGGATGCAGATGGACTGAGTGACACATCCTGCGAGCCACCTGCCCCTGACACTTGGTATAAAGGCCGCAAGACAGGGCTGCTGCTGCCAGGTGCAGGAGCCTCTCTGTACCGGGAAGAGGGTCCCACGGCCACGGCCACGGCCTTCCTAGGGGGCTGTGGCCTGAGCCCCGCACCCACTGGGGACTATGGCTTCCCAGCAGATGGCAAGCCATGTGTGGCAGGGGCCCTGACAGCCATTGTGGCTGGCGAGGAGGAACTCCGTGGCAGCTACAACTGGGACTACCTGCTGAGCTGGTGCCCTCAGTTCCAGCCGCTGGCCAGCGTCTTCACAGAGATTGCTCGGCTCAAGGATGAAGCTCGGCCATGCCTCCCTGCTCCCCGTATTGACCCCCCACCCCTCATCACTGCCGTAGCCCACCCAGGAGCCAAGTCTGTGCCACCCAAGCCAGCCAACACAGCTGCAACACGGGCCATCTTTCCACCAGCCTCTCACCGCTCCCCAATCAGTCATGAAGGCTCCCTGTCCTCAGCTGCCATGTCACCCAGCTTCTCCCCATCACTGTCTCCTCTGGCTGCTCGCTCACCCGTTGTCTCACCATTTGGAGTGGCCCAGGGCCCCTCAGCCTCAGCACTCAGCACAGAGTCTGGACTGGAGCCGCCCGATGACACGGAGCTGCACATCTAGCTGTGGCCCAGGCTGGGCCCCGACCTGGGATGCGCACAGTGTCCCCAATGCAGGCCCCATCTGAGCCTGCCCTGGGCAGCCTCGGACCATGATTGGCCACAGGGGAGGCCAGCTCCCCACTCCAAACTCCTCCAGGGGGGCAGGTCCTACTTCTTACCCTGGTCCCATCAGTGCCAGCACTGCAGAGTCCTATTGGGCACTGACCTGTGGCCAGGTCCAGTGAGGGGAGAAATATGAAGGAGCCAGCAGCCCTCAGTTCTCCTCAGTGAGGGCTTCCTGCCCTGTGTCAGCACCCTGAGATGGAGCTCAGACTTTATTTATTGGGGGGTTGGGAAGATGGGGAAAGTCCCTCCAACCTGTATGAGCCCAGCTCCTTTGGGTTCCATTGACACCCCTGCCCCTGCCCAGAACCAAGTGCCAATTCTCACTCTGGAGCCTTAATAAACTGCAGTTTGTATCCAGTGTGTGGCTCTGTTCTGTGGGGGCCGCAGGGACGGTGGGGTGATGGGAAGAGAGCTGACACGTCGTGGGCACCTGAGCGGTCACGGGGTGGGGAGCACAGGCGCACCCAGGATGGGAATGGGAGCGGGAGCTGAGACTGAGAGCAGCTCTCCTCGCAGCTGACCCTGCCCTCTGACAAGGCGGGAGGACGGAGAGGGCAGACGGCAGGGGCCTTGCTGGTGACAATGACGTAGAGAGGGAGTGATTAGGTGGGGAGAGTTCTCCACGGGTAGATTCGAGAGCAGCAAGTGGTTTACCTGTTGGTGCTGGGTCACTACAGAACCATATTGTAACAGGCTCCCGTTGGCGAGCCTTGGCCACATCAGCCTCCCGGCTGAGCCACTGTCTGCTTTATCCCTGGAGATGCGCGCAGAGCCCCGGCCGGCAGAGCACTTGTAACATGTTCTAAATGCAGACACCTCGGCCGCAAGAGGTTGTGACTTCGTGGTAACGAACGGCTGGGAAGAGCAGAGGCCCCTCTTACGCACTCCCCTTCGCCCGGTGGTGACCTGGCTGGACTCAGAGCAGTTCCGGAGCCCGGGCTTACCCAGTACTAGACAAGCCACATCGAGAATCCGCGCGGCCGCCCACCCGCCAGCAGCCCAGCCTTCGGGACCACCCTTTTGAGGGAGGAGCCAGCACGTCAGCAGTTTCCAGGCTGCGGGTGCTGGTGGAATATAGGGCTCATGTGATCCGTCACATGATAGCCGATCTGCAGAAAGGTGGAATGGAACAGCGAGTCTGGTGAGAAATTAGGGGTCCCTGGGCAAAGGGGAGCACTTTGGAGGGAGTACACATCAGAGGGTGGGAACACAGTGACATTCCAGCTCCTGCTGAAACCCACCTGCCACCCCTGCAGCCTCCTAGGGGTCCTGGCCCTTGCTGTTGCCGCCAAATGCAGTTACAGCCCGGAACCCGACCAGCAGCGGACGTGAGTTGACTCAGTACTGACCTCCCCCTTCCCCGTGCCACCCTGCCCCCACACAGCTGGTCCTAGCCCCCCGCACCCCCCTACCAGATCCTAGTACCCACTCCATAGTCTTATCCTCGGGTTCTCAGACTCAGTCCCCTACCACGCTCCCTGGGAGCCACGTCTGCCTTGGGGTCCAACCCAAGGTCTCAGCCCCTCACCGTGACTAATTTTTCCCACCCCCACCCTAACGGTGACCATGTTCCTGACCCCTGGCCCTGCAGGCTACCCCCAGGATGGGTATCCCTGGGCCGTGCAGACCCTCAGGAAGAGCTGAGTCTGACCTTTGCCCTGAGACAGCAGAACCTGGAGCGACTCTCTGAGCTGGTGCAGGCTGTGTCGGATCCTGGTTCTCCTTACTACGGTGCTTGTCGGGAATGGGGGTGGAATTTGAGATGCAGTAGAGGGACACGGAGCTGGGCTAAGCATGGGATGATGCTGCTCATGTGAGGGTCATGCCTGTGAGGGGGTGTTACAGGACAGACAAATGGCCGTGACTCATTGAAGAGTTTCTGTAAAACATTAAACTGGAACTAAATTATCCAAAATTAACTCACATTCTTTTCTCCAAAACTTTCCATCTGTGTTCATCAGACTAAAGCTGCAAGTTCATGTGGTTAAGACACAGACTTAGCGATTCATATTGTGCTCCTACTTTTAATTTTTTATATTTTTTAATATAATTTATTTATTTTACATCTTTGTTTATTTTTGTACAATGTTTGCTTTCTCCTCTCAGGTGTAGTCCCCATAGAATTCCCTCCACCAACTCACCCGTGCACCATCACGAGAGTCCCTTGGGCTCTTCCCACCCGTTTTTATCCCTGCAGAATGTCTGTGATTTATAGTTGCCTGTTCATTCTTTTTTATTTATTGTTACTATTTCTTCCCTGGTCCCTTATTTGGTTCCCCTATATTCCTCCTATAAGTGAAACCATCCAATATTTTTCTTTTTCCTTCTGTCTTATTTCACTGAGCATAATCCCTTCTAGCTCCATGTTGCTGCAAATGGCGTGAGTTTATCTTTTTAGATTGCCTAATAATATTCCATTGTGTGTATATACCATATCTTCTTGATCCAGTCATTTATTTTTCGCCACCACTTTTTATTGGCCACTAAACAAATGGGGAAGTAGAATCTATTATGGGACATACAGCTCAGATTTCTCCCCATCCTCAAATCCATTCTCATTTCCTCCTCTGTCAGATACTGAAACTGGCAGTTCCACTGTTGAAATAGCCGTTGGTATAGTCTGATTCTCACGATACCTACTTGCTCATAACTCAGTTACTCCTCTCACCCAGACTGCTACCCACTGCCCAGCTGGTCTGCAGTCTCTTCTCTCCACTCTACTCCACACTGTATTTTCCACTCTGCTCCAAAACAGTCATCATGTTGCTCCAACAGACAAACTGGGTTTTGTCCTTCTGCTACTTGAAGCCCTCAATGGTTGGGAAGGAGTGTGTGTGTGGGCGGGGGGGTGCGGGGTGTGGGTGGCAGTCTCTGATTCACCCAATAGGTGAGCACTAGGGTACAGGGCCCCATGCAGAAAGATAGCGACTTGGTATCATGTTGAGCTTAAAATCAACAGGTACGAAGATTCGAGTTAAATTAGATGTTATCTTATACTTGGCTCTGTAAGTTTTGAAAATATTTATTGGAAATAAAATTTAAACGGAAATTTTAATTTACTAACCTCATTTGTTTTTCACAATCATGGCCATGCATGCTGTAGCAGCACTTGCAACCTACCAGCCTTTAGGATAAATCCATATTCCTGGCCATGGCATTCCAAGTCTGTCTTCTCCTGGCCCCCAAACAGAGCCTGCACATGCACAGCCCATCTTTTTGCTAGCAAGTTCCTACTCATGGCTCAAGACTCTGCACTGGGAGAAATCTCCCTGGGAAATCTCAATGTGTCTGCGTTGAAGTCCAAAAGGGGCAACTGGGAAAGCAATGAATGAAGGCAAGAGCCTCTTTTGAATCCTTGCAGGAAAATACCTAACCCTAGAGGATGTAGCTGAACTGGTGCAGCCATCACCACTTACCCTCCGCACGGTCCAAAAATGGCTCTTGGCGGCTGGAGCCCGGAACTGTCACTCAGTGATCACACAGGACTTTCTGACTTGCTGGCTCAATGTCCGGTGAGAGGGAATAACTGTTCTGTGGAGGGAACCAGTCATCCCATCAGGGAGACAAGTCACCCAATGGGAGGGAGCTGAGAGCTTGCAGGGCGCTTTTGGGGCAGAGTTAACGCATGGGAGACCACTAACTGCCCGGTGGTGTGCAGGCAGCTCCTCGGCTTTGGGCCATGCTTTCTGATCTCTGTTCTCTGATCTCTGACCTCCAGACAGGCAGAGCTGCTGCTCTCTGGGGCTGAGTTTCATCGCTATGTGGGGGGACCTGCAGAGACCCATGTTGTAAGGTCCCCACATCCCTACCAGCTCCCGAAGGCCTTGGCCCCCCATGTGGACTTTGGTAACACACAGTGGGGTTGGTGGGGGTGGGGGCAGGCAGAGCCAGGGACTGAGAGGTTTAGACGCCATGGGGGTTGGGGTAGTAAAATGAGCGTTGGAGTCTAAAAGGTTCTCCTCTCCAACCCCACAGTGGGGGGGCTGCACCGCTTTCCTCCCACATCATCTCTGAGGCAACGTCCTAAGCCACAGGTGGCAGAGGCTGTTGGCCTGCACCTGGGGGTGACCCCATCCGTGATCCGGGAGCGATACAACTTGACAGCCCAAGATGTGGGCTCTGGTAGCACCAACAACAGCCAAGCCTGTGCCCAGGTGAGCCATCAGAGAGCCCCGGGGTCCTCATCACCTCCCTGAGGTAACCTACCAGCTTGGGGGTCACTCTAACCTAACCCCTGGGCTTTCATTCCCTATCCTACAACCTGGGATGGATCCCGGCCCTGCCCTCAGGGCTGCAGCTGGGCCTCTGACTTCTGCTCTGCCTCGCTCCACAGTTCCTGGAGCAGTATTTCCATAACTCCGACCTGGCAGAATTCATGCGCCTCTTTGGAGGAGGATTTGCACACCAAGCCTCAGTAGCCCATGTGGTGGGGACACAGGGCCGGGGCCGGGCCGGGATCGAGGCCAGCCTGGATGTGGAGTACCTGATGAGCTCTGGCGCCAACATCTCCACCTGGGTCTACAGCAACCCCGGTACTGCCCAGGGGGCTGGCTGGTGGGGAGAGCGGGTGGAGTGAGGGTTGATCCCTGCTCCCTCAAGGGAGTTGCCTGAACGAGGAGATCCTGACAACCCTTAAATGACGGCCCTTGTGCCCCCCTCTTCCCAGGCCGGCACGAGTCACAAGAGCCCTTCCTGCAGTGGCTCCTGCTGCTCAGCAACGAGTCGGCCCTGCCGCACGTGCACACCGTGAGCTACGGCGACGACGAGGACTCCCTCAGCACCGCCTACATGCAGCGGGTCAACACCGAGTTCATGAAGGCTGCGGCTCGGGGTCTGACCCTGCTCTTTGCCTCAGGTGACTCCTACTCTTACACTTGACTCTCCACCCAACCATGCAACCTGGCTGGCCAGTCCCCAGCCTTCCCACCTCCACCCCCCCACACACACACACCTCCCTGCTGCACAGGGGCCCCTGAACCTTACCTCTGACTCATAATCTAAACTCAGGTGGGACCACTGACCTGACCTCTAAACTCTGAACTCTCGCAGTCACACTAAGACTTGAACTCCCTCTCTGACATCTAAATCCAAACACCAAGCTCTGATCAGTTTATCTGAGTGCGACCCTTGGGCTCTCTTCCAGGTGACAGTGGGGCTGGGTGCTGGTCTGTTTCTGGAAGACACCAATTCCGCCCCAGCTTCCCTGCCTCCAGGTAAGCACCTCAGCTGACCCTGACCTGTGACCACCAACCTTTCATCTGTGTCCTCATGATCTGGAAACTCTGCCTCGAAGCCATCAGATCTGCCAGGTGGCTCAGCTCTCAGCTGTAGCTGCCCCGGTTTCTACAGCCCACTCTTCTGCCTGCCGGTCAGGCGCCAAGGCCCTTGAGTAGGACGCAGCTCCCAGTGTTCCCCCTCAGTGCCCAGGCACTTTAGTGGGAGAGCTGATGGGTGCTTTGCAGAGAAAAGTCTGTACAATCATCCCAAGGATAGGCTTCCACAGAGTCCAGCTCTCTCAGCAAGACCTGGGCCACACTCACTCCTCCCCATATATTCTTGAGATCTCCATGGATTCCCCTATCATCTGAATGCTATTTTCTGTCCTCAGTCCCTATGTCACCACGGTGGGAGGCACATCCTTCCAGAATCCTTTCCGAGTCACAAATGAGGTTGTTGACTATATCAGTGGCGGTGGCTTCAGCAATGTGTTTCCGCAGCCTTCATACCAGGTATATCTATGTTTGTATGGCTGAAGCGGGCCGAGTCCCTAGATCAGAAGACTGCTGGCAAGATCACAGACAAGTGTTCTCTTCACAATACCTTTCAGGAGGAAGCTATAACCAAATACCTGAACTCCAGTCCCCATTTGCCACCATCCAGTTACTTCAATGTCACGGGCCGTGCCTACCCAGATGTGGCCGCACTCTCTGATGGCTACTGGGTGGTCAGCAACAGCGTGCCTATTCCATGGGTGTCGGGTACCTCGGTGAGAATCAACCTGGCTCAAACTGCCGCTCAGGAACTACCCTCACCCTTTACCCCCCCAAGACTTTGCACCCCAAACCTCTGACTCCTCAGAGACTTCTGATCCCTTCAAACACCTCTCCCCCAAAGTCCAATCATTTTGAACTCTTAACCTCTATCTGTACTCTCACCCTTGCAGGCCTCTACTCCAGTGTTTGGAGGACTCCTATCCCTGATAAATGAACATAGAATCCTCAATGGCCGCCCCCCTCTTGGCTTCCTCAACCCAAGACTCTACAAGCAGCGTGGGGAAGGACTCTTTGATGTGAGTGTAGTAGGGAGGGGTGTGGACATTTTCATGAGTACAGAATGCTAATATGAACTTGAGGGCAGTTCTGATGGGGTGGGATGGCCTCTAGGATGTGAACACAGGGTAAGAGGGGTATATCCTGCTACTACTGGTATAAGCAGGCCCGGGTCTGAGCTCACTTTCTCCCTAGGTAACCCGTGGCTGCCATGAGTCCTGTTTGAATGAAGAAGTGCAGGGTGAGGGTTTCTGCTCTGGCCCTGGCTGGGATCCTGTGACAGGCTGGGGAACTCCCAACTTCCCAGCTCTGCTGAAGACACTGATCAACCCTTGACCCTTTCCTGCCAAGGGAGTGGGCCTGGCCCATCTCAGCTGTGGCTGGGTCACTTATTCTGCACTGTTGGAAGCCCTGCTGACCCCCAACTACCTGCTGCTGAGAGTTTATCTCCCTAACCCTGAAATGCTGTGAGCTTACCTTCCCTCCCAGCCCTACCCTGCACCAGCACACTCAGGTCTCCCTTACTCCTGCCTCATGTTCCTCTACAGTTACTCTAACTAGTACTATTCGGGAGTTTCCCTGCTCTCTACCCCACTGCTTGTCTTTTCAACCAGGTTTTCCTGGTTGTCTACACTTTGTATAATCTTTTATTTGTTTGCTCCTCAATTCGTTGCAATGATACCTCTGCTCTTACTTTTTTACTCTTCCCTCCTGACACTCAGAAAAAATGGTCTCCCTGCTGTATCACGCAGTGTTCATTTCTCAATCTTTGCTTTCTGAACTATGTCAGAATCCCCACTCCCTCTCCTGCCTTAGCTTCTAAGGTTTAATTTCTCCTTCTCTAGCCAATACCTCTTTCTCCTCTTTGGGTTTTGCACTGAATGTTGGTATACTTTGTTGCTCCACCCTTCGTCTTTTTCATTACTCATTCTGCCCCTGGAACACTGTCCTGTGGAACAAACCAATCACTGGCATCCACAGCCATCACCATCTCACTGCACTGGACTTTTCACCAGATGTGTGATACTCAACGCTTTTCCCTCTTTCCCAATCCCAGTTCTTTTTGGGGGGTTACTTGGTTGGTAAATGATATTTCCCAGAATACTTCTTCCAACCAAGCCAGAAACCGAAGTGTTATTCTAGATAACCATTTCCTTCACCTCTCGCAGCCACCACCTTCAATCACCTTACCAGTCCTACTGGTTTTATCTCTTATTAAATATCTCTCTGTCAATCCACAAGTCCTGACAACTATATTTCCTAAGTATAATCTAGAACTCATCTGCTTCTCTCCATCGCCACTGCTACCACATTAGCATAGCCATATTCTCTCTCCTCTGAAATGTAGGAGGCTCTTACGTGTCCTTACTTCCTGCCCTTTCCCAAGCCACCTTTCAGAATCCCATCAAGTTACTGACATGATTAAGACTGCTAATATTACTGGGCTAATGTTCAGGTTTTTTCTCCTGGCTCACAAACCTGCTCCATTGCTTGCTATTTGTTCTTGAGTAACAAATAATTTAGTCTTCTCTGCTTTTTTTTTTTGCTCAAGATATTCTGTCTCAATACTCACCCTGATTCCCCTTGGCCCAAGTGCCTTCTAGAGTTCAAGTATATAACTCGGAAGTCACCTTCTCTGTGAACCTTTCAGTTCCCTTTAGCGAGTTAATTTTGATACTGCAGAAAGCCAGATTTTTGAAATCAAATCCATTTGACTCTTGGTTCTGCTAAAGACTAGGAGAGAGTCTTGGGCAAGCAAATTAATCTCCTTGAGTCTTCTCATCTTAAATGGGCATATAAATACCTGCTTCTCACAGTAATCAGGGAATAATTAACTGGAATAAAGTTGATGAGGGTACCTGACACACAGAAGTAGGCAGTAAATGCTAGTTCCTTCCGCCCTTGCACTGCACACTGTCTCTACCTCTAGCATCGCACGCAACGCCCATAGAGTATTGAAATTACCAGTTTACCTCCCTTTCCAAGACCGTCGGTGCCTAGAGGACTAGAACCTCGTCCTACGTGACTTTGTATTCCAGACACTAGCTCAAGATTGGCAAATGGGAATTAAATAAATGTTTGCTGGATTGAAAACCCCACGCCTCGGCTCAGTCTCGCGCACGTTTTCTCAGGCTGAAGCGCCCCTGGCCCTGAGCCCTCACTGCGGGCGGCTGGCCGGGAGGGGACTCTGCAGCTTCACCACGAGCACCTGAAAGGTTACACAGGGGAGCCGGAAAGGATGGGGTCCGGCAGGCATCGCGGGGTCGGGGGGACCTGGGTCGATGAGTTTCTGGGCTCAGGGCTCAGTGAGAAGTCCCGGCGCCGCAGGAGAGAGTCCGCGACGCACCGGGCTCCCCTCCCGGGGGCTCCCCTCCCGGGGGACAGCTCCCGTGTCCCCTCCCGACCGGAGGCGGGGCGGGGTAACGGCCGCGACGCTGGCGGCCTCCAAGCCTCGGTCTAATCACCCACCGACACCCGCCAGGGGCGGCCCGCGGGGGCGGAGGCGCCGGCGGGAAGCCAGACAAGGCGTGCACTTGACGTAGGCGGGGCGAGTCGCGAGCGCGTGACGTCAGCCGCGTGTGCGTAGCGCGAGCGGAAGCGGAAGCGGCTCTGTTCGCCGCCTCTCCCACCGGCCCGATGAGCTGCAGCGGCTCCGGCGCGGACCCCGAGGCGGCGCCGGCCTCCGCCGCCTCGGCCCCGGGCCCGGCGCCCGCGGTCTCGGCCCCCGCCGCGCTGCCCGCCGGCGCTGCTGCGGAGAACAAGGCCAGCCCCGCGGGGACAGCAGGGGGGCCTGGGGCTGGAGCCGCGGCAGGGGGCACGGGACCCGTGGCGGCGCGGGCCGGGGAGCCGGCCGAGCGGCGCGGGGCGGGTGAGGGCCGGGACGGGTGAGGGTGAGGGCAGCTCCCCGGGCGCGGGCACAGCGGCGGGCGGGGGCAGAGGGATCGAGGCAGACTTCACGGGGGCCGTGCGTCTCCCGCTGCCGTGCCTCAGTTGGTTGTTTCTCCTCCAGCTCCCGTGTCGGCGGGCGGCGTGGCGCCCCCAGAGGGGGCCATGTCTAACGGGGTTTACGTATTGCCGAGCGCGGCCAACGGAGACGTGAAGCCGGTGGTGTCCAGCACGCCTCTGGTGGACTTCCTCATGCAGCTGGAGGATTACACGCCTACGGTGGGCTTTCCGCCTGAACAAGGCAATTGGCGTGCTGTCACACCAACACCCGGATTTCCAGCATCCTCTTCTTGTATTACTCCCCTACCAGCTCTTGTGATTTATTCCCTTTGCCCTCCCAGACTGCGAGCTTCCTGATAGCCAGGCCTGTCCTCCATTTCCCTCCTCTGTTAGCTCAGCAGTGCACAGGGGCTCCCACTGACAGTTGTCTACTTGATTTCTTAGATCCCAGATGCAGTGACTGGCTACTACCTGAACCGTGCTGGCTTTGAGGCCTCTGACCCACGCATGTGAGTAAACTCTGGTTAGGTTAGTTTGGGGTACTTGTATTGAGTTTGTTGTCCATCTCTCTCTCATAACAGTTTTTTTCCTCTAGAATTCGGCTCATCTCTCTAGCTGCCCAGAAATTCATCTCAGATATTGCCAACGATGCCCTACAGCACTGCAAAATGAAGGGCACAGCCTCTGGCAGCTCCCGAAGCAAAAGCAAGGTGTGAGGGGAGGCTCATTGAATCAATGTGGGAAGCAATAATTACTTCCCACAGCAGTGGAGGCTTAGTTTATCCTGAAACCCCTTTGGGGAAACTAAGTCTTAGGGGAGGTGAAAGACCTACTCAGGGTCACCCAGCTGGGATTGAAGTCTGGAATTCCTGTGCTCAGCCAGTCCTCTTCCCTCTTCCCTCAGGACCGCAAGTATACTCTAACCATGGAGGACTTGACCCCTGCCCTCAGCGAGTATGGCATCAATGTGAAGAAGCCGCACTACTTCACCTGAGCCACCCAACCTAAATGTACTTGTCTGCCCCCTTGTCCCCACACCAGCCTGTTTTCATAATAAACTTTATTGTGACAGGCAGGGCTGATCTCTCCCATGCTGGGAGACACCGTGTGGCAAGTGACAAAGCTCTGAGCCCAGCCCCTTTTGGGGCCACAGTGGTAGGGATGGGGGCAGGGGATGGACCCCATTGCTGGGGTAGTACCATGACTGGAGACAGGGGAGGCAGCCAGAGGCCTGCTGCTTCGGGGAGGCATACTCCCCTAACTCTGTCCTGACACCTCTGGAGTTTACACAGGACCCTTCAGCCCTACTTGTCCTGCATCTTCTCCAGGATAGGCACAATCATATCAAACTTGGGTCGCTTAGCAGGGTCTTCATTCATGCAGATCTTCATGAGTTTACATACATGGGGGGAAATGCCTGGTGGAATAGTAGGCCGAAGGCCCTCCAGCGCCACCTGTAAACAGAAGGAAAAACAAGGTGGTCTCATGTTGGGAGAGTTCTCTAGCGCTCAGGACAGGATTACTATATATTTAAACAAATGTGGCAAAATCCTAGTCCCACAACATTTGTCACCACCATCATCATTCTCCACAACACAGTATACAGTTAAGCTCTTACCTTCATTCCAATCTCCATGTTGGAGAGGTCGGCAAAGGGTACCTCCCTCGTCACTAGCTCCCACAGAAGCACTGCAAAACTCCACATGTCTGCCGAGCGTCTGTTTGTGTCTTCAGGCTTCTTCTGCAGAGCTGGAGGGATGGGACTTATATATTCCTGCTGCTTATCCTGTCTCTTCCATTACTACTGAACTGACCTTTCTCTACCTCCCAACACGATGCCCTCACTTACCTTCGGGGGCCACCCAGGCAGGTGCATACATGCGCCCAGGGCATTGGAAGGAAAACTTGACGTCAGCCATGCTGATTCGGGCAGTCATGTCCTCGTCAATCTGAGAAAAAGATAGATAAGTGGAAGGAGGTAAGTCCTGTTCTAGTTAGGGCTTCCAAGGATCTGGGCCAGGAGTGACGTGATCTCACCATTACACTACGGCTGTTGAGTGCATGTCGTGGGATGAGGGGCTCTAGTGTGTGTAGAAAGGCCATGCCCCTTGCCATGTCCAGTGCAAACTTCACGGCCTGGCTCTGGTCAACAACAAAATCTAAGGAGATGAAAGTCTTACGTGACCTTCCCATCGAATCCCTTAACCCCAACCCAATGAAATCTGGTATCCCCTACTCACTGGTGCCTTCATGCAGTACATTGTACAGGGATCCATATGGCATCCAATGTGTGATGAGGACTGGGTGAGGAGCAGGTGGAGACTGGCAGGCGCCTAGCACTGGGAGCACATTCGGATGCGAGAAAATCCTGGGAGGGAGAGACAGTATCCCTGGCTGACTCAGCAAAAAAGATCTGGGTGCTGGTTAGGGCTCCATGGGAACAACAGCTTCCAGTTTAAGCCTTGTCCCACCTGAGCCGGGGACATTCCTCGTTGAAGTCCCTGCTCTTCCTTGTACTCCAGTCTCGAACCTTCAGCACCTTCGCAATGATATCATTGCCTTGCCAGCGGCCCTTCCATAACTGAGGGACAGGTAAGGGTTATTAGGCTTTTAGCTGAGGTCAATGCTTTCTTGCCCACTAGCTGGAGGAGAAACTTAAAACAGGTGCACAGCAGGTTAATTTATGGGGTCGTGGGGAGGGAAGGACATAAAGGGTAGGGGTCACCTCTCCAGAGTGATTCTCGTTGAGCTTCCCCATGAAGTTGATCTGTTTGTAGTCAATGCCGGAGTGTTTGTTCAGAGTCCCATTTCCTGAGAGTGTGAGCAGGTCAGGAACCCAGCTTCCCCTAACCCAGCCCCAGGGGCCTAGGATCATCCCCTGTTACCACCCTTCTTCTCATGACTGACTCACGGGGCCGAGTGCGGGTGGTCCCCTTCCAGAATGTGTCCTTGTAAGGAATACGGTTGAGATTCTGGCCCATCTTCTCTGCCCGCTCTGGGGAAGAAAAACAAACAGTCATGCCTGTAAGCTGTGTGGTAGGGAAAGGGGAGAGGAGGAGAGTGGTCAAAGAAAAGGTCACAAGCTGGGGCTGAGGGACAGACCTCGGAGAAGTTCTCTCAGGGGTGCCTTGGCTTTGTCCACGGGCATCTCTCCATACTTGTTACAAATGCTAACAAGTGCCCCACTAGCCACCAGGTCCTGGAGTAAAAAAAATGGTTGTGATGAGGGCCCTTGCTACTTCCACAGTGTTCATAGCCAACCATGAATGCAGATGCAGCACAGTCCTGTGAGTGTCAGCTGCTCACCCACCCTGGGGTTCCAGGCCTGAGTACTCACCTCTGCTACTTGATCTTGGCCCCAAAAGCAGGCATAGTGTAGGGGCACATTCCCATGTTCATTCACTGCATTGATGTCAGCTTTGTACTGTAGCAGCTGGTCCCCATGGCAAAACAGAAGAGGCAAAAGGTAGTCAGGAGAGACAGGTTTGGGGGGCACATCAGGAGGGAGAAGAGTGTCCATACCCTTCAGTACATTATGCCTCACCTCTAGGCATGCCTGACATGGGGGCAGGGGTCATACATACCTTTTGTACAATATCACGGTGTCCATGACTGGCTGCCAGGTGCAGGGGAGTGTCATCCCCGCGGTTCATCACATTGATCCGTGCCCCCCGCATGATCAGCATTTCGACCACAGCAGAGCGGCCCTCTCGACATGCCCAGTGCAAGGGGGAGAAGCCATGATCATCCCTTTGAGAAAGGGGCAGTGGTCACTGAGACAGTGGGAATCTGCCTCTCTGAGACTGATTCTCACCCAAGCTAGTAACCCCAAAGCTGTCCAAGTAAGACCGACGCCTCGGCTTTCAACCCAACTAACCACCATCATGTGAGAGCCCCGATTCACATCTTCCCCACCATCGCCCACCAGCCTTTCTTCCCTGGAGTACCTTCTCATTAAATGGCAGCATTCTCATTCATCTGGTTTCCCCCGTGCCCCTTTTGTGGCATCTGTCCTTTCTGTTTTGCACAGCATGTTTTACCACCACCACCACCACCCCCCACCTCCAAATACAGTACTTGTCACTCTGGATTGTAAAAATCTGTTCATGGGCTGTATTGTCTATTACACTGAAAGCTTCTTGAGAGAATAAATTGACAGGTGTTAAGTAAATGTTGGGGAGGTGTTGGTGTCTTGAAGAACGAAGGTCACAACTTGGGAGAGAAAATAAGCTTATTGTTTGGCTCTAATAGTGAAACGAAGTTCTAAATATGGAATGGAATTAAAATGTTTTGGAAAGGTTTATAATGAAATGGAGAAATGCTTTTGGTAAGTCATTACTGATGAGGCAGATAACAAAGCACCACGTAAAACAAGATTCCTCTACTCAAAACAATCCTGGACACAGAAAAAAAAAATGAGAATAGCTTCTTTTTTTGGGGGGAGAGGGAGAACTACTTTGTTTCTTTTCCATTTTATAAAGTAAAAGAAGTGTACAAAAACCCCAAATCAACTGGGTGAGAGCAGGGCCTGCCTGACAGCCTGGGGCCATAAAAGGAAATTCCCTCCAGTCCTAAACTGCAGATCCAAGGGGTGGAGCAAGGGGCGGTCCATGGTCTCTGCTAGCAGCCTCCGGATGCCTTAGTGCTGTGGTCACTTCCGTGTGGGGGCTCTAGGCGGGGCCTGGAACTAATCAGGGGTCTGACCAAAGCAGGCAACCCAGATCACCCCTACCCAGCAAATGACAGTAGGGGCGTGGCCTTTCCTAATGATTTCCCTCAGCTGCTGCCCTCATCCGCTCACACAGATAGCCAAACACTTTCCAGAAAGATGGGTATCTTCCTTCCTCTACATATCAGTTTTGCCCCCCAACTCTTCAATTTGTGCCCTAACTTGCCAGCATCATACTATGCGTCCCCCGCATCCCCATCAGGCCAGCAGGCTGCCTGCCCCCTGGAGGCCTGAGGGCCTGGACTTATCCCAAAGAAGCCTGCAGAGAATTCACCCCCACTTCACATTCAGCCTGTAGACCCCCATTTGGCATACTAGGCCCCCAAAGCCTATCCCCCCAAAAGGCACCAAAGCCTTCCAGTTTCACTAATGCCACCTCTTCACTTTCTGGTAATAAAGTCTTCCTAGATTCGAGGCCCACTGGACAACATCACCTAGGCCTCCATAGCCCCACTGACAACAGGAACAGTGCTCACTGTCTTTATCAGAGCACCTTTTGAAGAATGAAAAATTTAACAGATAGCTGCAAATTATGAAGGAGCAATAGTATAGCAACTAATGGGAACAGCGAAGTCTGGACAAAGAGAACAGGGGATCCTTCTCTTAAACCTAAATACTAAACTCTCCCAACCTTAAAAAAAATTAAAGTTAAAATCTATCACCTTGATTCAACATCACTACTGCTGCTGTCTCAGCCAACCTTAAAACAACCTGTCTATGGTCACTTTCTCTGTTTCCTCACTATCTATTCAATCTGCCACAAGTCAGTTGCCTAGAGTGCAGGCTCCTGTCTAGTGCCCGGAATAGGAAGTGTTCAATACAACTCCTTCAATGAAAGAACCCAGTGTGGTTCGGTTCTTTTCACCTGTTTTCCTCCTAAACAGCCCTCACAGAAATCAGGTGAACAGTTAGTTGTAAATTCAGTGGTTAAAGTGCTCAAGTTCTTAGATCTCTCACCTGCTCACACTACTCTTGACATTGTCCCCTTCGCTGAAATGTTCATTTCTCTGTGCTTTACTATGTATTTTCCTGTTTCTCCTTCAACCTCCACTTGCTCCTTTTACCTTGTCCCCTGCCTTCTGCATCCTCCACTCTTCTGAGGCACTCTCAACACCTCCACCTTCAGGTATCCTCTATAAACTCTAACAGTATCTTCAAGTCTCTCTCCTGAAATCCAAACCTGCATAACCAACAATCTCAACATTTCCATCTCACCGTCGTGCCACTTTTACGTGTCCAAATTGGAATTCATCATCTGACTTGTCCCTCTCAGTAAAAGGAAGCATTAGTTACCCATGACCAAGCTAGAACTTGGCCTTCCTGACTTCCCACACCAAGTCTCACCAATTCTCCATCCCCCAAATTCCTGGATTCTGATGACTTTTCTTTTCACCTGCCTCCACTCTACTCCAAACCATCACCTCTAGGATAGGCTTGGCAATTGCCTCTCTTCACATCACCACCTGTTCTTCACAGATGACACTTGACATGGACAAACTCATGACTTTACACCCCTGTTCTTAGATATTATTGCTTAAATATCCCTGCATGACCTGGCGGATCCCTGCAGACCTTTCCAGTTTTAGCTCTTGCTTTCTTCACTTGCACCCAGTATTTCAGTCCACAAAAGCCCACTGAGGTCTCCTACCTTGGGGCCATATGGAACTGTGGACAGTTTCCAGGCATTCTCCCCTGCATACCTCGGCTACCAGCTTTTGCCTGTGCCGTTTACTGGGGCTAGAAAGCTCCCTGCAGCCTCTGCCTGTGAAACTTACTCAGCAGTGGAGATTTAGCTCAAACACAGCATCCACGGTGGAGACCCTCTGCCCCCCACAGGCTGCGCGCAGCACGCATCACACCGGGCCGGGCCGGCCGCCCCCAGACGGCAGCGCCACCCCGCAGAGGCGCGTGTCCTCGCCGGCTCCCCACCCGCCCGCGCGGCTCACCCCTGGTTGAGGTCGTTCTCCGTGTTGTCCAGCCACAGGCGAACCGCAACCGCGTTGCCCTCCCGGCACTGGGTGAAAATGTCGTCCATAGCAGCGCCCCGGCTCTGCGGCCCCCGGAGAGAGGAAGCCTGGGGACTGCGGGGGAGCAGGGGAGGGGGTGAGCCCCACGCGCTGCCCCCGCCGCGGGCAGTGTCTCCGCTGGGGGTGGGAGTCCGGGGGCTGAGCCCCCAGGGGGGCTCCGGGGAGGAATTCCGGGCGGCGGTGGGGTCCCCGACTGTGCCCCCGCGCGCGGGAAAGGCGGCTCGGGGCGAGGTCAGCGGTGGCCCAGGGGGGAGAAGCTCGCGCAGGAATGTCGGGGAGCAAGCCCGGGGTCCCCGCCGCGGGCCGAGCCGGGGAGGGGAGGTCCACAGCCTAAGGCGGTGATGGGGTCCAGCGCGGGGAGGAGGGGGCGCGCTCCCCGCCCGGAACTCGGGCCGGGGGTGACGGGCTGGCGGGGCGCGCGTTTTGGGGAGGGGCACGGGTGCTCCCGCACTCACCCGGACGCGGGCTGGAGGCGCTTTCTCCAGGGAAGTCCCGTCCGGCCGCGCCCGCCGCCCGGCCCCGCCCCTGGCCCTCTCCGGCCAGCGCGGGCCTCCGGCGCCCCCCTCCCTCCCTCCCCCCCGGCTCCTCTAGCCGGCCAGCGTCTCCACTCGATGGTCCTGAGGGCGCCGCGCCGGCCGCTCTAGCCGCCTGCGTGTACTCGTTGGTCTCCGGATTTTTTTTTTTTTTTTTTTTTTCCCCCCCCGCTGCCGGCCACAGGCAGGTTGTAGTGGAAACGATTGGCACGTGGAGAGGCGCGGGGACCCCGCGACCTGACCCTCCCACCCACATGTTTGAGGAGCCGGAGTGGGGCGACGAGGCCCCGCTGGTGGTGGCCCTCGGGCCTGTATCGTCTCTGCCTCGGCCCGCTGCAGCTTCACAAACCAAGGTGAGGGACCCGGGGGTGCCGGGGCGCACGGGGGGCCGGTGCTTGGGGGGGGCCCGTGCTTGGGGGGGCCCGTGCTTGGGGGCGCCGGCGGGCGACTGAAGAGTCGGAACTTGCAAAAGGAAATGAAGGCGGCATTGACAGAAAGTTGCTAAGTTGAAGTTCGTGAAGGGAAAGGGGGGTGCTCTTATTTATTTATTTTTTTTTCCCGATTGGAAAAGCACTTCCAAAGGCTCTGGGGCCAGAGAGACCCCGTTAGGGTCACACACGCATAAAATTACCTGTGTGTGCGGCTGGATCTAGAGACGGTACGCCATTGAAGGTGGAGAGGTAGACTGGGAGTTTTGCATATTTTAAAGGGAGAGGGAAGTCGGGGAATTGGCTTTAGCAAGGGAGTGATTTCTTGGGAATTTGCATTTTGAAAAGGTCATTGGTTGCTATGTGGAGGCTGGATTGGACAGCATGAAAAGGGATGGTAGTGAAGGGTTGTCAGTACTGCCTCTTAGAGAGGTAGTGGAGAGCCGTACTGAGAACGTCCAAGGTAAGTGCCTGGCTTAGGATCACCCAGTAGGACTTCAACCCCAAAGTCCTCCCAGACAGTAGACAGTAGACAGTTGGGGGTTACTGTAATTCCTCAGGTTCTTCCTGTCCTTCAGCCAAACTCCAGCCTCCAACCATGGAACCTGCCTACTTTATTTCCTTCTCTTCACCTCCCTAACCCCTTGCTACAATCCAGGTCCCTGGCCTCCCTGGCTGCAGCTTGTCCCGTTCACTTCTTCTGTACACTAGAGCTGTAAGCATCATAAACACACAGTTGTGATCATGTCGTCTTGTTGTAAAAAACCACCTTTTTTTTTTTAAAGATTTATTTATTTATGCATGCAAGAACTGGGGTACAGGCCAGAAGTGTGGGGGTGGGTGAGAGGATTCACCGGAGACAGAGTGGGGAGCAGAACAGGCAGACTGACTGAAATACTCTGCTGAGGGGAGCAGTGGGTGAGACAGGAGAGGTCTGCTGCGCCATGTGGGTCACCTTCCTGGCGGGGGATCGAACTTGTGCTGCAGTGGCTGCGGATAGCTTCATAGTGCTGCATCTCAATCCCTTGCACTGCCAGGGAGGCCCCTTCCTAACTCTTACAGAAAGAAATCAATTAGTTGGAGGCAAAAGCCTGATAATAACATGGTCTCTGGCCGTGGTTCTGTTGTTTGTGGCCTTACACATTCTCCCGAAGACCCCGGTTTTCTCATCTATACAGTGAAGAAAGTGGGGTGGGTGGTTTCTTTGCCCTCCAGCCTCCCAGAGGTTGGGATGGTAACTTGGAAGTTCTTCAGAGCCTGGTGGGCTTCACTCAAGCTGGTCAAGTTGACTGGGATTAATCTAGATGCCTCTGCCAGTGTCAGAATTAGGTTCCCATCTCCCTTCTTATCCTCCAGGCCCCATTCTCCTCACCCGTGGTCACATCCCTTGTTTTTCCTCAGGGTTCCAAGCGCCGCCAGCTCTTGGCCACATTACGGGCTCTGGAAGCAGCATCTCTTCCCCAGCAACCCCCCAGCCTGCCTGGCAGTGACTCTGAGGAAGAAGAGAAAGTGGAAAGGAAGAAGAAACGACTGAAAAAGGCCTCATTTTCCAGTGCCCCTACTGAAGTAGAGGAAAAAAGGAAGAAGAAAAGACAAAAACACAGCCCCCCTGGCAGAGACTCTGAGGAAAAGGAAGTGGAAAGGAAGAAGTGTCGCAATGGTGCTCTTGGCACTGACTCTGCTGAAGATAAAAGAAAGAGGAAATGCCAGAAGCAGCCCCCTTTAAACCCCGCCCAGCACCTGGACTATATTAACCAAACAGGTACTAGTAGATGGGTATTTGTTATTGGGGTGCAGGGAGGGGGGAATCAACTGAGCCTGCATATGACCACCTGCCATTGTTAGGTTTGGGGATTAGGCAGTAAGAAGTGGTGTCACTCAGGCCATAGTCTCTCCCTCAACTACGGCGTATGGCTAGGATGACTTGCCCAGCTTTTGAATTTAGAGCATTTTGCCCTAACCATGCCTTCCCTTCTTCCTCCCTGCAGGACCCACAGCTGAGAAGAGCAGTATTACAAATGACCCGTCCAAGCCAGGCCCTGGGACCAGTTCCCCCGAGCGCCCCCGTACCCTGAGTCGCAAGCAGTGGCGGAACCGACAGAAGAACAAGCGGAGACACAAGAACAAGTTCCGGCCACCTCAGCCACCAGATCAGGCTCCAGCCACAGCCCCTGCAGAGGAGACAGAGGTGCCTCCCGCTCCCAGCCCAGACAGCCGTGAGGCCCGGGCAGGGGCTCTGCGAGCCCGCATGGCACAGAGGCTGGATGGTGCCCGGTTCCGCTACCTTAATGAGCAGCTGTACTCGGGGCCCAGCAGTGCTGCACAGCGCCTCTTCCAGGAAGACCCTGAGGCCTTTCTCCTGTATCACCGTGGCTTCCAGAGCCAAGTCAAGAAGTGGCCGCTACAGCCTGTAGACCGCATTGCCAAGGATCTTCGCCAGCGGTGAGAGGGGGTTGGGCACTGTGAGAAGGGGTGTGGGGCAGTCACGAGCTCAGGCCAGAGCAGTCAGTGATCCCTCCCTTCTGCTCCCAGGCCCGCATCCCTGGTGGTAGCTGACTTTGGCTGTGGGGACTGCCGCCTCGCTTCAAGTATCCGGAATCCTGTGCACTGCTTTGACTTGGCCTCTCTGGACCCCAGAGTTACTGTGTGTGACATGGCGCAGGTAAATCCCTCTGTTCTTCTGTGTATCTGATCTGTGCTCTGGCCCCAACTTCCATGTGCTAATCACTGACATTCCCTCCCACCCACCAGCCTGGTGTCCAGCCCTTGTGTTCAGTGCTGACCTTCTTCTAGCTGCACTGTGTGATTCCTGCAACATTCCCCCCTCCACAGGTGCCTCTGGAGGACGAGTCTGTGGATGTGGCTGTATTCTGCCTTTCACTCATGGGAACCAACATCAGGGACTTCCTGGAGGAGGCAAATCGAGTGCTAAAGCCAGGGTAGGAGACCCCCGGAAGCAGATGCATGTGTATGTCCACATGTATGTGTCTGTGCATTTACACAGAACTTTCTGCCCTTCTTAGGGGACTTCTGAAAGTAGCTGAGGTCAGCAGCCGCTTTGAAGATGTTCGGACCTTTCTGGGGGCTGTGACCAAACTGGGCTTCAAGGTCATCTTCAAGGTGAGGGCCCCTGAAGTGTGTCCCTATTTTTGCCTCACATGTGGTTCTTTTCAGGATAATGGTGTTCAGGAGATCATAGGCATAGGAGCAGATGTTTGCTCTTTGAAGGCACAGCTCTTGGGAGAGCCCCAGGAAGCTTTCTAAGCAGGGCAGGATATGGGTAGAGTTTTTTTTTGAGGAGCTGGGATGAGGATTTGGAGCTCACTGGGTCTTTTCTGCCCCTAGGACCTGACCAACAGCCATTTCTTCTTATTTGACTTTCAAAAGACTGGGCCCCCTCGGGTAGGGCCCAAGGCTCAACTCTCAGGCCTGAAGCTTCAGCCATGTCTCTACAAGCGCAGGTGACCGCTGGACCCCTCTTGTGAAGAGAGGCAAGTGTTAGACTCAAGGCTCAGAACTCTGAAGACTGAGTCTCAGCAGGTGTGAACCAGGACCTTGTGCCACCCTTCCACCAGCCAAGAACACAGTGTCATAAAACCCCTGGCTCAGCTTTAATCTAGTGAAGGCTTCTTGGTTTGGGGTAGCCAAAGAGTAAGAGTTTATTATGCGATCACAGGGGTGTCTGCAAATCGTGGATCCCCTTAGGTGTTGTGGAAACAAGATGAATTGAAAAATCTAGGCTTCTCTGGGTTTGGCTTCTCTTTCCATCTCTCTGGAGTCTCACAGGCTTTCTTTCCTGGCAACTGCGCACCCCTCCTCTGATCTTCCATCTGGTATACCAGTTCTCTCTGCTCACGCAAAGCTTCTGCACTCTCAGCTTCCGTCAGCTGTTACTTCTTGGCTCTGGGGCAACTGGTAGCCACCAATATCCTGGCTCGACACGTCAGTTTGGGCTGCCTCCAGCTTCATTTTTGGAGCGATATGGCCTAAACCACTTCTGACACCCATTGTCTTCTGGGGCCCTATTGTGTGTGTGGCCGAGAGTAGAGATTGTGAAATCATGTAGATCTGCGTTCACATCCTGACCTTCCCCTTAAATGTCACATTCATCACTTGGAAAATGGTAGGATTTCATTCTCCTAGGATTGCTGTGTGGATTGACTGAGGAAATTTATAGCCAGGCCTGGGAACATAGGAGGTGATGAATAAACTGTCACCATGGCTAATATGTGTTGAAAACCTATTGTTCTCCAAAGACCTTCCCTAGGCAGGGTTGGAAGTGGAAGAGTAAAGAATCGGTTTGCTGACTGAGGAGGATTTGGGAGTAGCTCAAGATAGATCTTTCAAAAAGTTCATTTTATAGGATGTTTAGAGTTTCTTGAAAGATTCTGAGCTGTCAGTGAAGGAGATAAGGGAGCTGGATCTCTGTTTATAAATAACAGCTGGCTGAGGCCATGTTTGGGTGGGGGTTGGGACTATTCATTGACAGAAGGATCTGTCTTATTTCTGCCTTGCAGTGGGCCCAGATCAGGTCTACTTGGGGGCTCCACTGGGGAACATTCAGGAAACCTGAGGTATTCGTTCCTAGCCTAGGAATGATAAGCCTGAAGTCTGGCTCCTGCTCTGGAGCTGGGTAAGGGCAGGCGGGGCTCTCTGATCCAGTGGTGGAGCTAGAGAAGTGCTCCCCCTTTTGTGTGGCCCCGCATTCCCAAAATTCACCCTGGCAGGGCATGCATCAGTGTACTTGGTACCCTGCAGGAGAAAAGGAAGTGTGGGGGGAGGGAGAAGAATTTTTCAGTAGGACCATTTGAAGAGGCAAAGAAGGAGACCATAGTTCAAAGAAGCTAGGAGAGTGCCTTAGGAGCTGAGGAGGGCGTTTCCGGAGACCACCCAGAATAAAGCTGCGTCCCTTGGAGTTGAGGCAACTACAGAAAAGGGAATAGCGGGGATTCTCTCTTTAAATATTTGCCAGGCCCACAGGGCACAGAACCACCCAGTTGGGCAAGAACTCTTTTATTCCTTTACTTCTCTGGACTCCAGAGCCATCAGCAAGCTACTGGGTGGAGAGGAGATGAGAAGAGCAGCGAGCTCGCAGATCATCCCCTCTGCCGTGCTCCTTAACTGACACGGCGGAGAGGAGGAAAGATTTAAAGGTACAACAGATGTAGATTATTTATTGTGATATAGGATTAAACATGAGATTGTGTTTGTATCTTGAATGGATCACAAGATTATGAACTAAAAATGAGCTGAAACATCACAGATTTTCTGCAGCTTTCCTCTACTGCAGGCAGAATACCCCCCAAATGTTGAAAGAATTAGGAGGGTTGGTGAGAGACAAGAATAAAGTTGAGTTTGGATAACGATCTATGCCTCATGCTTATTCAGCATCCCTTTTAGAGGTTTATTGCCTCTGCAGTTGCTGGTGTGTTCCAGCTTTCTGTAACACAGTCCAAAGGGAGCACAGTTCTGAAAGAAACAACATGATCTTGGCAGAGACGGCTCAGCTCCAAACTCTCCACCATTGACATAATTGCGCGAAGCCCTTTACAGCTTCTCACAGACAGAAACCCATAATTAGAGCTTTTTATCCTCAGGTTGTCCTTCCCAGGTGACTTCGTAGACTGGCTCCCTAGTTCTCAGATACTCAACTACTGCAGTAACAACGAACCACGTTTCTGGTATAAAATTGCTTCCACTTCTGCCCGCAAAGCAACTCATTTTCCACCCAGCCAAGAGATCTTTTTAAAATGTAAATCAGATTTTTCACTTCCCTGTTTAAAGTCCTTCTCATTGCTCTGAAAACAAAAGACAAATTCTTTCCCAGGCCCTGTGTGATCTCGCCCTGGCCCCCTCTCCAACTGCGTCTTAACACTCCTTCCTCAGAAGGAAACTCCAGCCACACAGACTTTCTTTTCATTCCTCTAGCATTTCAAGCAGGTTCTACTTCTGGGTCTTTATTTGTGTGGCTCCACCTTCCTAAAACTCTTTCCTTGAAGAACTCATTCTCCTCTTGCAGACCTCTACACCAACATCTGTGGAAGAAACTGGCTTGCTGCTCCCCAAAATGGCCTTTAACCTGGACACAAGGTCACATTGCATTTCCCAGCTCCTTGCATCAGGGCGGGGCTGGGTGAGTAGTCCTCACCCCTGGAAAATAAGTAGAAGTGATGTTTCACTGCCAGGCCAAGGCAGTTACAGAGCGGATGAGCCTGCTCCCTGTTTTCCCACCTCTGCCTTCCAGAGTGACCTTGAAGCATAAATTTAGAAGGTGATGGAGTCAGCATAGAGGAAGTCTGGATATCTAAGTCACTGCTTGGAGGAAAGCTGCTTGGCCAAGAACATTCACATTGTTCAAAAAATAAACTGTTGGGTTAAGTTAGTGAGTTTGGGGAGTGTTGCAGTAGTTAGCATTATGTACTCTCACTAACCCAGCTTTTCTGGGCTCCCCAACCACCTTACTCTTTTTTTTCCCCTTCAGTTTTTTTCAGATGCACAGGGTGGGGGTGGGAAGGTACAAGGGGTCAGTTGTATGGTGGGGGCAGGAACTCAACTCTCGGTGGCGGTCCACTTTACTCTTGATCACTGGACCTTTTTGGTTTCCCTATGGATGCTTCAAGCAGTTAATTATCTTACCAGGTGCTAGTCAACAACACTTCTCACTTGTCCTATGAACTTGAATTTTAACTAGGGGCGGGGCTGGGGGGATGCTCACTAGGAAGTTGAAGAACTCATTTTGTCAGTTGCACTTTGTGACCAAAAAAAAAAGTTCCACTAGAAAATGTCTTAAATGTTTTTTCTGATATAACTGGAAACTTGAAGGTAGGTGGCTGTTGGCATTGGTCCAGGAATTCAAGGATGTTCACAATTGCATCTCCGATTCTCTTGGCCTCTTGATTCTCACAGTCAGAAGAGTATGTGTTCTTGGTTAATCGGAGACACCCTATTTACCATTAGACTTCTGGGGAGTCTCACAGGTTGTAAGAGCCCCTATATTTTTTGCCTTATTTCAGAGCTGCTTTTACATTGTTAATATTCTGGTACAAATGTGTCCCATTGCTCTCTCTGACATGGCTGAGACTAATCTAAAATATATTTGTCTTCTCCACCTCTCTTATATTTCAGCAACTCATCTAATTCAAAACTGTTTCCTCCTTCCAGCTTGGTGGGTTGGGGAACATGGTCTGTTTCTTTCTCTTACTCTTTACTTCCTAAGTCACTTCTGAGATTGGGGCATATACTTCTGTTTCGTTTCCATCAGGTGTTCTAATAAGTTCATTCTTTTTTAAAAATTTATTTTATATATTTTTTACATCATTTTTCATTTTTGCACAATGTATGTATGCATTATCATCTTGGTAATAGTCCCCATATAATTCCCACCCCACCCCTTATTTTGACCCTAATCCCTCCTAGCCCCCCCGACATCCCCCCCACCGTAGTCTGTCTCTGATTTATAGTTGCTTGTTGATTTTGATTTTTACTTTATTATAATTAGTCTTTTTCCTGGTCCCTTATTTAGGTTTTCTAAATTCCTGCTATGAGTGAGACCATCCAGTTTTCTTTTTCTTTCTGGCTTATTTCGCTGAGCATGATCCCTTCCAGCGCCATCCATGTTGCTGCAAATGGCATGAGTTTATCTTTTTTGAATGCTGAGTAATATTCCATGGTGTATATGTACCACATCTTCTTGATCCAGTCATCTATTTTGGGGCATTTGGGTTGTTTCCATAGCTTAGCTATTGTAAATAGTGCTGCTGTAAACATAGAGGTGCAGGTATCCTTTTGAATTAATGTTTCTGAGACATTGTTCATTCTTGTGGGCTGTATTGGGGCATTTTGGAGCCCCTGGTAAGGATTTACGCCAGTAACTGGCTTTGGCTCCCTCCTTGTGACATACAACCCACACTTTCCCTCAGCTCCTCAAATCTGGACCCTGACAGTGTATTCACAGCCTCCTAATGCTATACAGTCCCTCACCCCGGCAGGCAGCCAGGGAGGGGTCCCAACAGAGCTCATTAGGAACTCATGCATGTTTGTCCTGCCAATAGTGAGAGCACAGGCCACTCCTCTCCCCTCACCCCTGTCCCAGCCCATTCGATTCTGTCTTCTCCAGATGAGAAGTGCCAGCCAGTTCACAGGGCTCCCAACCCTCACAAGTGATTCTGACTGTGTTCTCCCCAGCGGCCACAAGGAGGTGGGTTTCTAAGTTTCTGAGCGCAGCATGCTGCCAGCCAGAGGTTATACAGCTGAATGAAGGTACCATCTTTTTCTCCTGGAAACACAAAATGATTATAAAAGGTTCTGCTGGAGCCCTCTCACTTGATTTAGGATAGAGGAAACGGCATAGCATTGTTCTTTACCTTTCAAGGAGACATTTACTATTTTTTAAAGACTTGGAAATGAGAACTTTTAAATTTTCATATAATCATTTCATTCATTTTCTGCTGTTTGTGTGTGTGTGTGTGTGTGTGTGTGTGTGTGTGTGTGTACGCATCTCTGCAGTCTGCATTTTAGGTTTTAACGTTCTCCCTGTAGAGACCACAATAGAATTGGACAAGTTCCCAGGAGTCTGTGTATTAGTCGTCCCTGACCGGCCTGGCCCCTTGGATACATGACTAACACCAGACCCAGCACCCCACAGTGTACCCCCATACTCCCCTGCCCAGCTGGCAGGCGCACATTCCCGTCTACCTTCCTCTCTCACACCATGCCTCCCCTCAGGTGTCACATTCTGCCTCCCCTGTGTACACACACCCTGCACGCCTTCTAAATCTCAGAAATCTTTCATGAATCACTCCAACTTTATTTCGACTGCAGGCTCAGGGCAGGGGTGGGCTGCACACATGGACTCTCCGTTGGACACAGATGGTGGGGCTGAGCTTGGTGGGCAGGGGCAGGTGCATCACAATGTTTCTGCTGTGCAGCCTAGTGGCACCCAGGGGCCCTTCTAGGTACACAGGACAGGAATATACAGCCAGACCACCAGGGGCTGGCAGGTCATTGGCGCCCTGGGCCTGGACACTGACGCTGACCAGAGGCAGTGGGTTGGGCTGTCTAGAGGGACCGTCCTGCATGGCCCGAGCGTGTGTGTCCCACTCGGCGTTCCGGAGCTGGAGCCCAGTCAGCAGCAGCCCCTTCTCTGGCGCCGTGGCATTTGGGCTGGTCACCACCTGGGGATGCCAGAAGTTGGTCAGGCAAGATTAGGAAGCTGGGGGGCAGTGGGGGAGAGAAGCAGATGGGATTACTGAGGGGCATGAAGAAGCAAACTAGGGTAATTGCAAAGCGTAATCAGGAACTTTGAGGAGTGTGGATTTGGAAACAAAGAGGCAGCAGGAAGATACCTGGAAAAGCAGAGGGTTGCTGTTCAGCTCAGGAGATTTACTGGGGAGCTTATTGGAACTGGAACCTGAGCTCTGAGGAATATTCGAGCTGAGCGCAAACTGCTCCGGGGCCATCTTAGCAAAGGAAGCCTCCCAATGCAGTGACAGCAGCAGGCGGCGTGGATAGCGAAAGGCTGATAGGTGAAAGGTGCGCACTGGTCCTCCGGTGCCCCTGCCCAAGTAATGAACCAACAACTGCCCACGGCGCAACAGCTGCTGCAGCCAGTGCCAGGGCGGCTGGGGACCAGCTGGAGCATGAGCTTGCCAGGGCAGAGGTAGACGGCCAGTCCAGAGCGCTTGGGCCACTGCAGTGCAGCGCAGGGAGGTGCAGGGGTGCTCACCCTTCAGCTGCTGCAACAGGCAGTCGAGGTCCTGTTGCAGCGTGCCCACCAGTTGGCTCAGCTCCAGCACCTCCATCTTGAGGAAGTCCTCCAGAGGCTGTGGCGTACTCTGCCCCAACACCATCTGCTCCACGCTAGACTCCTCCCGGTTGGTGGCCTCTGCGAGCAGATCCTGCAGTGACTCCAGCTTCCGCTTGGCCTGTATTAGGCGCTGGCGCAGCCGCCTCTCTGAGAGTTGGCGGTCTTCACCAGCCGCGGGAACCCAAGTAGGGGAGGTCCTCTGTAGTGCCCTCAAGAGAGTGTGACTCCGGCGACGCAACAGCCAGGCCTGGGTGCCAACACTAAGTCCACAGGTCTGGGGTTCAGGAGGTTTGGGCAGTAGGTGCATCTGGGCCTTGCACTCTGCCATAGCATCCAGCTCCCTCAGCTCTTGGAGGCAGAGGTGAGGGGTCAGAGATAAAATGAACTGTCCACACCCCACACCCGAGGGAATAGGCCCTCCTCTGACACTTTACATTGTTACCCGTAACTATTGGAGTACTGCCCCCTTCTACACCTTTCCCAACGCCGCTGTTCACATGTCCGTGAGGGTGTCAAGACACTGCTCTGTTCTCCACTCCAACAGACACCTCGTGAACTCACCTGGATTGGGCATCAGAGCAGCCAGCAGATGCTGTGGTGTGTGTGGCGGGGCCCCGCTGCTGGGGTTAAGGCAAGCTTGAATGAGACTAAGCAGGGCCTCCCTATCCTCATCGTCTCCCACAGGACCCCCATAGAAGATGGAAGCTGAGGATGAGGTCAAAGCCCTTCAGTTGCAGCCCCTCCAGTTTCTACTTCCTCCCAAACCAAAGTTTTGAATTATATCCAGCTTTCAGCAGGCCCACCCACCCCAGCCCAGGCTCTCCTGAGGGCTGCCCCTCATGGGGGTCAGGGAGGGACTCACCAGCCAGCTCCTGCATGGCAGCACTGGGATTGCTCAGGCTGGCGCAGAGCTGGTCTTGGGTCTGAAGCACCTGGGTCAGGGTCACGTGACTCCTGGGCGAGCAGAGCAAGAAGTAGTGTTTCAAAACCACCTATATGCTGAGTACTCTCACATCTCTCTTCAGCCCAAGCCTCTCTCCTGAACTCCAGACTCACGAGGGCTCACTAGTCATCGCCACTTGGCCTCTAAATACAACTTGTTTTTAACTGAAATCATTCTCCACTCCTCCCACCACCCCCGCCGCACCAATTGTCCAAGGCAGAAATCCAAGATCCATCCTCGACTCCACCTTCTTCCTCACCCCACATTTACTCTCTCTCTGCTGTGACTACCCCAGGCCTGCCACCCATACCATCACCTCTTCCCTCGAGCCTGCCAGAGCCTCCATAATTGCTGGCATCGAGCCCTGCCTCGCCTGGCCCCTTCTCTACCCTGCAGCCAGGGTACAGACAAATAAGATCACCCTTCTACTCCCACTTAAAACCTTGCAGTGGCTTTCCACTGTCCCTGGGAGAAATCAGATCCCTTGCCCTGATCTTTAAGGCCCTTTACGATAAACTCCACCTCTCCCCGCCCAAAACCCCACCTCAAATATCCGCCTCAGCCACCCTAAGTTCTCCCTTCTGCTGAGCTTAGTTCCTCCTGCTCGGAAAGACCCCATCTCCTGATTGGCCTCTGCTTTCCAGACCCAACTCAAAGCAAGATCCCGAAGTCCTTGGAGAAACTTTTCTGGACATGCCCTTGCCCTCAGACTTTGGAGCTCCCCGGAGACGAATTAGTCCTACTCATCCCAGTACATGGGAAGTACTCAGGGTATGCTGAAAGACTGGCAGAGCGGGCTGGGTGGGGGGTCCCTCACCAGCGCCCCCTGTGTGCCTGTAGTTTCATTTGATAGAGCTGCCTGTGTAGCAAGAGGCTGTGTAGGAGCAGCAGAGGCAGTACCCTGAAAAAGGGTTGCCTGGAAAGCCCTTGCTGGGCTAGCTCCACACTGTCAGTCAGCACGTGGCTCAGCTCCAAGGACTGGTCCCAAAACACAGGCTTGGAGTGCTGAATCAGCACAGCTGGGGAGGAAGGAGAATGCTGAGTCAGCACAGCACGGTCCTGTTCCCTCTTAAATCTGCGCGCCTATGGGAGGAGCTCCTCACCTGGTAAGGAATCAATAGCCTCCGCAGACACAATAAGCCAAAGACGGAAATCTCTGTGGACAACGGCCACATTCTTTCCTGCGGGCTGGTCTAACAGCAGTTCTGCTTCCAAGTCTGAGACCACTGGGGGTCAGATGAGAGATTGAGATCAAGATCAATCACTGGAAAAAGACTCAGACACAAATCTAGGATGAGATTTGAGGCCAGAGGGTCAGGAGTCAGATACCAGGGGACAGGCTTGGAGCTGAGGGCTCAGCCGAGAGGCCTGAGAGTTCAAACTCAGGCCCAAATGTAAGGCAAATAAACAAACCCACCCTTGGCTCCCTCCACCAGACCCAGCAAGGGCTGCAGCAGCTCTTTTGGCCAGTGAGGCATCAGGTGACAGTTTTCCAGCACCAGCCAGTGCCCGTTGCACATAGCCTGGTTTAAGGTGCTGACCACAGCCAACATGGGGTCCCAGGCTTCAGCGCCCAGGGCTACCACCTTCAGCTGCCTCTGCCCCTGGGGACCAATAGAGAAAAGGCAAAGTCAGTCAAAGTGACCTGAGGGTGACCTTGGGGGCCCAAAGTAATGCCACAGTGATCCCAAATGTCTCTAACCAATCCAGAAAGATGCATGAGAATGCTTGGAGGGGACCCCCACACTCCAGCCAAACCCACAGGACCAACCCATCATTCACTCCATGGTCAAGAGGCTAGACTCAAACCTGCTTTTGTGTGGCAGCCATTTTCCGGATGACACTCAGGGGGTGCGGGGTAGCTGAGGAGTGACCAGGTGGTGGCAATAAGATCAGTGTGGGCTGAGTAGCCTTACTTTGCTCAAAGGATATAGTGGAGCCCCCCCAGTTCTCATCCAGGGGCCGACCCAGGAGGCTGGTAGTGAAGTCTGCCAGTGCAGCTGCCAGGCACTCTGGCCGCAGGACACGCCATAGGATCAGCTTCTGCAAGAGGCTGAGCGGGTTAGATCCAGGCCCCGGTGCAGGACCCAACACTGTAGATGAAAGTGACAGGTAACCCTGCCAAACATCTGAGTGTCTGGCCAGTGATGCCCGCAGCCCAGCAAATGCGGGCAGCATCTCTAACATCCCACATTCATGCCAGGCCCTCAGCCCTAGCCAGGTCGGTCGAACCACACCTGGGACTGACTTGGTGTGGCCTGTGCTGGGAGAGGCTGCCAGACCAGGCCAAAATGCCAATCTCTCCAGCTCTGGCGTCTTCTTTGTGACCTGCAGGAGAGCCAAAGCACCCAGTGCACCCACCAAGGGTACTTGGGCTCGGCCCAGTGCAGCCACAGTGCCGTCCAGCAGCTGGCGGGTCAGCTGCACCCGCATTTGCAGCAGGTATCTGGGAAGGTCTTCCTGCTGAAGAATCTCGTGGTGCTTCATCTTGCTCAAAGCCTGCTTGGTGAGAGCCAGCCAGTTCTCTGGGCTCATACGGAATGGTGGCAGCAGGTTCTGCAGTGGGTTAAGGGCCTTTATAATGGCTATTCCGTGCCAGACCACTTGCCGATAGGGTAGCCACAATACACTCTCTTGCTGCTTCTGGTCTTCCAGCTCCTCATATTCCGCACGCAGCTGAACCAGCTTTGCCTGGAACCTCACCATGTTTCGTAGGAACTTGGCTGGTTTCCGATGCTTCAGCTTCTGGAGCCACGGCATCCTCAGCAGCCGCTCCTGCACACAGTCACTTGTCACTTGACCTGGCCCTTTCCACAGAATTCCCAATCATCCTCATTCCTCTCCAGTCCCATGCCGGGGCCCCTCCAAAACCTATCCCAACCCACGGAGCCCTCAAGCACCTCAGCGGCCTCCACAGCTTTCAAGGTATCCAAGGCTCTGAACTGTAGGTCCTCCCAGCGGGCCTTGAACTCGGGACACTCCATGCACATGATTTCATTCAGCATCTGTTCTCCCAGGAGTTCCATGTTCGAGTCCAGATCCAGCACGTTCAGTCCCTTCAGCAGTTCATAGCCTAGCACTTGGGGTCACATGAGAGACACTTACCCCCTTCTCCCTGGCAGAGGCAAGGGGTGGGATACACCAGAAGTATGGCTCCCTATCCAAGCCCTGAGCCTGCGCTGGGCCAGGCTAAGTGAAGCTGGGGATGTAGTGTGTCTACAAAGCCATACTGGCAATGCACCCCTGGGCCTCACCTTTTCTCAAGGCACTGAGGGGGAGAGTAGTGCTCAGATAGAGACAGAAACCAGGTTGCACCTCGGGTGGCCTCAGCTGCTCCCTCTGCAGTAGCCACTGCAGTTCGGGGCACTCTAGGCCCAGCTCCATGTGGGTCAGCAGCACAGGCAGACCTGTGAGAAGAAGACAAGGACACCCCTACCCACCATGCCAGCACCTGCCCCGCCCCCCAAACCCAGGCACAACATCTAACCAGCACCCCCGACTGACTGGATGGTTCCTGTGTGGCACTTCAACAGAGTTAGTACCCAGGATGAGGTGGGGAGCTGAGGTCAGACTAGGGTGTGAGAGGCCTGTGGGACCACAGAGTGGGGGAAACCAGTTCTCACCACCTGCAGCTGCCTCCCGGAGATGAGAACCCAGTTCCGGGTCAGAGCCTGAGAGCACACGGAGGGAGGGAAGGGGCAGAGGCTGCGTCTCAAGGGCTGGCCTTGACTCCTGACTCTCTGTCTCTTCTGTCTCCTTCTCCTCCTGCTCTTGCTCTTCTTCCTTTTTCTTCTCCTCCTTGTTTTCACTCTCTTCTGCCTTCTCCTCTTGTGTTGAGTCCACAGCCTCATTGTCCTCCTCACTGCTGTCATCTTCATCGTCCATGTCTGCCTCTTGGTTGTTCACGGAACCCTCACCTGTGGTAGTAAGATGCAGGGAAGTTCTTTTCAGAGTAGGGATCAGGATCCTAGGAAGCACCACTCATCAAGGGCTCCCTCTCAGGGAAGCTCTGCAGGAGACACCTTGGAAAGGTCGCTAAGCTCTCTATCTCCCGGTTCCCTTATCTGCAAAAAAATGGGATTGATATTGGTGAGTAGCTCATGGAAGATAACTGTGAAGACAACATGACATGATATAGAAAGGGCTTAACGGATGCCTAGAAGAACTCAATAAGTGTTAGCTACCATTATATTAAGTCAGAAATGCCAGGAAAGGCTCTTAGTCATCCCTGAATTTGGTTCCATTTCTGCCTTTCTGTAGGTTGCTTAGAAGAGTAGTGCATTTCTCTTTTTTTGCCTGAGCTAATTCTATCATAACAACTAGATGAGCCATTGCTAGTATAGAAATTGGTGCCTGGAAGCAGTGCATAAGCAGTGGAATGTGCCAAATCCTGTGCAGTGTGTTGGGCACAGATGGTTGGCTAACCAATAATTATCCCCAACTCCTTCTACTGTGTCTCTTCTACTACAGGAGCTGGAAAAGACTTTTTTTTAATTATTAAGAAATTTAAGGTTTTTTAAAAAGATTTATTCATTTATGCATACAAGAACTGGGGTACAGTCCAGAGGGGTTGGGGGTGAGAGGATTCACCAGAGACAGAGTGGGGAACAGAACAGGTGGACTGACCGAAGCACACTGCTGAGGGGAGCAGCGGGAGTGTCAGGAGAGGTCTGTAGTGCCATGTGGGTAGCTCCCTGGCCGGCTGGGGGATCGAACTTGTGCTGCAGTGGCTGCAGACAGCTTCATAGGCCATGTCTTAACTCTTTGTGCCACCAGGGAGGCCATAGATTTTTTTAAAAGAAGTAAAGCATTTAAGGCAAGAGAAGCTTGGTGTATTCATTTCCTGTTGCTTAACAAATTACCACAAATTTAGCAGCTCAAAACCACACCCACTATTTTCTCCTAGTTGAGTAGGTTAGAAACCAGGCACAGCACAACTGGATCCTCTGCTCAGAGTTACACTGGGCTGAGATCAGTGTCAGCTGGGACTGTAGTGCTCATCTGGGATTGGGTCGTCTTCCAGGCTTACTGGTTTTTTACAAAACTCATATCCTTTTCAATACTTTTCCTGTAGTCCACGAATCCTTCTTGGGCTTCAAATCTTTCTGATTTCTGCCTTTCTTCTGTGACGGGGACCGTGTGCTAACTGGGTCCATTCAGGATAATAACCTTATCCTAATGTCAGTTGATTTGTAACCTCAATTACATCTGCAGTCTCTCTTGTCATGTGACATAACAATTATGGGAGTGATCCAGAGGACATTGAGCATAGGGGTGAGATTCTGCCTACCTCTGGCTACTCACACTGTCGTGGTGCACGGAGAGGTAGCAGTCGATTTGATGATAAATTACAGCAGTTTTACTGGCCTAAAATAACACTTATTCTCTCATAGTTCTGGAGTCAAGAAGATCAAAATCATGGAATCAGCAAGGCTGTACTCCCTCTCAAGGCTTTAAGGCTTTAAGGAAGAATCCAGCCTTGCCTCCTCCAGCTTTTTTTTTCTTTTGTAAAGATTCATTTTTATTTATGCACACAATAACTGGGGTACAGGCCAGAGGTGCTGGGGGGTGAGAGGATTCACCAGAGACAGAGTGGGGAACAGAACAGGCAGATCTACTGAAATACACTGCTAAGGGGAGCAGCAGACATGACAGGAGAGATGCCAGCGATTGAACTCAGGCCGTGGTGGCTGCTGACAGCTTGACAGCACTGAGACTTTAACCCCTGCACCACCAGGGAGGCTCTTGCCTCCTCCAGCTTTTGGCAATTTTAGGAGTTTCTTGGTTTGCGGCACTATAACTCTGAAATCTCTATCTTCATGTGGCCTTCCCTCTACACACCTGTGTCTTTCCTTCTGTTTCTTCTCTTATAAAGACACTGGTAATTGGACTAAGGACCAACCCAAATAACCTTTGGTGGTCTCATCAAGGTCCTTAATTACATCTGTAAAGACTCTTTTTCCAAAAAAGGTTACTTTCATAGGTTCTAGGAGTTAGAATATGGATATCTTTTTTGGGGAGGAGGCATCATTCAACCATTACAAAAGCCAACTTGCTAAGGACTATAGAGCAGAAAGAGAAGAATCTGGTGCTTGGAGGCAACACTGAAACCCTGCACCTGCTTATGTTGGTATTTCTTATAATGTTAGATAAATAAATCCCTATTTGTCTAAGTCAAGATAGACTGGGCTTTTGTTACTGGCAACTTAGAGCATTCCCAGCTGATATAATGAGTTGGGGGTGGGGATGTGGTCAGTCAGGATTTTCCTTTTCCTTACTGGGAAGGTGGCCGGGCAATATGGTGGGGAAGAGGTTGACTTAATCTCGTGGTACCTGGACCATGTGACCTCAGATTTTTGTGGTTTCAGTGGAAAATACTAGAGCATTCTGGCTGCATTCTACTTAGATGACAGAAACAATCTCTAGGAAAATAACTTTCTTGGCATATCAGGCATTTTCAGACTACTGATGATCAGATATTCACGTACCTTACTGATTTGTAAAAATGGCTCGCTACCCCATCCTGCATGGAATAGGAAATTAGAGGCTATTGGAGGAGCCTGGAAAATTGGGGCAGCCTAATCCTCTAGGTCACAAGCAGTCTCTCTATGCATTATTTATTGCTTGACAAACATAATCATCTCCCCCCAACCTTTGATTTGGGTACATCCCACAGTAAGAGCAATCCACTCCATGGACAATTCACCTAAGTTCACGACTCTGTTTCTGTACTATAGCTCTGACATGACATCTGAGGTTTAGATGAATGACAATTACACTGAATCTTGGAGGAAATGATGGAGCCCCCAGAACCAGTGTTAAGAGACAGAAATGGTTTAAGTTCAAGTTATGAAACTGCCCTAAGGCATTGGTTAATAACTAGTAGGGTCCTTATAAATGAAATCTGCAGGGGAAAAATTATATAAGGGGATTAGCCAGAAAATACCCCATCTAATAGCAGTCATCTGTCTTTAATTTTTTTTAAAAGATTTATTTATTTATTTATGCAAGCATTGGGTACAGTCAGAGGCACGGGAGGGTGAGAGAATTCACCAGAGCCAGAGCGGAGAGGAGAAGAGGCAGAGTGACGAAGTACACTGCTGAGGGGAGCAGCGGGTGGCAGGAGAGGTCTGAGTGCCATGTTGTGGGGCCCTCGCCCTGCAGCCGGAGATAGAACCTGCGCTGCAGAGACTGTGGGCAGCTTCGCAACCCAGCGCTCAACTGCTGCGCCACCGGGGAAGCCCTGTCTTTGTTTAATTTTAAGGCAAATCCAAAGCCTCCATTCCCATTCCAGCAGGAAGTGCATGTTTAAGGCAGAATAGCTACAAAAGGAGATTCTTGTCTTTCCTTTCACAGAGAGCCCTGGGGACAATAGAAAAGAAAACTATACCATTTATCAGAATCTAGGGCAACCAAACTGGCCATACAAGAACTCACTCCATAGCCAGTGCAATGATGCTGATCATTTGCCTTGCTGTCTCTGTCTGCTATTATACTATACATGCAAGAGACTAACACATAGTGCACGTTTCTTACACTTTTCCAGTTTCTAAACAGAAAATCTATTGCAGTTACAGATTTGCTTCACTTTGCAAATCAAGCATATTGGGAGGGTGAGATTTCACAGGTAGTATAATCTCAGGTTGCAGAATCACATAAGAAACATGTCTAAGGCCTCCCTGCAGTGCCGATTTGATCCCCGCCAGCCTCAGAGCAACCCACATGGCAAGAAGACCTCCCCTGTCTCACCCACTGCTCCCCTCAGCAGTGTATTTCGTCAGTCTGCCTGTTCTGTTCCCTGCTCTGTCTCAGGTGAATCCTCTCACCCTCCCGTGCATCTGGCCTGTACCCCAGTTCTCGTATAGATAAAATAAATCTTAAAAAAAAAAAAGAAACATGTCTAGATCTGATCAAGAGTAATAAATATCATTTATGATTCACCGTTCATATCTACTCCAGCCTCCCAATTCTAGACTCAGAACTGGAAGCAGCATCTAGATAGTTATGTGTCTTTTATTAGAGACAGGTGGATTCATTTATAGTTATAAATGTAATAGTTGTAATTTTGTAATGGTATATGGGTGCAAGGAAAAGTTGCCAAGGGATGGACTGTAATAATGGTAGCAGTAGTAATAATGATTGTAATAATGACTAACATTTTTGTATCAACTCCCTTTACATGAATTATCTTAGTTAATACAATACATAATGAGAGGTATAATTAACACCCTCATTAATTGACTTAGAGAAATTAAGTATCTTGCTTTAGGCCACATAGCTAGCAAAGGACAACTATTTGACTCAGATAGTCTGATTAATAAGCCTATGTTGAAATGCAAATCAAAACCTGCACCCCTATGTTTATAGCAGCACTATTTACAGTAGCTAAGCTATGGAAACAACCCAAATGCCCCAAAATAGATGACTGGATCAAGAAGATGTGGTACATATACACCATGGAATATTACTCAGCATTCAAAAAAGATAAACACATGCAGTTTGCAGCAACATGGATGGAGCTAGAAGGGATCATGCTCAGCGAAATAAGCCAGAAAGAAAAAGAAAAATACCGGATGGTCTCACTCATAGCAGGAATCTAGAAAACCTAAACAAGGGACCAGGAAAAAGACTAATTAATACAAAGTAAAAATCAAAATCAACAAGCAACTGTAAACCAGAGATACACTACCAGGGTGGCGGTGGGGGGGAAGGAAAAGCGGGGAGAGGAAGGACTAGGGTCAAAATAAGGGGGGGGGGCAATTGTATGGGGAATATAACCAAAATGAAAATGCATACATTGTACAAAAATGAAAAATGATGTAAGAATTATATAAAAAAATATTAATTTAAAAAAAAAACACACCTAACTCCAGTGAGAACGGCCCATATCAAAAAGACCAGAAACAAGTGCTGGTGAGGGTGTAGAGAAAAAGGAACTCTCCTACCCTGCTGGTGGGAATGTAGACTGGTCCAGCCCCTATGGAAAGCAGTGTGGAGGTTTCTCAAAAGACTAAAAATGGATCTGCCATACGATCCCACTCCTAGGTATCGACCACAAAAATCTAAGATAACTAATCCAAATGGAAACTGGCACTCCCATGTTTACAACAGCACTATTTACAATAGCCAAGCTATGGAAACAACCAAAATCAGATGAGTAGATCAAGAAAAGGTGGTATATATACACCATGGAATACTCCTCAGCAATCAAAAAAGATAAACGTGTGCCTTTTGCAGTAACATGCATGAAGCTACAAGGGCTTCTACTAAGTGAAATAAACAAGAAGGTGAAAGATAAGTCACTTACATGTGGAATATAGAGAAACCAAGCAAAGTCAGGCAAAGACAAACTTTAAAACCAGCCCTGGAAAACTGACCATAGATCTTCAACTTTGTGTGGTAGGGGAAGAAGAGGCATGAAAACAGGGTGGAGGGTGGGGGTAGAATACAATGGACTGTGGTGGAGGACTTTGGGAGCTTGGTGGTGGGAGGGTCATGGTGGCTACCTGAGGGGGCAAGTCCTATATTGTCAAAACACTAGCAAGGATGTAAAATAATGTTACTTCAATAAAAATTTTAAAATAATAATAAAAACACACACAATAAAAGCCCATGTTGCTGCCCACTTACTTATGCACCGTCCACTGTAGAAGTTTATTATTCACACCAGGGCAACCCCCAACCTCATCTTCTGAGAAATAAACACCTTTGCTTCCCTACAAAATGCCCTTTCTGACATCCCACCCACGTGGGTCCCTGAGCCCTGCTGAGCCACTCGAAATATTTCCCCAGAATTCCTGAACATGGATAAATTTGGCTAGTAAAGCTCTGATCTGTAGACCAAGTCTCCAGTCACGCTGACCAGACCAGGGCATGAAAGATCATGGACTGGTCAGCCATGTGGCTTGAGATCATTGTAATATGAGTCAAAAAAAAAAAATGTTGACAGAAGTAATCAATCACTATCACTTAGACTGGAGGAACCTGGAATAATCTGGTGTCTTCATTCTGAAAGGGGAGATCACATGTAACTGAGAGTGTTGGGCAGTTCAGAAACGTGAGCAGCACTGTCTGTCCCTGGCCTTACCTCTGCCTTTTGAGCTATCAGGGCCCGAGGACTTAGTCTCTTCCAGAGGCAGTGGGTCCAGCCAGATGAGGGCTTGGTTGCTGGGGTCAAGCAGCAGAGGCCAACGGCAACTGTGGTAGTGGGTGCGACTTCGCAGAAACAGGCCTGCGAGACGGGCTGACTTGGCCTGGGGCTTCAGGTCTCGGTCCCACTGGAACTGCTCTGACTTTGAGCTCAGCAAGAACAGGAGGTTGAAGGGAGCGTGTGTGGACAGCAGGGGGACTGGGGGAGGCACAGAGCTGCCAAATTTTTGTTGCTTCCGGGCCTGTGCCATGTCATCTGGGGCCAGGGGCTCCTGAAAGCCCTTGCACAGGGCCAGCCACTTGTCCATCATCTCCTGGCGCCGCAGTGCAGGGAACTGGCCCAGGTAGACGATGGCAGCTGAACACAGGAGGGCATCTCCCAAGATGGTCACGGAGTACCCCTGCAACTTCTGGTGTGAAGGGAAGACCAGAGGGTGTAGGCAGAGGGTTTGGCAGAGGGGGCAAAGCAGGGTATGGAGAGAAGCCTGACAAAGGCATGGAGTAGGACGGAGGGAGGAGGGAGGGCCCCGGCGGAGCATAGGAGAAGAGCAGTGGTGCAGAAGTGAACTTGGGAGGGGCTGTTACCTGGAGGTCTGTGGTCCAGGAGTACATGGGCGTCAGCAGTGCAGCCTTTATGGGCCACTTGTGATACTGGCTACACTGAGCCCAGCTGAGATCCTCTGCCATGTGTCTGTGGGAAGCCTGAGTGGACTGCATCTTCTTGGTCAGGGCCAAAGTGTGCTCGAGGATCTGCTGGCCTTGAAACTGGTAGTGGCCCAGGCGGGCCTGCTCCTTAGCTAGTGTCACTTCAACCTGCTGCAGCAGCAGACCCGTGGGCAGCCCTCGGCGCCGTGCTAGACTGTAGCGCACGATGGCCCAGAGCCAGGCTGCTAGGCTTGCTACAGGTAAACTCACTGCCTGCAGAGCTGCCTCGCTCATACCTGGAGCGTTCAGGGCTAGCTTTAGCTTTATCAGCTCCGAGTCCGTCACCTTCTCCTTGGGGAAGAACACCAGCTCCTGGGAGAGAGTATTAACAGAGGTGGGGAAGACGTGAGCGCTTGAGCCTTGCCCCAAGAGTCTAACCCTACCAAGTCTCCCCTCTGCTCCTCTACTGCGCCCCACTCTGCCTACCTGGTAAAAGTCTTCAGAGCATAACAGCTGCTTGGCACTGGTCCAGCCTGTTTTACGGTGGAACAGTTCGCACAGTGCGTCAGTCACCCGGACCACGGGTTCTGGGGGTGCTCGATAGCTCCGTATCTCCTCAAAGTCAGCCACCCGCAGCTGGCTCAGGGGCCCCTGAAATGCTGTGCCCATCTAGATGGTCAAGGTCAAGAGAGGCACTCTTGGTCTGAGCTCCAAACTTATTTCTCTCCAGGGTTTTGCCAGGAAGGCTCACCTCCTAAGAGTCCCCACAAGAAACCTTTCCCCAATCCATCCTGTTCCCTATGCCCCTCCCCCAGGACACTCCATGGCAAGTCACCCCACCATATCCTCTTCTCTGGGTATCCTTTGAGGGTGTCCCCTCCCAAGAGAGGAGCACTGTCGGTGGGCAGCGAGACGACCCACCTGCTCCAGGAAAGCCGCTTGCTGAGCCCGCAGGGCATCTCGGTGCCTGGTCAGGTTCTTAACGAGGTTTTCCTGCTGCTGGCTCTCCACCAGCAGCCGTTGGTACAGAAGCCTGTCTTGCTCTAGTTGATGATGCAATGTGGTGAGGCTCTGTGCACAGAGATGCAGGCTCTGTAGCGCCAGACCCCTGGCCAGGTGGGAAGACCCCAAGGGAACACTCCATGGGCTTGGGACTCCAGCCTACTCTTTCACTTGGTGAGGGTGGCCATGCTGAACTCCAAAGAGGCCACAGATACAGACCGTCACTTATTGATCTGTGAGTTGTGCATCTGGTAGTGCAGACCCGAATGGGTGGCTGCTTCTTCTGACCCACTCGACAGGGCCAGGGAATCTGGAATCAAAGCCTACGTGCTTAACCATTAGATGAGAGTCTTTCTCTCACCTGACCCACTGGTGGCATTTGTCACAGGAGACAGTTCCCGCTGTCTTGACTTCCCTGATGCCATCCTCGCTTTTGGCTCCTCCAAATGCTCTGGTTGTTCTTTCTCAGTTTTGCCAGGGCCCCCATCTCTTCTCACCTGACAGACACTCTGATGCACCCTTCCTAACCTCACGTCTTTGATCATCACCTATATTCTACCTCCTCCCACATTTCTACCTCTAGCCAGATTCTTTCTCAGTGCCCACACCCATGTGTCCATCTGCTTAGTGGAAATCTCCCCTTTGCTTTCTCACAGGCACCCTGGGCCCCACATCTCCAAGAATAAACATATCGGCCATGCCGCCTTAGATCTCTTGGAAACGTGACCCTGGAGCATTCTATTTCTCATAGAACTGTGGCAAAATATACCCAAGTATCCCAAGGAAGGAACCTATTTGTTACCCTGACTCCATTTCTTCTATTCCTCCAAATCCAACTCATCTTCAAGCCATTCAGTTCTACCTCCAGAATGTCTCTCATGTCTATCGCTCCTGCCTCCAGCACTCATCACGCATGCCCGTGCTCGCACCTTGACCTCCTACACTGTCTTCCTCACTGGCATCTTGACTGCTGCTTTTACTCCCCGTCTATGCTGTGGCCTGATCAGTTTTTTTTTTTTTTTTAAATAAAATATCATCATACTGCTTAACATTTGCCACTCTTTCATTTGGCTTACGAAGCCTCCATAGCCAGGTCCCTATCATCATTCCAACCTCTTCTTTTTTTTTTTTTTTTAAGATTTATTTATTTATTTATACAAGCACTGGGTACAGTTAGAAGCGCGTGAGAGTGAGGGAATTCACCAGAGCCAGAGCGGGGAGCAGAACAGGCAGACTGATGAAATACACTGCTGAGGGGAGCAGCGGGCGGCAGGAGGGGTCTGAGCGCCATGTGGGACCCTCCTCCGGTGGCTGGGGAGCAGCCGGGGATCGAACCGGCGCTGCAGAGGCTGCGGGCAGCTTCGCAACCCAGTGCTCAACTGCTGAGCCACTGGGGACGCCCCCAACCTCATCTCTTTTTTCTCTCCTAGTACTCTATAGCCACTCTTGACTTGTAGTCCTTCCAATGCAGACACATTCTCTGGCCTCTGGGCCTTTGCACATGCTTTACTTCAGCTTGTGCATTCCTCCTCTCCAACCCCTTTTATGCCAACTCTCACCTAACCTTCAGGTATCAATTTTGATGTAGTTCATTCATTTGTTCACATATTTAAAGGAATGTTTTTGAATGCCTACCATGTTCTATACATAGCTCTGGACTACATACTGACACACGAGGTTTTTTTTCTAGAAAGCCTCGATATTTCAAAGCGCCCTGGACTTTCTCTGTCATAACACATTACTTTGTAATTGCCTGCATGAGTCTGTATCTTCCAATAAACTAGGCACCATGAAGCAAGGAGAGAGCTTTATATGTTTCTTATAAGGAGGCAATCTAATCTGACATAATTAGCACATAACATTTATATGTGACAGCACTTTTAAATGCTTCCCATCAAGATCTCACTTGATTCTTATCATAAACTTGCAAGGTTAGGGGAATTTCCTGAAGCCCTCTAGATCTCTGTATTTAAAATGGGACTAAAGATAGACACATTAGAAAACTGTGGAAAGGATTCTAGCTAGCTAGATGATGATTATGGCGATTGAGTAAATGGCCGAGGGATTTGACACTGAACACTATGGACATCTGAGACTGTGAACACCTCTAATCCAGATTTTGGGCTGATGTTATGCTCTGATATAACTGACCCAGGGATCAAAGAATAATAGTACCCCTGACACAGATCAACAATTCCTAATATTAATTGCCTTGGGAAAAGGTAAGACCCAGGACTGGAAACAAGAATTTTCAAAACATGGGAAAGAGAACTCCTGTATGTGAACTTTTCTGTTGGCATCTCAGTGGACACATGTGGTATAATCTAAGCTGGTGAATCTGTGTGGCGGGTGGCAGGAGGGCACAAGTGCATGAGAACCCTAGGGAGCACCTTCCCCAGAAGGCAATGAAAGCCGTGAACGGGGAGACAATGTGAGTGTGCCAAGTGTGCCCCTAGAGTTGTGGGGCACTGGCTGGCAGTCCTCAGGGCACCCAGGCTAGGCTATGGAGCGGTAAGGCCTGGAAGCACAGTAGGAAGTCAGTCAGATTATCTGCCTGTGAGTGAATCACTTGTTCACTTCTCTGTAGTTATCCTTGACCCTTCATCAAAGTTGCGTATAGCAGGAAGGAAAAGAAAAAATCAAGTTATATCAGGATTTCTCTTATTAAAAACAAAAGACCAGGGCCTCCCTGGTGGCGCAGCGGTTGAGCGTTGGGTTGCGAAGCTGCCAGCAGCTTCTGCAGTGCTGGTTCGATCCCTGGCTGCTCCCCGGCCACCGGAGGAGGGTCCCACATGGTGCGCAGACCTCTCCTGCCGCCCGCTGCTCCCCTCAGCAGTGTACTTCGGTCCTTCTGCCTGCTCTGCTCCCCGCTCTGGCTCTGGTGAATTCTCTCACCCTCCCGTGCTTCTGACTGTACCCAGTGCTTGTATAAATAAATAAATAAATAAATAAATCTTAAAAAAAAATAAAATTAAAAATTAAAAAAATAAAAACAAAAGACCAAAAAAATTCTCTTTTGGAAAATCACCTTTACCTGAGGGTATTTGGTTATAGAAGGTACGGTGGTCCCTCCCCTAGCAGTTTTAGCTAGACCTGAGAGGCATATGTATTCAAGCGAGAAGACTGCTTGAATAGGAAATAGGAAAGCAGCAGGATTCAGAGTATGAACTAGAAAAATATCTCCTTTTACATGAGAACTGCATTTGGAAAGCTCTAAAGGAAGAGTGGAGTTGCTGAAAAACATTGGGGAGCAGGTACTGGGGAGATGAGCTGAGAAAAGCTAGTCATGGGGCAATCCCCTGTAGAGGCACATGACAGAGGAAATCCAAAACATTGATGTCTGGTCTATCATTTGAATCTATTTCTGGCTCTGTGCTTGAAAGGAAACTGTCCCTGCTGCTGTTACCTATCCACAGTTCCCCACGTACAAAACCACCTTGCATCCTTGGTACTTTTGTGGAAGGAACAGACATAAGAACAGAGGCGTGGAAGAGACAATCGCTGCAGAGGCGTGCCAACTAGAAGTGACAGTGACTTCAGGAGAGGGTAAGGGAGAGGCGACCATGAGAATGTCACCACTGCCCTGTCTCCAGTGGAAATCCATAGATGTCTTGAGGCGGGGGGCATCTGAGCTTCACACAATCAGGATACTCGGGACAACCAGAAGAAGACATTTAGGTTTCATGTGTTTAGAAGAATCAGCCAGGTCCGGGCTGCGCCATGGGGAACTTTGAGCCTGAGCTCTAAAGGATCAGAGAGCTGCCTTTGGGAAAGGAGACTCTCAGGAGACAAGAACTCAGGTTCAGTCGGTTAGTTCCTCCAAAGTCCCTTTTGGGTGCCTGCTTTGACCCTGCTGTGTCTGCCTCCTAATTTTCTCCCCTTTACCTTGCGAGAACCTTTCAGCTGCTGTTCCAAGTTGAAGAGCAGGTTGGTATAGGTATTGTGCTTCTCAATCATCATTTTCAGACTCCACAGGGCATTCTGGATTCTGGAGATACAAAGGTGCCAATGAGTGGATCTGAGGGAACAGGAGGAGTTAGAGTGCTGGGGATGGGGCCACTCACAGATGAGCCTTGTTCTTAATTTTCAGTGTCATCTGCTGCCGCTGCAGTATGAAGGTGCCCAGGAAGTCTAGGAAAGTCTTGGGGGTGACGAGTGGCAATTCAGGGCACAGGTGTCCATGGTAGCTGGCAGCCGAGAGGTGGATGAGAGCCATGACTTTGGCCACACGGGGAACTGAGGCCCGGAGGTCTGGGCATATCATGTAATCTGCAACGGGCATGGCTTTGGTCTCAGCTTGTAAGCTTGAAGGGAACAGAGGAGGGACAGGAGGGGAGGGAAGGGTAAGGAAGGGGAGGGGAGGAGACCCTCTTCTGCTCAGGGAAAGAGCAGAAAAGGTAAAGAGGGCTCACCGTCTTTAAGGGGTGGACTTCTGACACTCTCCAGGTAGTGCTGGGCCACGCTGACTAGGGTGGCTTGGTCCCAAGGTTCGTAGCGGTCAATGCTGGCGACAGCCACTTCAAGGAGCCTCAGGAAAAGGGTGGAGGGCAGTTTCCTGTGGATCTGGTCATCTTCCAGCAGGATGAAAAGGTGCAGGTGGCTACACACTTGCTGGTAGAACCTGTGGGCCATCCGCTCAGAAACTATCCTCCCCGGCCCCACCCCGGTTCCCTTTCCAGGCCCTAGTCCCAACCTTGACCCTTTAGCCCTAGTCTTCTGAGTCTTCACAGTGACCCCCAGAATTTTTTTTTTTTTTGGTCTTTTGCCCACAACAGCCCCCCTACAGGGTTCTTGGCCTCACCTCTGCAACAGCATTTCTTTCCTGATCTGCTTGATGCTAAGGCTGTCTCTAGGGACATGTTCTTCGATGTTGTCTAGATCTGCCTCTGAGTACTGGTCAGGGAAACTGCCTGAGGTTACCAGGGCCAGCAGGCGATGAAGGGTAATAAGATCCACGCCCCTGGCCACCAGCAGGGCCACTGGCTGGCCTAATATGCCAGCATGCCAGCTGGCATCACGCAGACACTGGAGAATGGCCTCCTCTGACCCCGATGGCAGACGGAAGAGGTTGGCCTGACAAATGCCAGCTGCCAGACTGACAGCAGTATGGCGCCCAGTACCAGGAGCCCCTGAGAGCAGAAGGCCATGCTGCCGGGGTCTGCCCAGCACCCGGACCAGGCGGGCCACGTGCTGGACCATGGAGTGGCACTGGGCAAGGTGGGGGCTCAGCTTCAGCTGAGCAGCTGAGGTGGCCAGTTGCTCTTTCAGGGTCTCCCACTGTCGTTCAACATATAAATTGGGGTTCTCAGAGTGGGGTCCTAGAGTAAGGTCCTGACTGAAAATCAAGTCTGAGGGCTTTTCCTGGGGATAGAGTATTAATACTGGTAGCAACAGGGGTGAGATCAGGTCCAGCCGGGGTGTCTTCTGCCACCAAATCTCAGGTTTCTGTAGCTGGGACCTATAGCTGGAGGCATGGATGCTTTTCTCCTGCTTTGTCTGCTGATTCATGGTCTCCGTGGCCTCCCTCTTTGATGGCTTTGCAGAGAGCGTCAGACCTGAATCACTGGCATAGAAGCCTGTGGTCACCTGTAGGCCATAGGGGTCCTCCTCCTCCTCGGTCTCACTGCCACCGTCGCTGAAGTCCGACCATTGGGCCAGCTCCTCTTCCGATTCCACTACCAGCACCTTCTCTTCCTCCACTTTCCCCACCTCCAAGTCTTTGCCCAGGTGCCGGGGTGCTGGCCCACAGCAGAAGACACTCTGGGCTATTTCTAGGAGCATCTTGGCACAGGAGGAGCGTTCCTCAGGACTGTCCAGCCTGTCACAAAAAGTTCTCTGTGCTTCATGCAACCAAAGCCGCACCATGTTGCGCATGGTCATCATGACTGTCAGGCGGGAGCCGTGCAAGCCTGACACGCGACGCAAGTGCTCCTGGTGGCGCACAGTGTCTGCAAAGCCGCGGGGGCCCGTTCTGGTGGGCAGCACCTGCAGGCTGCCCAGGATTTGGCTCACAGAGTGTGGGGAGAAGCGGTAGTGTGGGTGGGAGGGAGAAGGTAGGAAGCAGCTGCCCACAGCCTCCCAGGCCTCCATGGAGGCCCTGACCAGGGATCTTGCTAGAATCCCCTCCAGTTCCACAGAGGGGAAGCGCTCAAGCCAGGCCTGGATGCTGGGCACATGCCTGCTCAGCATGGTGGCCTGGGTCACGTTGTCCAGAGCCAGCACAGTGAAGAGTCTAGAGAGGCGTGGGCACAGGGGGCGCTCACAGAAGCCAGGCACCGTGATGGTGGCAAGGAAGTTGACCGCAGGGTGCAGTGTCTGCAGCTCCAAGGTGCCGTGGGCATACACGGTGCCATCTAAGGCCTGGCGCAGGGTCTCTAGCACCGGTTGACTGCTCTTCTCGGGGTCTGTGGGGCACGAAGAGGAAACATGAGGATGGGCATGTGTCCACGTGACAGTGTCACTCTGTCCCCCCGTTCTTGTCTCCCTGGGTCTTCTTCCAACACAAGCAAGGCTCTAGTGGAATTTTGTGCATCTGATGTCTTAGCACTTGGTTGTGTCTGAGTACGTTGGTAGCTCTCACTCTCTCCCTGAAAGAAGTAAAGTTCTTGGCTCTTCTACCCTCAATCCTACCTCTAAGGCCAATGATTAATTGACTGCAAGTTAATGAATGGGACAGGCTGGAAGCTGAGCATAGTCACAGAGTAGAGTCACATCACATTCCCACTCTCATTGCCAGCTTTATGGAAACATGACTTTTATGAAATGTACATGATTTCAGGTGCATCATTTGATGAGTTCTGACAAGTATATACACCCGTGTAGCCACCATCCCAATGATATTCAGAACATTTGCATCACCCCAAAAAGTTCCCTAATGCCCCTTTGCAGGCAAACCCCCACCACTGTCTCAGGAATGTCCAGCAAAATGGAGAGACAGGGTGACGGGACACTGACACTGATGAGAGAGGGGGAAGTGTCAACAAGATTTCTGACTCAAGGGCCTGGATGGATGGGGGTACCAGTTACTAAGAAGACACAAGAGCGGGTTTTGTGGGAAAGATGATGAGATCATGGTTGGATCTAAGGTGGAGAGAGAGACACGGAGCCAACAGAACAACGGATGCTACAAGAGACTGGGCTGGAAATAAAGTCAAAGCACAGAGGTGGTGGGTGGTGGGGGAGGCCACGGCGGGGTCAGTCTGTTCAGTGAGTACATGGAGACTGAGATACTAGGGATGGAACACTGGGCTTGGACTGTGGGCGCGTATTTGAGAGCCAGTGACTATTGCTAGGGAATTCTACCGTGGAAAGGTGACAGTGACTCCTTCCGTCCCTCTTCCCAGCGCCTCACCAGAAGCAGCCAGGTGCAGATCCTCCAGCAGGAAGAGCAGGGAGCCCTTAGACTCCAGGTGCCGCCCAGACCCTGGGCTGACTTGCCCTTGACCCTGGACCCCTCGGCTCAGCAGAAGGCGAAGGTGAGTGGTCCCGAAGGCAGGGTGGATGGCGCTGGACATGTACGGATGATGAGGCTCCACGAGCACCTCCACGAAGGTCGACTTCCCTGTGGCTGCCTCTCCAGCCAGCAGTGCCGGGTGGCCCCCTGACAGCAGCAGGTCCACCACATACAGCAGCCGTTCGGTCTGCAGGCAGGAGCAGGACTTACTGCAGCTGTTGCTGTTTAGGACCATGACTAGCTGCAAGTAAAGGTCTAGGGGGTCTTATCCTAAAGCTGCACATGCACCTCATGTGTTCTTGTGACTGAAAACCTATCAACAAACGGGGGCAGGTCGACCTCAGCGGGACCGAGCCTGTGGACTACTCAGGATTTCTCCATGATCCCCGTCCTCACCCACGACCCCACTGGCCTCACACCTGGGAAGTAGGGTTGAAGATGCCTGTTGTTCCTTTGATGCGACTGCTCAGGTATTGGCCAGTGAAGGGGACCAGTGTCCCTTTCTTGGGGCACACATACAGATCAAACACCGAAGCTGAGGGCAGTGGCTCCGGGTAGTTGGAGAGGGAACTAACAGAATTCCTCAGGAACACGTCAAAGAGGGGCCAGAGCCTGTTCAGATGAACGTACCGGCAAACGTCAATTACTGTGGTTCTGTGGGTGACACACTCAGATCCTCCACCCTCTCCCGACAGTGATGGCCCCTGAGTTTTGACTTCCAAGGGTCAATCCGTCCCAGCCCTCTGCACCTCCCTTCCCTGACCCCTGTAGCTACCTGGAGGGAAGATGACCTCCAAAGCCCCAGATCACGGCAAAAAGAAAGCTGCTGACAGCCAGCAAGTGCTCCCTGAGCTTAGTAGCCATGTCTTCACTGTCTGCCTGGGGCTGGTTCAGATGAGGTTTTTTTGAGAACTTGAGGTTTTGGGCCATAGGCATACCATAGCTGAGGTTCTCTGCAAAGGTCATCATGGCCAGAACAGGAGGCCCTATAGAAAAAATCAGGGGGCGGGAGGAGAGTGGAGGTTGGCTGCATGACATCTCAGTTTCAGCGCCCTGACCCAAGTCCACAAGAGAACCCAGGTCCCTGCCTCTGGTTATTCCCCAGATACCCTTCAGACTCCATGTATCTCAAGCCAGCCCTTGCCTCTCCCTACCTGTGTTATCTGGCTTCTCCTCATCGATGCGCAGGTGGGCGTCAAGCAGGCAACGCAAGACACGGGTCAGGGTGGTGACTTCAGCCACGCCCCGGCAAAGGGCCTGCTGCCCGTGCACCTGCAGGACAGAGCTGGCACCCTGGCAGCTGAGGAATCGGAACGCTGCAGGCACCAGCACTTCGGCCAGGTGGTTGAGCTCACTGACTGTCTGGGGCTGCAGGCGGTAATCTTGGGGCAGGGCTGCCATCAGGACACTGAGCATACCCTGCCAAGTCTGCTCCCCACCACACCAGACTAGGGCACAATGCCCCACCACTGTGGGGGATATGCCTGTCGCATCTCCCATCTCCAGCAAAAGGAAAGTCCCTGGGGGGCGTACTATCTGCTGGCCATTGGGGAGGCTAAGCTGAGGGGGGCTGCTCAGAAGGCAAGTGATAGAGTCCAGCCAAGCAGTACTGGGGGCACCGTCACATATTATCCAGTGCTGGATTCCCACCAATGGCTGTGCCTGCTTCTTTCGGCCCAGAGACTCATAGTGAGTGGTGGCACGGAGCAGCCTGGGGAAAATGCCTTGGTGCCAGCAAGGGCCCTCGAGCCATCCCAGGAACTCCTGGGGGCAGAGACCACTGGGATACAGGTGAGTTATTTCCACAGGCTGGTAGCTCACCGTTGAAGCGTCCTCCATGGCAGCCAGATGATTCTGGATCTTAAATAAGCTGTGCCAACAACTGGTCTTGCCACTGCCAGCTGGGCCCAGGAGTAAAATGCCCGAGGCCCGCCCCAAGGCCTGGCTCAGCTGTTCCAGGGAGCCCAAAATATCAGGATTGGGATACAGGCCTACCTGCTGTAATTTCTCCACTGTAAGTGACCTCTTCAGCCTGTGGGTCACAGGCTCCGCCAGCACCTGGCTGGCACTAGGGAAGACTCCACAGAGCAGTTCCCGGAGGCTGTACAAGCGGTTCCTATCAAGGATGTTGAACAGAGGTGAGCACAGCAGGGCACGAAGTAGGGCAGCCTCCTCGATGGCAGCCAGACTGCGCACCTGCTGAGACTTGGGGCCCTCTTGTGTTACATTTAGTGCTTGTATCATGTTTTCCAGTACCTCTCTGAGCAGTGGCAAGCGGCAGGGCAGGGGCCTGGACACCAGTTTCTGCTCTAGGGTGAAGAATTTGGACAGGCGGGTAGCCATGCGGGAGGGGTCTCGCATCCCTGCACCCAGCAGGGTCAGCTCTGCCACTTGCTGCAGGTCAGGCAGTTTCAGTGCCACAGGCCGCAGTAGCAGGTGCAGGTTGGCAGGCACAGCGAGGCTCAGGGAGCGCAGTGTCAGAAGACAGCCATAACCAAGGCACACAGTCACACGGTGCATCTCGAAGAAGCCATGGCCAAGGAGCTGGGGCTGGGTGGGGTCGATGGTGCTGAGGCTTTGGGAAGCCTTCTGGTACAGCGGGGCATAGAGGTGTTGCAGTTCAGCCAGCCGCTGGCCCAGGGCAGAGAGCAAGCCAAGAGGCAGGTGCTGAGCAGCCTTCAAGAGCAGCCAGGCACCACCTTGCAAGGCACCATTCAGGTACTTGCTTAGGCTTTGGGCCTCTACTTGAGGCAAGCAGGACATCACCACCAGCTGGCGACCTAAGGCCTGTGCCAGGCTCTTCACTGTAGTTGTCTTGCCCACACCATCTGGGCCCAATAGGGTCCCACAGGCCACCTCTTCCAGGGCCAGTAACAGGATAAGGGCTGGCCGCTCAGGCAGCAGGCTGGGTACAGACTCCAGCTTGGGACCCAGGTACTCATAATTGTACGGGAAGGACCGGCCCAGAACATTTACCCAGCATGCAGCTGGAGACAGAGAGGTCTCAGTAGATAGGACAGTCTTGAGATTCTGCAGGGGGCTCTGCGGGCTGGCGTGAGGTGACCCCAGGTAATATTTGAGTTGACGGGCCCAGTGGAAGTCTGTCAGATCACTGACCTGGTGCTGCTGCAGCAGCTGTGCTACATCCCGGTGAGTTACCGCCATAGCCAGCAGAGCACCCAACAGGCTGTTCTGGCGGGCAGAGGACAGGGGCTGCCTACCTTGGGAGGCCCTCTGGGCCCGTGCAAAATACACCAGTACCTCAAGCTTGCGCACATGCCTCTGGACCATGGCCAGCTTCCTTCCCTCTAGCAGAGCATCCTCCATCTCAGCCCTCCATATCACCTCCTCTGCTACCAGCACACATTGCCACGGGAAGGCCTGAACTAAATCCAGCCAGCGGTGGACGCTCTGTTGCAGGAGCAACTGGCTTTGCTGGGGCAGCTGCTTGAACGTCTCATCTAGACATGGGCCCAGAGCAAGGCGGGCAGCCACACAGTCCTGCAGCATGTGCACCAGGGTCAGACGCAGACCCTTCTCAAGCGAGGCCAGCCATTTGGGGAGATCCGGATGCAGAGGAAGGGACCCTTGCAGCTTCACCTCCTCCCCATCTGCCCCTATCACTGCAAGCGCCTCCACCTGAATCTGCGTGCTCAGGCTCAGCTCTTGCTCATCCTCGTCTTTCTTATCAGTTGAGATGGACTGGAAGCTCACAGCGTGCACGTGAGGAAAGCAGCGTCCTACCCACAGCTGAGTCTCAGATGGCTCTAGCGGGGCAGCCAGCAGAGCCACCAGCTCACTGTTGCTGAGGAAAAAGAGGCGGGGGAAGTGGGCACACACATCATACAGCACACTCTCCAAAGCCATGATGATACCCTCGAGCTCCATCGAGCCTGCCTGCAGCTGCTGCTGCAGCTGTTGGCCTTGGAAGTAAGGGTTCCGCTTGACACTGGGCACTATAAGTGACAGAACCAGAGGGTCAGCTACAGAGATCCGCATCAGGGTCCGAAAGTAATCATCCCAGGCTTTGAAACGATTGTGCTGTGGTGAAAGAGATGGTAAAAGTGAGGGCAGATACAAAGCGGCCATTCCCACTCCCACCCGGAGCCCTGCTACTCGGGAGCCCTTTTCCACCCTGCCTCACCACCCCTCCCCTCTCCCTACCAGCTCAAAACTAGGAAACTGGATCTTCATCTCATGCAGAACTTTATTCAGAAAAATCCACTTCTGCTGGAATGTCACCCACATTTCCAGCAGGGCACCTGTGTGAACAACCAGGAAGGAAGTTGCAGCTGGAGGAAGATGCAGGGTCTAGCTTCTGCAAGGGGTCCAGTTTGCTCCTGACTTCTTGGGGTGACCCACCAACCCAGCCAAAATACTCTGCTCATCAGGACCCTTGCTAGGAGAAGAACTTCCCTGTGAATAAAGACCTGGACACCTCAGCCCAAGAAATGGTCCTGAAGGAAGTCCTCACTGTCTGTCACACCTTCCCCTCCCCCACTCCTCTGAGCCATCGCCCTGCAGGTCCCGACATCAGCCCAGCTAGAAGCCTGCACTCACCCAGGCCATGCATGATGGTCACCCACTCCAAGGCTATTCTGTGTGAGTCTCCTGTCTTCTGGGTGGCCAGGATCTTGTACAACACCTGAAGACTTTCTTGGATGGAATCCTGCAGGCTATTACAATCTAAGGAAGAGTAGGCTCAGCTGAGCTCAGCTGGGCTGGCAGTCAGATGAACAGGGGCAGGGATGACTGATAGCCCAAGCACACTGAAACTCACAGATCCTGTGTTATTCTCTAGAAGACACAACCACATTTTTCTACTAGCTGAATGCATGTTCACCACACATTCAGTCTGTGTTTGCAGACTTGTTTATATGAACTATAATTTAACGATAGCATTTGCTGATAGTATGTTAACCGCTAGTATGACTTACTGGTTCTATGGAAACTATGAAAGATTTCAGTAAAGGTGAGTTCTTAAAAACATGATATTATATTAGGTATAGGCAAGTTAATTTTTAAGAACTAGAAAATGATATTAAAAATCCTGAAAAGTTCTGGACTCAGGCAACTTCACAAGTGTCTTCATGTCACTGCTCAACTTTACAGAAACTCAAAGCAGAGCTTGGAGACAATGTACTAAGGCAAGAACGCAGTGAGGAAATTCCATCAGTTGACTGGAACTCAAAGCTCTTGTCCTTATGTTAAAAGTTTAGGACATAAAGATACATTTATGCAGTTTAAGCTAAAATAAAAATCTTTAGCCAATGTATGCCTCGTATGTTATGCTTTCCCTCTTGACTTTTTGAATTTACACTTGGGTTCAACTGTGCAGGAAAAGAGAATTTCTCTAGTGGCCTTCCGCTAATTTGGACGTCCATACACATACTGTTGCCTTTGCCTGGAATGTCTTTCTCTCCTTGCAAGTCTGGCAAATGCCTACTCCTAAGATATCAGCATGAGGCCTCTACCTATGGAAAGGGAAGATTTCTCTGACTCCCTGATCCTTCGAAGCTGGTCGCCATTCTGAAACGCTACAGCCTCAGCTAGGTGTGCAGTCATGCACCTGTCCTTATTCTATTGACCCATCTCACTGGACTGGGAGCTCTTGAGGGACAAGACTTTTGTCTTTTAACCTCAGCATCTTCTGTGTTTGGCCTAGAGGAGGCAGGTGACATGGGGATAAAAGAGAATAGTAAGGTAGCAGGGCACAATCTAGAGACAGAGCACTGAAAGGTGGAGCAATGTGGCAGGAGGAAAGTCTTAGTACACTCAATAGGGAAGGACTTCTGCAGAAGAGGCTAGGCATGGGGTAGGCCCCCAAGAAGATTAAGAATGTATGGGTGCTAGATGGAAAAACTTATCTCGGAACAGACTGATGTCTCAGGCTGTCCAGCAAGGATGGGCCTGACCAGGGAAGCCAGATTGGGCAGGGCCTGGTGGACAAGCTGGATTATGCTCCCCCAGTCCCTTCTGTCCCCTCCCGCTTCCCTCCCCCCACCCCATCTTTGGGACTGGCACAGGGCCACAAGGGCTGGGTCTCACCTGAAAGAATGAAGGTGCCACTATCCATTTCCACTACCTTCCAATGGGGACTGCGAAGCATTTGCTTCTTGGAGCGCTCATAGGCTGGGGGCTCATAGGGCACATGCAGGATGAAGTTGAGCAGACGCAGTTGGTGTGTTTCCCAGGCTCGCTGCAGCTGCCGGAGGGTCTCTTGGGTTTGAATTCGTTCCCTTTCACCCTGCCAGAGCTAGAAGAGCTGGGTCTCAGGAACCAGGACTGGGTCATGGCCCAGAGGATAGCCTCGGAGTTGGGACTCAGGGCCAGGGCTCACAGGAGTGGAAGGCTTGGAGATAAAGGAGGAACAGGCCTCAGGGTTCAAAGACAGATTCTCAGCAGCACACTCTGGGCCAGTGTGTTCTGCCTTGAAACCCACTCTTCGGGCTCCAGCTGAGCAGGTAACACCTTACTCGGCTTGTGCTTCTTTGGAACAACTGCCATCCTATATGCCCACGATTGCAGGGCTGCTACCCACTTGCTTTCTCTCGGAGACACTGAGTCACAGAATCTGGAACCACCCATCAGACACCCATCTGGAACCTTAAGGAGACCATGCTCAGCTTTCAGGCAGCCCTGGCAATTTTAAACCCCCATCCAATCTTCTACTTGCCAGTATCTACTGGCCCCATGTCTCAAGGGCTGCTGGACCTCAACTAGCTCTATTAGATCTTAGCCAGCAGGTCCAGGACTTGCACCACCTCCCTTCCCACTATGTGTCCCACCTGATTGATTCGATCTGCAAACTCCAGTAGTGGACACGAGAGCAGCTGGCCCAGTGTTAGAAGTTCTATGTTGTGGATACTGTCCAGCCCTAAGGCTGGAGACAGAGGGGACAAGTCAGAGCAATGCCCAGTATTTGGCAAAGTCCAGCCCATATCTCAGAGCCCAGGTCCCTGACACAAAGCCCAGGCCAGCCCAGGCCAGCCCACCTCATTTCCGATCCCGGACAGCACATCTCATTGCCCAACACAGAGCAGAGCGGAGAACCCAGAACTTAAGGTTCAAAGTGTAACTCAGTTCAAATTTAAGACTCCAACCTGTGCCCAGCCCAGGTCAGCAAAGAGGACCCACATGGTAGTGAGGGAGGCTGGAAATGTTTGTCCCTGTCGGGGAAGGCAGGGAGCAACCTAGGGAAGAAGGTGTTTCCAACAGGAGCAACAGGGATCTCAGTTGTTGCAGCTTCTCACACTTATGTCCTTCCTGACCCAAACACACCTCGCAGGAGAGCATGGCAGTTGATGTTCTGCAGGGAGAGGCTGTCTAACTTGTTAAGCAAAGGCAGATAGCTGCGGAACTCCTCCAGCATGCGCATGCAGCGTTGCAGAACGGGGCTGGGCACCCCCAGGTTTGCACTCATCCTTGCCGCCTCTGTCAGCCAGCCATCCGTCTTCTCCTTGGCCATAGCCAGGCTGAACTGTAGGGTGAGGGATTCACAGTCAGCTGGAGACCCTTCCCCACCCCCAAACCTCCAGATTCCCAGGCAGGAGTTCCAAGGGTGGGTGCCAGCACCTTGGCGAAGGCCATGCACTTCCACTCACTGATATTTTCAGAGATGAGTCGGTAGAGGTGCCAGATGCGCTGCTGCTGCACGATGGGCCGAGTCCCGCAGGCCGGCACAGTCACGGGACTCGGATGCCCTGAGGGACAGGACTGGATGAGGCTGGGGCTGCGTATGTGCAGGGAGTGGTGTGGGGGTGGCATAGGGACAATGGGAATGGTCAGACAAGAGCCCATAAGGACATAAGGGAGGGTCCAAAAAGTTCTTGGGGGAGGGGTGGTGCCTAAAATTGTTCTGGACAACCATGGAGGCGGAGACAATTATTCTAAGGAAAGAATGTCTAGAAAATGTGATGGCAGTGAAACGGAAGGGTTCCTCTTCTATTAGTCTCCATCTTGCTTACTCTTCTCAGTCACACCAGACCTGAGTGCTTCTCAGCTACACCAGGCATGCTCCCTCCCTGCTCAGAGCCTTGGACAGGCAGTCCATTCTTTCTGGAACACTGCTCCCTCAGAGAAGCATGTGGCTCGCTCCCTCACCAAATTCAAGTCCTTGCTCCAGCATCACCTTCTGAATGAGGCCTACGCAGACCATCCCATTAGAAATGTTTATCTACCCTTCTTAGTGTGCTTGATTCCCCTTACACGGTCTTTCTCCCCCAGTTAGAATGTTGGGCCCACGAGGGTGGGGCTTTTGTCATTTGTTCCTTGATAAACCTCAACCCTGGTGCACAGCAGGCACTCAACTAATACATGTTGAATGAATGAATGAGTTCAATGAGATGCATATGAAAAAGGTCTGGCCCACCACAGGAACACAAGGGCCAGAAAGCACCATCAGGTATAAACGGTATCTTTGACACTCCCTGCCGTGTTTACCTCTGGCCACTATTCCCTTCCTCCATTTCACAAGCTACTGGTCAGTTCTTAATAATTTATATTCAGTTGTGAGACACGTGTCAAATGTAATTTGCAAAGCATAATCATTATGGTACTTCAAGGATATTACAACAAATTTCATCTTATTCACTTGAATTCAGCATGTGACTGCATCTGAGCAAGAACGCTAAGACCACAGAGGTCTTTACGTGTGAAGGGAACTGGCCTAGCTGCACCACTGTATAGAAGCGCTAAGCCAGTAGCTCCATCCTGGTCTCCTCCTGGGAGCCAAAGAGGCACTCAGCAGCCACCTCTCTATGCCACGCTTGCTGGACGCAGTGGCTGTTGACCATCAAGCCCTGTTTTCACCCAGCACCTGCTGCCTGGGGCAGGGCTGGACAGAGCAGGCTACATACTGCATGGAAGACTCCTTCCATTTCTCTTGCATGGTTTTTAGTCCTCAGTCCCCACAGCATTCTAATGGAACCTATCTGCCTTTCCCATCAGACCGTGAGCCCCCTGCATCCCTACCCTAGGCACAACACTTGACATACCCAATGGCTGACAATTTTGTCTTGCAATTTATTATTTATAACAGGACTAATGAAGGTGTGTGATTCCCAAAGCTCGCTGAGGATCACTCAGGACATAGGCCCTGAGTTCCAGCCCTCAGCTCAGTGGGAAGGTCTAGCAGGAGGAAGCGGGGCTCTTGGGTATACCTGTGAAGGTGGCGAAGGCATGGCGCAGTTCACTGAGGTGCTTGGCTGTGTTCTGGAACTGACGCTCCAGGGAGATGAGCTGGCGCTCAACAGCCCTCTGCTCCTGCTGGGGATCCATGAAGGGGCCAGACAGGGCCTTTCGAAGCAGGCCTTCCAGCTCTGCCAGCGCCGCTGTCATCAGCTGCTGCAGCTTGGGGATGATGGCGTGTCGCTTGCTGAGCAGGAGCTCTGAGGCCTGGTTTTTCTCAAACTGAAATGCCTCCCACATATCCAGAAGCTGCAAGGAAGCAGAAGGCAGCCAAGTAGATGTGGTTGTGGGGAGGAATTGGGAGGGACCAGAGATCCCTTGAATCACCTGCTCACCATCATGTCCAGCTCCTCATTCTCAGCACTGAAGTGGCTTAAGTGTTTGCGGATGAGTTCATGGAGTGACCACACGTATTCCATTCTCTCCTCCAGTGCCAAGTATTTCTCGTTGGCCTCGTTCAACTGCAGGGACTACGGCATGAGACCAGTACCCCCACAACCCTGCATGCCTATTTGAACCCACCCCTGAGGGGCACTCCCACTTGCCCAAGGCTCCAGACCCCAGCAGTCACTTTTAAGCCAATTGGGATCAGGGGCAATCTGGGATTAGATCCCCATCTGGGGCCTCCTTGGTAGTGCAAGGGGTTAAGCACCAGCACTATGAAGTTATTGGCAGCCACTGCAGCACTAGTTCAATCCCCGGCCAGGGAGGTGACCCACATGGAACAGCAGACCTCTCCTGTCTCACCCGCTGCTCCCCTCAGCAGTGTATTTCAGTCAGTCCACCTGTTCTGCTTCTCACTCTGTCTCTGGTAAATCTTCTCACCACCCCACACTTCTGGCCTACACCCCAGCTCTAATGTACACAAATAAATAAAATAAATATTAAAAAAATAGATCCCCATCTGACTCAGGTCTCTCTGAAGACAGCATAGTTCTGCCCCCACCAAATCATTACCCTGGAGGCAGTGCTTATATCCCTACCCAACTGTCAGAGAGCAGAAGTGTGTTTCCAAAAGCAGGCATCTCCCTGCCACAAGCAACCAAGAGCCACAAGAACAGGCCGAGAATCATTAAGGGCATGCTCTTAAGCAGTGTTCCTGTTGTGAGCTCAGCTGAGACCTGAAGAGTATGGGGAGCATTTGGGCCCTGGATAAGCTGGGAAGGAAAGATGGAAAGAGCCCACCTTCTGGGAGCAGCGTGCAATGGTGTGAATGTCCATGCTGATGGTTTGGAAGGCCTCCATGAAGTCTGTGAGCTCTGCCATTAGCTGTTGACTGTAAATCCTGCACTCATCCTGTACCTGCATAAGAATGTCCTTCCTGATGCTCTCCAGCTTGGATTCTAAAGACAGGCGAGGGTTAGGCGTCAGAAAGTGCATAAAAAAGAAGGGGTAGGTATTTGGGGAGAGTTGGGGTCCAGAGTGGAAACAGGGTTCAAGCCATGAATTTATTCCTTCACTCATGGAACACTTTACTGGACCCCTGGTCAATGTCCAGGCAGCTGCCATATACCAGGGCTTGTGCTGATCTCCAGGGGAGACAAGAGTGAGTAAGACAGAAAGGATTCTACACTCAGAAGTTCACAATATGGTGGTAGAAACAGATATAAATGTACAATCACAAACCAGTGAGAAAAATGCTCCTCAAGCCCCTAGGAGCCTTCATCCTGGCATAGCAAAGGGAGAAGAGGCCAGGGAAGCTGGCCAAAGCTGAACGTGTTCTGCAGTTAATCTTCCAAGAGCAAGATGCACATCAAGCAGATATAGCAGCACATGCAAAGGCAAGGGAGTGACATGCTCGAGGCCAGCAGAATCCCTATCAGCTATGAAAGTTTTCCGGGATCTTCCTGCCTGCCTCTCTCTAGCAGAAGAGGTAACAAGAAGAGTGTACAATGTGCCTTTCATTCTCAAGGATTAAAGGAAAGAAGCTGTCAGGCAAATATGGAGCTAGAAAATGATCTGAGGAGTTACCTTTGGGAATACAAACAACTCTGCTATCTCCAAGAACAGGAATAAGACCAACGTGCACCTCATCAGAGCTAAGACACCACCGGCAGTTAAGAAGCACCACGACTTTTATGTATCACAAGTTAAAAAATGATGCCATCTAAACTCAATCTTTTTTTTTTTTTTAATAGAGGCATGTTTTATTTATTTATTTATTTGTTTGTTTGTTTGTTTTGTTTATACATGCACTGGGTACAGTCAGAAGCATGGGAGGGTGAGAGAATTCACCAGAGCCAGAGCGGGGAGCAGAGCAGGCAGAAGGACTGAAGTACACTGCTGAGGGGAGCAGCGGGTGGCAGGTGAGGTCTGCGCGCCCTGTGGGACCCTCGCCGGTGGCGGGGGATTGAACCGGCGCTGCAGAGGCTGCGGGCAGCTTCGCAGCCCAGCGCTCAACCGCTGCACCATCTGGGAGGCCCTCTAAACTCAATCTTAATATACCTCGTAAGTTCAGAGATGTTAAGGTATGCGCAAAGCAGCAAAATAGAACAGAAATGTGGATGCAGCATAGCATGAAATACAGTATGCGCCTTCCCACATGCCAGGCACAGTGCCAATTACTTGGCTATGTCAAGTCATTTTAATTTTCACAGAACCCTTTGAGATAGAAATCGCTAATTAGCCTTTTTGGATGGCAAACAAACTGAGGCTCAGAGAGATTAGCAATTTATCAGTAATCACACAGTGGCAGAGCAAGGATTGAGACTCACATAACCAGACTCCACCCAATTACATTTTGAGGAGTGAAAAGTCAATCTACTTATCCCCTACGAGCATCTCTGCAACCAGAAAGTGGAAGAGAGTTTGGGGACAATAATGTGTTTGCAAACTTGGAGGAGGTGTTTGGAAACCAGGGGACGAGGCACCAAGAACTGAGAACTGAGAAAATCAAGAGAGTGGGAACCTAGCATAGGTGGTATCCAAGAACAGAGGGACATGGATTCATCCTTTTTCAAAGTGCCCCCCCTGGCCTCTCACAGCAGTGCAGTCAGTTGTGCGGCTCCATCAGGCAGCGAGGCGCTCAACAGCGCCACCGTGTGGTTGGGAGTTGCTTTTGGTGATAGAAACAACTTGACTTTTCTCCAACCACAGGAATAACACCACTACCTCACCAAATTAAAGAGATAGGATAAAATACCAGTACTCCGTAGGGTGGGATGTTGGAGACGGACGGGAAAAAAGACTTGAGATATATTTAGAGGCAGAAGTATGGAAAAGATTTAGCAATAGGTTGGATGTGGTGGAATTAGGGAGAGAGAAAAGGATGAATGCAAACTTCTGGAAAGAAGTTCAGCAGATAAGATAATGATGTCATTCGCTGTTCAAGGGAGCCCAGCTAAACAAGGAACAGAGTTGGAAGGTTAAGAAGACAAATTAAGGGCCTCCCTGGTGGCGCAAGGGGTTAAGCACTGCACTATGAAGCAATCCACAGCCTCTGCAACACGAGTTCGATCCCTGGCCGGCCAGGGAGCAACCCACATGGCGAGACAGACCTCTCCTGTCTCGCCCGCTGCTCCCCTCAGTAGTGTATTCAGTCAGTCTGCCTGTTCTGTTCCCTGCTGTGTTTCTAGTAGATCCTCTGACCCCCCACATCTCTGGCCTGTACCCCAGCTCTTGTATGCATAAATAAATAAATCTTTAAAAAAAATAAAAAAGAAGACAAATTAGACCACTAAGAAGGATGAGAGTAGACAGGGGTTAAGGTGAAATGAGAAAATTAAGCACCTACTGTGTGTCTCACTCCATGGCAGGAGTGAGAAATACTATCTCATTTAATCCTCCTTACTATCACCCTGTGAGTGACTGCATTATTATATTCGTTATTAATGAAATGAAGCTCAGGCTTCTGAGGTTTTCAGAATCTAGTTTAAAAAAAAATAGAACTAGGATCTGCTTTTCTCTTTCTACCTGCTCCTCTGGAAGAATCCTGTTGATCCTGGAGTAAGAATCAAGAAGGTAACAAGCTAGAAAGAACAGAGACTTCTCAAGCAATGATGGGGCAAAGTTCACCTAAAACAGGATGGGAAAGAAAGCAGACCAATCACAGGTCCTCCCTGCTCCTGTATGGCCAGCCTGAACCCTCTAGGCCTTTAGAGGGGGGGCAAAGCAGGGAGTTTTTCTAGCCCATAAGACTCCTAACAGGGCATGTATCTCATATGCTGAAGGGCGAAGGCAGGGAGGGCTGGCCAGGAAAACATTTTCAAGCAAACTCTTTCAGGCCCCAGTTCCAAAGCAGACCTTGGAGAGAGGGCAAGGGGTCCATGGGTCTCAGAGTATCTAGTCTCTGCAGAAGTGGACACTACTGGTTATTGCCATCCTTGGGGCTTAGGTGAGGAAACAGAACCACCTCCTGTTTCCTAGAACAAGTCACCGGCTTCACAATCGGCCCCACTGTTTGTGAGCCTCTGTTAGGCCAGGTCCTAGCTAGCTAGTAAATTATTTAGCTAGTAAATAATAGCGGGAGACATCTTTCCCATGGGAAGGGATAAAGAGTAAAGAACTAAGACTAGGTCTTACTTATCAGAGAACCAGGGAGAGCAACAACTTGGCCTTGGCAAGGGCAAGAAGAAGAAAACTGAGATGGGTCTGGGAGAAAACAAGCATGGGCTTGAGCTCCACCGTCCATGTGGAACTTTAGGAAGATACTACCTTGCAGGGCACCCTTATGTTAACATGAGATAGTCAGGGATGAATGAAATCACAATGAGATGTGTTGTGGCAGTAAGAGGGCCAAATAGAAAGCTCCCAAGTGCACCAGAGATTCCAAATGGCAGGCGATATAGAAGAAAGCAGAGCTGATACCAGTGCGCTTCCTGTGTTGAAAGATAAGGGACCCTGAGCACTAGGGAGTGGCCAACCCAAGACAAAGACTGGCTGAAGAGCTCAATAAAACCTCAAGGATCTGCAGCTGCTGAAGCAGGGCTGAGTCTGCAAAGGTGCTCACTCTGGGGTCTACCAGTCACGAGAACACACCCTGGTTATACCAGCTCAGGACACCAAAGTCAGTGGAGGGCAGAGACCTCAGTGAGGGCCAACAGAAGGCAGCAAAGCACAGCACACATCCCAGAGCCCTCTCCAATGTCAGATGTCACCTCAGAAAGAAAAAGGAACAGAGGACTCTTGAGGATAAAAGCAACCAAGAACTGTAGTATGAATTTTGAATTGAGCAAATACCCTAATAGACTGAATTAGACCAAAATTAACTGCTTTAAATGAAAAGTACTTTCACATTCAATTGGAATATATTCTTTCATCAGCAGCAGAAATTGGACTACAGAGTAAAACACCACCAGTTAAAGAGTAACTTTTTACACATGCAAATTGTAGTGTCAATTTTGAGTCTGTTACAAATGGGGAGGGGGTCCTCTTGACTCCTGAGAGTCTGTAAAAATCTGAACTTAGTAGATGAAGGAGCAGGTTGAGATTGTTCTTGGTCACATTTGGTTTGAAGTATTTGCATGTCATAAGAAGACAAAGTGTCAGATGACAGGGTGTGATTCCTAAGGCGGAAGGAAAATGAGCAGAGCCAAAGCGCATGGAGAGGTTGTCTTGGAGAATGATCACACCTTAAATCGCAAGGGGAAAGGGCTGCAACTTGGGGCTTTGAGGGGCTCTACAGATCCAATGAGGGCCCTGACCCTAGGGGATATTCCAGACCCAAGGAGGACCCTGTAGGTAAGGTAAGGATGGCAGAAGGAACAGACAAAGGGTAGGCAGCACTCACCTGTATCTGCCCGTATGTCACAGCAGTTCAGCAGCAGCAGCCTGCCTTTTGTGATAAACTCGGTAGGTATATTAGAGACACGGCTCTGCCAAACATTGAGATTGCTCACCAGCGTCACATAATTCTTGATGGGACAACCTCTCAAAGACTCCAGTTTCTGAGGTCCCCAGGTTTGCAGGAACTCATAAATGCCTGTCATCCAGTGATGCTCCCTGCAGAATTCCTGTACCTCACTCAGCATGTCCTAGGGAGCACAGAGGTGGGAGGTTAAGACAGAACAGGGGGCCTCCCCGGTGGTGCAGCGGTTGAGCGCTGGGTTGCGAAGCTGCCTGTGGCCTCGGCGATGCCGGTTCAATCCCCGGCTGCTCCCCGGCCACCGGAGGAGGGTCCCACATGGCGCGCAGACCTCTCCTGCCACCCGCTGCTCCCCTCAGCAGTGTCCTTCGGTCCTTCTGCCTGCTCTGCTCCCCGCTCTGGCTCTGGTGAACTCTCTCACCCTCCCGCGCTTCTGACTGTACCCAGTGCTTGTATAAACAAAAACCAACAAACAAACAAATAAATAAAACATGCCTCAAAAAAAAAAAAAAAAAAGACAGAACAGGGTGGACACCACTTCCACTCCTAAACCTCTGTTCTCACCTGCAGCAGGGTCTGTTGTGTAGCCAGGGCCTGCTGGATTTGCAGGTTGTTCCCCAGGTCCTCTTGCAGCTGCTTATGATTGGGGGGCAAGTACTGGCCCCGAAGTCGGTACCCACAGACCTCCAGGGTATCAGTAATTGCATGAGTATTCCAGGGCAACACCAATCCTGTGTTCGGGCCGCAGAAGATGCGCACAGCATCACTGGGCTGGCTCTGGAGCTTGGGCGTCAAGATTTCTGTGTTCGTGTCCTCTTCTTCATCTTCTTCTAGTGGGGCACATGCCATGATTGTCCTTGAGTGGCCCCCAAAGCCCCCATACCACCTCTCCCTCTACCCTGAGTGTGGACACACATATTGCACACACACACACGAACACATTTCCTGCTCACGAGTGAGCTTATACACACATCTATATCACAAACAGTACACCAGACCCACTAGGGGACTACAGTTGGTAAGGTCAGAGGCAGAACAGAATTTACTCTAGTTAGTATGAGCAAAGGGGTCATTATTATGAAATATTAAGTTGTTAGTGGTTAGAAGAGCAGAAAACTGAAAACATTCTAGGCTGAGCATTGAGGACTCTGTGCTGCCTGGCAAACTGGAACACCACAGCTATAAAAGCACACTGCCTGTTATGACCCCACCAGAATGCATAGCACATGCGGGGCCTCTCTCCCTTACTTAGCTCACTTGTGAATTAAGTCTCATGTAGATCTAAATCAGTACGACACCCAGCTACAAGGGTAGTTTGTAGCAGTCCAGACTTAGTAGAGCAGAGCGGGGGAAGGATGCTGGGCATGCCAGGCCTCAGCATCTGCCCCAAGGAGCATTCTTGAATCCAGCCTCCCCTTTAACTTCCTAGGAGCTTAGGAACTAGTTAATTTCAGCATCTAATTTCAGCATCTGTGTTAGAACTCTGTACAGATGGGGAGGGGAGGAATATATCCAGAAATGAGATCCATTCTACCAACACCCAAACACTGCAGTGCTCCCAAGGCTCAGCCCTCAAATCTCGGCTGTTCTCCATCTGTACTCACTCTCTAAGAGAGCTCATTCAGTTTCATGGCGTTAAATACCATCTCTTTGCTCCCATATTTATCTCCAGCTCACATCTCTCCCTGAATCCCGGTCCCACATAAACCACTGCCTATTCCACAAATGAGCTCTGATTTCTCTGATTTTCTACCCCCATCCTCTCATAGTCCCCCTGTTTCTTCCAGCTTCAGTAAATGGACACTCCATTTCTCCAGTTGCTCAAGTCTGAAACTTTTGAGTCATCTTTGATATTTCTCTTCTATACAATACACCCAAGTATTACAAAATCCTGTTGACTGTCCATTCAAAATATATCTAGATTCCAACCTCTACCCACCTCCTGCCCTCCTCTCTCCAGCCCATGTCACCATCAAATCTACCGCCATTATGTAATAGCCTCTGAATGTATGTCCTAGCTTTGGTCCTTGCCTCCAACATCTTACAGTCACTGCCCCACATAACAACAAGAATGAATCTTTAAACATAGTACTAGAAAGGATTCTGGGACGGTGGTGGCAGTGACAGGATAGTTTTGATTTCTCTCTAAAATACCATATAAAATGACATAAAGTGACTGCACAAATTAGATAGTAAAGCCAAAAACCCATGGATAATGTTTTTAACAAAATGGGGACAAGAAATCCTTACAAACTCTAAAATACAAGTGGGTGGGGACAAACCATCCACAGCTTCAGAGCCACTTCACATCATTGTAAGTGGGGAAGAAGAAGCAGAGGGGACAGTGATGCACACGGCAGAAACGAGACTTAGGAGCCCCTCACAAGGGCCCACACGCACTTGCTGGAAAGCAGAAGCCAGTTTGAGAATGGCAGGTATAACTGGAGAGGTGTCGCCTGCTCAGCAGGCAGGTGACGTAAGCTCTGTAAAAGCTGAAGTAGTTATGTCCTGTGAACTCCTGAAACTAACTAGCCAGGGCTCACTTCTGGGATGGAGCTCAACCACTAAGGATAAGCTGCTGGGGTAGAACACAAACTGAGCTGCATGAAAGCAATAGAGAAAAAAAAAAAGAAAAGGCACTGATACCAGTGGGAGAGAGAAATGAAAAACAGGGTATGTCAGAAAGCTGCACATCATTTTTTTTTTTTTTTTTTTTGAGTAGGGGGAACATTACAGAAAGACAAAAGAAAAGGAAATGGAGAGGTTAGGAAACTATTTTGAACCAAAAGTTCTACTTCTTCTAAGAGTTTAGAAAAGTCAGTTTTTCTAAAACAAACTGGAAAGTGTCAAAATCACACCACATACAAAGCTCTTAAATGGAAAAAGAGAATATGGATTAGTATAACATATTTATGAGCAGAATAAATCATATTAAGAAAGATCAAAACAAGCCCCATTTCAAAACAAGCTAAGACACCAGAAAAATGTTATGTGAAGAAAGAACAACATGGAACAGAACCGGAAAAACATAGAAATTCTGTAACAGAAAGCAGCAAAGAATAAGAAAAGAAAGGGGAAAAAAATCATTTCACAATGAAAACTGAACCACAAAGTAGCATGAGAAAATAAACTTAACAGTTTATTTATCTTAAAATTTAGGTAATGCCTTAAGAAAAATAAAAGGTAAAGGTAAAGATAATTATAAAATTTTTAAAAGATTAAAAAAAAAAAGGCCCTCCCTGGTGGCACAAGGGGTTGAGCACCACACTATGGGGCAATCTACAGTCTCTGCAACATGAGTTCAATCCCCTGCTGGCCAGGGAGCAACCCACATGGCACAGCAGACCTTTCTTGACTCTCCCGCTGTTCCCCTCAGCAGTGTACTTCGTCACTCTGCCTGTTCTGCTCCCCACTCTGGCTCTGGTGAATTCTCTCACCCTCCTGCATTTCTGACTGTACCCAGTGCTTGTATAAATAAATAAAATCTAAAAAAAAAAATGAAATAAAATAAAAGTAAAAAGGACAACCCACAACATTACAGATAGCTCTACTTTCACTAGAATTTATGATAAATTCTAAAGCGCTATAGAAGACAGTACTCTTTTAATCTCCAAACAATACTGTAAGTTTGGTATTTTTGTTATGCCCATTTTACAGATTAGTCTGATTCTAAAGTCCTTCTTCTTTCCACTGCACTATGTAAAGCACATTATCAACAGTCTTTATCAATTAACCTAGATTCATTGGGGGGATGTGCTCCCCTTGGTGGGATTTGTGAAAGACATGGGCTCCTTTCAATGAACTTTTTCTCCTTGGCATCTATTTCCTAAAATTAACTCTGTCTTTTAATCATCTTAATACATACAGACTGGTTGAATGGGAAATGAAAAAGCATCTGCATGTCAGATGTTCATGAATGCAGTTAATGATTTTACTTATGACAGCATTAGTATTCCAAGTAAAGGAAATGTGAAGATGCACTTCCTCCCTGATGGCTAGTAAGTCTGAGGATTGATAAGCATAAAATAGCTTAATAATACAAAGGACTTATTCTATAGGAAATAAATAACAGCTGAATAAAATAAATACTGAACAAGCAGAGTTCTTCAAACAAGTACAAATTTACTTAGCAATCAAATTCAACAGTAAATGAAATGCTGTTTGACATTAGAAAAAAAATTTATGGAGTCTGGACGAATCAGGAAGGACAGTGTACTCATTCATACACCCCTCATCATACTCAGGTGCACCCGACACATACACATAAGCCCAGACATGAACAAAAGCACCCTTCCTGGCTCTCTCCCTAACACAAGCATGCAGCACCCAGTTTAAAGCTGCTCCATCCACACCCAAGGCCTGACACACAACATATGCCCTTTCCTTCCCTCTACCTTCCTAGCCCCTGCCTAGGTCTTCTTAAATACCTTCATAATACAGGAAATCCGAAGGGGTCTTCAGGTCTGCAGATTGTATTATCTTCATGCCAAGATATGGAGAAGAAACAGAAATGGAAAGCAGGGAGAGTTCAGACCAGGTAGAACGCTGATTATGGAGAGCCGGAACTGGGAGCTCAGAGAGCCAACCTCCCTGCCCAACCCAGAATACCTTCAGGACAGAGGCCATGACAGACTGTATGCCCCCAGTTAGAATCTGGATTATATTTTCAATGTAGGGCTCATGAGATAGTTGGCCAGAATCATCAAAAACCAACTGTGCTAAGAGCAAGGGATTCTGTCTTGGGGCCTATAAAAGAAGGGTCAGGAGAAATCATGGGGCTAAATGTCAATACCCAGCACCCCAGTCCCCAGTAGCCCACCCCACACATGCCACCCACCCCACCACCTCACTTGCAGGACGTTGGCCACAAAAGAGGTGATTTCCCTCTCTATAATAGACACGAGGCTCTGGCAAATCATGTAGTCTACCAGGCGGGCCAACTGTCCCAGCTGTAGCAACCAGGAATCCGCCTGCTTCAGCTTCTGCTCCAGCTGCTGGCACTGTACCCGATGAAGGTAGATGGAGCCTTGGCCTTTCCTGATCCTCTTGCAGTTCTTCACTCGCTCCTGCATGCCCTGTTGCATGTGATATGTGTCCTCATGAACCTGTCAGCATAGAGAGTAGATAACTCAGTGGAGAAAGAGAAAGGCAGGGCAAACCAGCCTCCCACTGGTCTGTGCGAAATCTCAGGTCTTAGAACCAGAGTCCTGGGCCTCCCCAGTGGCGCAGTGGTTGAGCGCTGGGTTGCGAAGCTGCCCGCAGCCTCTGCAGCGCCGGTTCGATCCCCGGCTGCTCCCCGGCCACTGGAGGAGGGTCCCACATGGCGTGCAGACCTCTCCTGCCGCCCGCTGCTCCCCTCAGCAGTGTACTTCGGTCCTTCTGCCTGCTCTGCTCCCCGCTCTGGCTCTGGTGAAGTCTCTCACCCTCCCACGCTTCTGACTGTACCCAGAAAAAAGATTTAAATAAATCTTTAAAAAAAAAAAATTAAAAAAAAAAGAACCAGAGTCCTAGGACTTAGAGATGCACTTGGAGGACTCTTTTTAGTAGAGATTAGCCTCAGAGATCTTTAAGGGACCAAAGTAGATGCAGAATGTAAAAGACTTATTAAAAGGCCACAATGTGTAAATTTGATAGACCAGGCCTGTTTACTGAAAGCCCTCAGAGTGGACCTCAAAATTTGAGAATATGAAAATAAGAAGTTCACAATGCACAGAATAGTCATGAAAAGGCCGACAGGGTAAGTCAGGGTTGACCCAGCATTTGGACTCCAATCATTAGGGTTGGGGGATGTGGCCTCTGACACGCGTACTGTTGCCTTAAGTTACAGTAGAAGCTGCCTCTGGGTACTGATCTAGACTTATATTAGGGGAGAGGGAATGTGGGATAAAAGCCTGGGAACTTCTTTGTGCATTCTTCTTAGATCTGAGAGCTTCCTGAGGCTACAAAGGTTTTTGACAGATGTCACCTCTTTGGGCTTATCCTTTCAATTGCCAGGTCATATGGTGTTTCTATTTTTAACTTTTTAAGGTAAATACAGATTGCCTCCCTGGTGGCTCAAGGGGTTAAGACGCAACTTATGAAGCAACCCACAGCCACTGCAGCATGAGTTCGATTTCCCGGCCAGACGGGGAGGTGACCCACATGGCACAGCAGACCTCTCCTGACTCGCCTGCTACTCCTATCAGCAGTGTATTTCAGTAGATGTGCCTATTCTGCTCCCCACTCTGTCACTGGTGAATCCTCTCACCCCCCACACCTCTGGCCTGTACCCCAGTTCTTATATGCATAAATAAATAAATCTTTAAAAAAATAAATAGAGATTGCTCCATAATGGTTTCACCAATTCACATCCCCCCAACAAATTCACATCTTTTATATCCAAATGCTCCACAGCACTTTCTGTTGGGGTCTTTTGGGCACGTTTATTCCCATGGGTGTGAGACGGCATCTCATTGTAGTTTTAATCTGTATCTCTCTTATTAGAAGTAATGATGAACAATTTTTTCATATGTCTTTTGCATTTATGTCCCTTATCCACCATGAATTTTTGCACATGATATAGTGTTTATTAGAAAACTACAATGTTTTAATACCAATTATAAAGGTGACAAAATTTTCAAACAAATTTGATATTTGATAAATACCAAATAATAAATCTATGAAATACATTCAAGATGTCTACAGGAAATCTCTAAAACCTCAATAAGAGGAATTAAAAATGTCAAAATAAATGAAGAGATACATGTTTATGATTAGAAAACTAAATATTGTTAATATATCAGTTCTCCCCCAAATTAGGTTCAAAGTAAAAAAATTCCAGTAAATTACTTTGTGAAAATTGACAAGCTAATTCTAAATTCAAAGAACCTTGAAGAGCCAGATATCCTGAATAACAAAAAGTTGTAGGAATTCCATTTCCAGATATCAAGACTTATTATAACACTGTAATAATCAAGTGAGTGTGATTTGAGAAAAAGACATCACTGTAATTATATGGGGGAAAGACAGTCTTTTCAATAAATGGGAAAAATGAAAACTCATACCACATATAAAAATTAATCTGAAATGGATCATATGCCCAAATGTGAAAGACAGGTAATGAAATCTCTGGAAGAAAACAGGATAATATCTACATGATTTTGGCATAGGCACAGATTTCTTAAACCAGGACTCAACAATGTCTATGATACATAATATTTGACACAGGATTCATATTCACATTATATGGAAAAACTCTCATAAGTTAATGGGGGGAGGGAAAGACAACCCAATTTAAAAATGAGCAAGAGAGTTGGATACTTCACAGAAGAGAACACCAAAATGGCCCAGAAACATATGAAAAGATCCTCAACAACATTGGTGTTCACAGAAATACAAATTAAAGCCACTAAAAACCCTAAAATTAAAAGCTCTGATCATAGGACAAGGAGATGTCTCCTACATTGTTGGTGGGATTATAAACTGGTATAACCACTCTAGAAGACTGTTTGGAAAACTCTAGAATACTGTTTGCAGCACAAACATTTTCCCCACTTCAGAAATTCCACTTCTGATATATATACACAAAGAAATGACTGCCTATGTCCACAGAAGACATGTACAAGAAGGTTCAAAAGTGTTATTCACAATAGAAAAAAGCTAGAACAAACCCACATTTCCATCAATAAGCAAATTAGTAAATAAACTGTGGTACATTCATACAGGGGAAATACTGTGCAGCAATACAAGAGGGATGTAATGCCTATGGGTGATTCTTCCTAATACAATGTTAAGTGAACAAGGTTCATTATGCATAAATCTCACTAATATAATGTTAAGTCAAAAAAGATCACATGTTCTCTGCATCCATCTATATGAAATTCAAAATCAGACAAAGTTAATTTATGGTGACAGGGGTCAGAGTAGTTAGTTTTATATGGTTATTGATAAGAAAGGTACCAGAGCATTTGCTCCGGTGCGGGAAACGTTCTACTTACCGTCTAGATATCTCTATCTTTATCTGGGTGGTGGGTATGTGGCCATATATACATATACACACACATACATACATACATATACATATATATATATATATATACAATGCAAAAAATTCAACAAATTGCACATTAAAACATTTACATCATGTAAATTATACCTTAATTTAAAAATTACTGACTATAAAAAATTATAACAATTTTTATAACACTAAAACAAAGATGGAATTTAAAAGTGGGAGACAGGTAAAGGCTGTGAGCAGCTGCTCACCCTGGCCTTCTGCCCCAGACAGTTAAATGCAATGGCAGCTCCAGCTTTTGTCTAGAGGCTAAAGGCTGATGCCTCCTCCTCACTCCTGGGCCATGGCTTCAGGGTCCTGACTCTCCTGCTGTCATTGGCCTCTTTCTCCTAAGCCTCTTAAGAGAAACGGAATTTCCTCATCAGCCACACTTCTACAACACCAAAGACTGTTCCTGAAGGGTCCAATCAGAACAAACCAATAAAACATGCTGAGACTCTGTTCACTAGAAATTCTTAAAACTGTGGAGTTGTTCTGGAACACCTTTTTTTTTTTTTTTTTTTTTTGTATAAAGACTCTTGTAGGTTTTTGGGTTATATCAGGGAACAAGACAAAGATCTCTACCACTGTGTAGCTCACATACTGTCAGGGGAGTTAACCCATAAATGTATTAAATTATATGATATGTTAAAAGGTGACAGGGAATACAGAAAAAGAAAAAGAGTGGATGACGAGAATAAGGTGTTTTGGGAAGGGGATTTGGCTATTTAAAATCTTGTAAAATTTTTTTGCCATAGGTATTTAAAATATTTATTATGGAAAATTTAAGATTTCAGCCAAGAACTGAAAATAGAAGCCACTGATTCCTCTTGGGACTATAAATTCCTTACAGGGAAGGCCATCTTTGAGACCTTGGTGTTCTGCCCCTAGTGATTAACCTTATGTGAAGAAGTTTAGAGCAACACGTGGAAAACCTGGCTCAAGTCAGGCAAAGCAGGCCTCCTTCATATCACTTCTCATTTCACAAAATCTGGGCGGTCCTCTCTCTTAGGACTAGACAAACTGCCATAGTGATTAGCCAGAAAACTGAATATCTAATCCCACCTAACAGACAACAATCTATGGGGACAGGTCATGGGCAGGAGGCAAGTATGCAGAAGGCCCCCCAGAGTTCCAGGCAGGCAGTATGTATGGCAGGTGCAAGCAGGCATAACTAGAAAGGACTCCATCACTGATTGGCAGCCTTGGAGGCCTGCCAACAGTTCAAGACAGGTTCAAAGATAAGCCCCGCAGCATGAAAGATAAAGATTTCAATTCTCAAATTCCCTAATGGCCCGAGCCCAAACAACTAAGAAAACAGATGCTCTGTTCATTGTCTTCCCTATTCAAGGCCAGGACCTACCCTTGCAGAAAGATTGTGTCTCAGCTGCTGACCCCTATACTGACCCATCCACTCCAGAGCAGCGACTGTTGATGCTGGGCAGGGCAATGATGGAGCCAACCACAGAGTATTTGCCACACAAGGAATATGAGAAGCTTAAACAAGAGGAGGCTGGAACTCTGGGGAGCTCAGCTTGGAGCACAGTTTCACAGTAAACTAGAGCCTCTTACCAGTTGGACAATGGATGTGCACAGGCACAGGCATCGATGCAGCAGCCGTAGAGCCTTGTGGTTTTCCTTTGCTAGAGCCCGCTGCAGGTCTAGAAGCTCATAAGTCTGATCTGGCTCCTTGGGTAGCCAAGACACAGACTGCAGTTCCTGCAGAAGCCTGGAATCAAGGGTTAAATGTTCATGTCAAGTGACCTTTCTCCTATGAGAAATGGCCAAATAGATTCCAAGTTCTGACCTAGAAGGAGCAACTACAGAGGCGTCTTCCTTCAAAAAGGGGAAGCTGGGGGCCCTAAAACTATAGATGGACAACTGAGTTTTAAGATCAAAAGTGATGAACCTGGGGCCTCCCTGGTGGGGCAGCGGTTAAAGACACAGCACTATCAAGCTATCACCACCCACTGCAGTACCCTGGAGGCCAGGGAGCATCCCACATAGCACAGCACACTCTCCTGTCTCGCCCGCTGCTCCCCTCAGCAGTGTACTTTAGTAGATCTGCCTATTCTGCTCCCCACTTTCTCTGGTGAATCCTCTCACCCCCATTCCCCCACACTTCTGGTATACACCCCAGTTCTTGTATGCATGAATAAACAAATCTTTTTTTAAAAAAAGTGATGAACCTGCAACTTTCCTAAGGTTGACAATACCTGAGGAATTTTCTCTTCTGTTATTCACTCCCTCATCTCACATCTGCCAAGAGAACTCCACATCTCTAAACACCCTTAGCAAAGATGAAAGACCCCCAATAGGGCCTCACTGGTGGCACAGGTGGTTGAGCACAGCGCTGGGAAGCTGTACGCAGCCTCTGCAATGCCAGTTCCGGTTCGATCCCCACCGGCCTGGGAGCAACCCACATGGCACTGCAGACCTCTCCTGTCTCGCCCGCTGCTCCCCTCAGCAGTGTATTTCGTCAGTCTGCCTGATCTGTTCCCCACTCTGTCTCTGGTATATCCTCTCACCCTCCCGCACATCTGGCCTGTACCCGAGCCTTGTATAAATAAAATAAATCTTAAAAAAAAAAAAGAAAGACCCCCAATAAACAGAGGATGATGATAATGGGTGCCATTTATTTAGTTAGCATCTACTGGACATGGTATATTATACTCACAATGTCATTTAATTCTCACTACAGCTATGTAACAGAAATCTTTATCATTTGCTCTCAGATCAGGAAAATTGAAGTTCAAAAGAGTAAAATCCCATGCCCTTATGTTTTTAATGATTCCACCATAATCAGGCTAGGCTGGAGTGTGCCTCAAGCAAAGGTTCCAAAAGGTTAGCCCGAGATCAAATTCAGATTGAAAACCTTTTTAAAGCACAAAGAGTTGACCAACATAGTGTTAAAACAAAATTTGAGCTAGCCAGGCAAAATTATGAAATCTAACAACAAAATGTGTCTTTTCCAGGAATTCCTCAAAAATGAGGTGGCTGACAAGCTGGATCCATTTTCCCAAGTTAACAGTCAGCCAGGACTAAGTAAAAACTGTCCTGTTTAAAGGTAATCACCAGGCTGTAGGCCTGTGTACCTGCTTGTGTCTTGCACAAACCCAACTGCATTTCCTCAAGAGCTCTTGCTTGGGTCCTGTAGACACTTAAGTTTGCAACTTCTGTTATTATAACTGGAGTAGCTTTGAAGTTGTGCAAAAAGACCCAGCAAGTCCTGAAAATTACTAACCTTTTCCAAAAAGGAATCCAAGTAATACCTTTTGGAAAGAGTGGAGAATTTGCATTTAAACACCCCAGTTAGAGCTTCCAGGCTTGGTACTTAATAATTGTGTAATGTGGGCCAAATTGATGGATTGAAACATAATTACATATATTAGGTATATTCAGAATATATCATACAGAGAAAAAACTGGTTACTTAAAATATGTAAACTCTGACCTCACTGTATATGTGACAGGAAAAAAGGCTAGAAGGATATGCAACAAAATGTTCATAGTGGTTATTTATGGGGAGTCTGAAAAAAGATCTCTTCCCTTTGTGCTTTTTCATATTTTCAACAAAGTGGATATCATTAGTTTGTTAATATATATATGTGTGTATGTATCTATATATATTTTTTAAACCTAGTAAAGTTGTGTTTTGAAGACCTTACCTGCTGATATGGAGCAGCCCAACTCCAAAGTGAGGCACAGCAGAGAGAAGATGCTTCCCTAGTAAAGTGCGGCACCGGCGCAGCCCCAGCAACTTCACATTCTTCTTCCAACTACAAATCAAAGGGCCATGATTGGAGGCTGCTGCTGGCAACACTCTCCCCAAATCCCACACCCATCATTACCTACCAGTGCAAGGCCTTGCGTAAGAGGCAATACTTGAAGAAGGGGATGAACTGGAGCTTTTGCCAGAGGACAGAGTGGCGGTGCCAGGTACCCAGCGTTATGGTCTCACCGCCATCCACAGGATGTACGTGCAGGATCCCGAAGGGAGAGATGATGTAGTGCTCAGGATTCACCTTCTTTGGTGGCACCACCACCAGGTTGTAGGGCCTTTAAAAAGATCAGTGGGTTCTTGGGAATTGTGCAGACTTTAGGAAGGGAAGGAAGGAAGACAGAAGATGGAAAAAAAAAAAAAAGGCAGGAAAACAGAAGAAAGTGGGAAGGAGGGAGTGAGAACAGAAGGACTTTCAAACCAGAAAGATGGAATATGTATCATAAAGAAGAAATGGAAACCAAAGATAGATGGGCAGGAAGAAGGCACCCAGCCATTTATCTCTAGACTCAGATAGCTACATCCATTCCATCAGCTCTAAGATACCATCAGCTGTAAACTGCAGCATTGTTTTGAACCACTAAAATGAAAAAATGCTGTTACTAGGACATTCCACCAGTTTGTAAATGCATCCAATGTTGAAATATGAAAAAAATGTGCATCTCAGAAATCGTAAAACATGTATATCTCTAGTTACTGAAATAATATGCAGAGATAAAGAAGGAATGTTGTTTGGAGTAATTGAGACTGGGAAAAAGCAGAGGGCATCCAGAAGACTAGACACAGACCCAAACAAGTCACTTAAGAACAACTAGAAAAACTGGGTAAAGTATCTGCCTAAAATATGAAAATCATCCAAAGGCATCCAATCAGAGAAGCTACAAATTAAATGCCCTGGGTTGTGTAGTGGGACCCTGGTTACAATCACCTCTCTCCTTGGTGCAGAAGTTGCCTACATGGCAAATGTTGGCTTTCTAAGCCTGTTGAAAGCTCTGCAACTTTACTCATCCTTTGAGGAAATGACACACAGCTGCCTCTATGGGAGTCAATAGGGGCCTCTCTCTGGGAAAAATCAGCACCAAAGGTTAACTAAATTCACTTCACTGTGTTTCCTTCTTTGGCAGGTATTAGCCCTGTAATTCCTCACTGTCTTTTTATTTCTACTGTTTATAGATCCTTGTATATATGCTCAACTATCTTTGATTCTGCAGATACTGACTGAGCTGATAAAGTGAGTTTATCACTGAGCTGAAAGCCCTAAACTTGTAATTTTCTTTCTGTAAACTCTACCCCACAATGCTATCATTATTATCCTGACCATCACACGGGCAAGAGTAGCAACCACTAGGTGTCAGTAGGTAGCTGATCACATTTGACCACAGGCAATAATTGAATTAGCTGTGATGCCACTACATGTCATAGGTTACAAGTATCCTATTTCCCACAAGCAAGGAGCTCAGTGATGGTCCACGCCAAGGATGATACCAAACCAACACCAGAATCCCAATCTTGAGGCTTGTTTCCTCGGAGCATGCCTGATACCAAGCACAGGTTTCCCTGGCTATTCATTAATTTATATGGAAAAACTTTTGAGGCTTCCCAGACTCACAAAATAACCTACAAAATCATACCAAATAGGAACTATATGACCTAGCAATTCCACTCTTCTACCCCCAAAAATTAAAAAACACTAACTTGAAGGGTCATATGCACTGCTGTGTTCACTGCAGCATTATTTGTAATAGCCAAGTTACAGAAACAACCAAACTGCCCAACAACAGAAGAGTGGGTTAAGAGGATGTGACATATATACCCGATGGAATACTACTCGGGCATAAAAAAGATGAAATTTTGCCATTTGTGACAACATGGATGGAGGAAATCGTGCTATGCTACATAAGTCAGGAGAAGAAAGATAAATACATGATGAGTCAATTCATATGTGGAGCACAGGGAAACAAAACAAATGAAGGGACAAAATTAAACCAAAGCAAACACCAGAAATCTAACTGCAGAATTGAGGCCACCTGAGGGGGAGGATGTGGTGTGGGTATCAAAAGGGGATCAGGGGTGCATGGACTATGATGGAGGATTATGGGTGCTTTACTGGCTGGTGTGGTATGGTACATACATCTGAAGAGGCGTGACCTCTTCTTCTAAATCATATAGTGTTGTGACCTAATGGTACCTCAATAAACATAATACAATTTTAATTAATTAAAAGGTGTTTGAGGACTGAAAAAGTAAAAAGAGAACACTAAGGTAGCACAGAGATATTAACTACAGGAAAAGGATGCCAGGCCTAAAACTGGAGGAAGAAAGGGAAGATATTTGGCTTCTTACAAGCCTGATGTTGGATCAAGGAACCATAATGGTGTAACTGCTCCTAAATGTTAATTTCCTAAAGCACTGGAGGAGGGGCTCAGAGGGCGGGGGTTAGGGTGAAGGAGATGTTGGCTGGCTGTTAGTAGCACCTACGGGATTTAGAGGCGGGATCTTTGCAGCAGAGTTGTGACTCAGAACTCTGACCGGAAGGTGCCACCCAGCTAGTATTGGTACCTCTCAGGATCATGAAGAGGATAATTCAGAGAGTGCCCACTGCCAATGTGAACAATCATTTCTGAGGCAATGCTGACAAGAGCAAGCAAAGGGAGGAGAGTTTCTTCTCTTTCCTACTGCCCAATCTCCTTCTACCACCCCCTATTAATCAAACCTAACCGGAAGTCAGTTGAAAGAGGAGAAATGAAGTTTGTAGACTCCCAGCCCCAATATCAAAAGCAAAGAGATGGTGGCATAACTGGCATACTGCTCTCAGGGGACATTTGTTAAGTGAATTGATGGGTAAATGACGGATGACATGAATCATCGGTGTCACCAAGGTTCAGCAGAAAGAGATCAGTTTATTTGGGAAATAAGACTCTTGGGGAGGGTTAAGACAGTCCTAGGTTTAAATCCTGTTTCCACCAGTTACTATGATGGCTTTGGACAAATTACTTAGCCTTTCTGTGATTTAGTCTGTTAATTTACATATGGAAGTAACAGTAGCACCTACTCAGTAAATGAAGATTAAATAATGTGTAATTAGTGTAACGACTGGTATATAAAAAGACTTGATTAATGGTAATTTTCATTATTATTTCTGGAAAGATGGGACTCAAAAAGGGCTTTTACAAATATGTAAGATTTAGATCTAATGGAAGAAAGTCAACCAATGCATCTTGAGTCATGACTTGTTTTTATAGTTCTGGAAATAAAAGTAGGGCAGGGAGGCAGCAGTTAAAAAGAAAGCATACTTTGTTTCAAGGAACAAGATGCCTTGGGAAACACAAAGCTTCCCTGACAGTGCAATGATAACAGAATACCTGAGTGCTGCACTGCAGTTGGAAAGTACCTTCAATCTCCCCAGGCTATGGCCAAATGTTTCTATCATTCCAGGATAGAATAAAGAAGACAGGCAAAAAGTAGAAAAGGATGAATAAGACAAAAGACTAGGAGAGCACAGGGGAGCAAAAGAGGCCAAGAGTGGAGATGAGAAAAAGGGAGAGAAACTGGGGGACAGAGAGTAGTGGGCATGGAGAGGAGGAGGAGGGAGCAACATGGTTGGAAATCTGAGAGTGAGAGGGGAAAAAAGGGTCTGGCAGAGGCTCTTACCTGAAGTGACGGCTGGGAGCCACATTGAGATAGAGGAAGTGGATCTTCCTCAAGTATTTCTCTGTCTTCAGAACCGCCATCATCTGGCTGCCCAGGAGGGAAGTCTGAGGTACAGAGCCAGGACTTCTCTTTTGCAAGGTCTTCTCCCCAGGAACTTCAAAATCAAACCAAAGTCTGTATGATGATAAAAAAAAAAAAAAAATCCAGAGAGAAGAGGCAGAGCTAGTGTTGGCAAGTGAAAGGAAGAGCCAGATCAGGTGCTTGAGCGGCCCAGATGTGTCTCTATATCCAAAGGTGTTCACATACACGTAGGTCATGCAACACACTCGGGCAACTACATTCACAGGCATATGCATGAACAGCCCCTCTCTTTTTGATAACTGAAGGATCACACTAGATGGATTGTGCTTACCGCAAAGTCAATATTATATAATACTGTATAAAAATAATGAAAGACTGTGTTTTCCCAAGTTATCCTAGATTTCTCCTCTCTGACAAGCTTTCGAAGCTTCTAGATCACCTGTCTTTGCTCACTCATATTTTACCTGCTTTCCAATCCTGCATGATCCCCATGCCTGTGACTCTCCTTAGGGATAGAGAAGGACCCTCACACCCTCCCCCAGAGGAGCACAGCTACACTTCTGCAATCTCACTGTCTAGCTGGGGCTATCACTTTGTTTCAAGGACCAAATAAGGTCTGGCAGGTCTGGGAGGGAGTCTTTTAAATACAGCTCCTCCCCTGCCCCACCACTGGAAAGAGGGAGAGAGGAAGGGAAGGGTGATTCCAGTTAGTCCAGGAATTGGGAGAGTGATGGGAGCAAGGTATGCATAAGGTACATTTTTCCTTTCCCCACTCAGAAAGGATAAAACCTTCAAAGCTCTACTGCTTTTCTGCTCAGCGCTGCTCTGACACTGACACTCTGCTTCCCCGACATGGCCCACTGCCCCTCCACTGCCTTGTCCTGTGGCTCCCTAATAAACTTTGTTGCTGGCTTCATTCTGGTGTTTTGTGAAATTCTTTCCTCAAGATGTTAGGGGGATGGTCTCACTCATAGCAGGAATCTAGAAAACTTAAATAAGGGACCAGGAAAATGAATAACTGTAAGAAAGTGAAAATCAAAATCAACAAAAAACTATGAACCAGAGACACTTTTAGGGGGGCGGGGGCGGGAGGGGAGGGATTGGGGTCAGAATGGGGGGGCTGCAATTGTATGGGGAATATAACAATAAAATTTATTATCTAATAAAAAAATAAATAAATAAAAAATAAAAAATCTATCACTAAAAAAAAAAAAAAAAAAAAGATGTTAGGGGGAAAGGATGTCCTGAGCTAATCCCATACAGGCTTTGTGGACCCCACCCCCACTCCAGACTAAAGCCATCAAGACACTGGGAAAGACAAATCCCTTCACCACCAAAGGGAAGGTGGCTGGGATCTGAGAGTGGAGTTAAGCAGCCAGGTTGGGTATAAAAAAACCAAACACGTGGGCCTTGTGGGTCTCTCGCTCTGTTGTTCGCCTCCTGGCTTCACGCTCCTGGCTCGCGGCCAGCTCTCAGACTGCCATTTGGGATTCCAGATCGGTGGATCGGGTAGGACGCATTTAAAACTTTGTCTCCCATTTTTCTCCCTGAGCTGTACATGTCCTCATTTCCCCTTCCCTTGTAAATAAACCTTTTATTAACCTTTCATGTGTGCCTGCAGTAGAGCATTGATAAGTCCTTTTAAGCGCGCGGGTGAGGACCCACAGTCAGGCACCCCGTTTTGTATTGGGGCTGCCCTATAATAAAGAGACACCAGGAGACTTCTGGTGTCCAACAGGTTGATTTTACAAAAAGGAGGTAGGGAGTAGTTTGGGGTCCGGGGTTGGGCTAATCTCTAAAATCAACAGGGAGGTGGCTCTAGACATCTAGTGACCCTAGAGGCACCCCCAAACTGGCTTCTTTCATTCCTCTGCTCAAATCCCCAGATTAATACCCTTCACTTACTCAGTCCCTCTTCTTTCAACTGGCTCCTCCACTCCGTTGTCAGTGCTTTCATACTGTACAGGGATGTCTGTTGCCAGCGCCAAGGGCAGGAGGCCGAGGCCATCTAGCCAGCAGGTCTCTTCCAGGGCCACCTCAGCACCGACAATGCCCAGGCAGTGTTGTAGCTCAGGCAGTGTCAGTGGCCGCAGCCATGTGGCCAGCTCCTCCTCTACCTGCTGCCCATCCCACCTGGCCCTCACAAAAGGGCAGAGTGAGCCAGGGGGCCCCTGATGGAGCCTCTGCTTCCAAGGACGGCAGTCAACATGGGAGGCGCTGTCTAGCAGGGAGGTGTCTGGGGGAAAGACCTGTTCTATGGCATCTAGTAGGTCCAGCTGGAAGTGGGATTGGACCCACGGTGCCCAGCGGTACAGTTGCTCCAGGAAAGGCAGCAAATCAAGGTGGCCAGCTAGCAGCACGCGATAAGGTGACAGCAGAGCCAGCACTGCACACAGGTAGTGCCATGCTGCATGGCTGCAATCCTGCAGCACAGCTGATAAAAGAATGCGGATCTCAGCTATCAGGAGCTCCAGCTCTGTGTGCCGCTCTGACTGAGTCACTACCTTCAGGAACTGCTTCTGTCTCTTCGGACTGGTCCAAGGCTGCTGTTCATTACCCGGGACTCTTCTGGAGTGCAGAAACTCACGGGCATCATCAGATGAAGCATCTTCAGGAGACAAGCTTACCCTTGATTCAGGAACCAAGAGGAGTTGAGCGTTCAGCTGTAGTCGAATTGACTTTGCCCACTGCTTAGGATCCGACTTCCAATTCCAAGTTCCTGGCTGTTGGGCCTCACCTGCTTGGTCCAGCCCAACAGGGGGCCAAGACATGGGGTCTCAGGCTTTGGGCAGGGCATAATCAGGGTCAAAGGGGCTGGGGGGCGGGTAAGGGAAATGAAGGGGCTTAGGACCAGGAAGTGGATGGAGCTGCAGGGTCAGCAGAGGGCCTTTCCAGAGACCTCCACCCTCCCCACTGCTTCTGCAAAGACCCTGGCAAGAAGCAGACCCAGTATGGTGTGGGGGCTGCGCTACACCTTCCACATCCCAGTACAGTGACCCCTCACCTGGCCTAGGGGGTACAGGAGACAAGGAAATGACAGAGAGAGAGCTCTGCTGATGAGGGTTCATTGCGCAGTGCCTGTTGGAGAAATCGATGGATTTAAACTTGAGTTCCAGGTTACTCCCCTCCCCCCCCCCACCAACTCTCTCTCTCTCTCTCTCTCTCTATCACTTGTAGAGGGAAACTCATACCTGAGAAAGGGCTCACTCAGTGGCCTCAGGGACTGGAGGACCTGGCACTGAGGGTGGCGCCTGAAGGAGTGGTACAGGGGGTCACTCAGAGGCCACCGGCCCAGAAAACGTCGACCAAAGACTGAGACGGGTCCTGAGGACAAAGCGCAGGGAAGCGGCCCCAGAACGTGGCCGAGTGGGAGACGGGAGACCGGCTGCGGAGCAAGCAGGAGGGGCAGGGAAGGGGCGGCTCCGCGGGCCTGGGGGAGAGGACTCCTGCCCCGGGTGCCCGGGTGGGGAGGGTGGGGAGCAGGGAAGCAGATCCGGATCTCCCGCGGGCCCCTGGCGCAGCTCCACCCCGCGCCTCCCCAGCTGTTGAAACGGTTACTCAATCGGTGCGGCTGGAACTGCCATCCCAGCAACCACCAAGGAGCCCGAAATGGAAACGGCCCAACGGGAGGGGCTCGGGTCCAAAGACAGGGGCGGGGGGGAGAGGGGGAACGGCAAGCAGGGAAGGTCCCGGTGTTAGGGCCAAACCTGCTGCCACCAGCACCAACGCCCAGGGAGCAGGAGTCTGGCGCTGCCAGAACAGGCGTGGGGGAACCGCAACCCTCAGGGCTGAGGCCGGAGTTCAGCCATTCTCTGGGGGTCTGAGCGAGGCCCAACTAACCCCCTTACTCCACCTCACCTGCCCCCCTTGAAAACAGGGAAAAGAGAAAAATCCTTGATAACAGGGAGCTCAAATCCTAGTGGGAGCTGGGGAGGAGGTTCTAAATGATTTTTTTTTTTTTTTTAAGTAGAAATTAAGCGTAGGTTAGCGTCCCATTGCTGCTCTAAGATCCAACTGTCTACTTATTGATAAGTATAAAACTTAAAATGTCCAAAGCATACTCCCAACCACCTGTCCCCAAAATTCTCAGTAAATGCCAAGTCCATTCTTCTAGTTGCTCAGATCAAAACCTTTGAGTGACCTTTGGCTTCCCTTCTTCCCCACCCCTATCACATCCTAAATCTAATTCTTCAGCAAATTCTGTAGCTATAGTCTCAAAATAAATCCAGAATCCGACTATTTTTTCCACTACTCTAAGAACTAATATTTTTGGTCCAAGCCACTGTGAACTCTCACCAGGATTATTATAGGACCTAGTAATGGGTCTTCTGCTTCCAGCCTCAACCCTACAATCTGCTCTTTACAGAGCAGCCAGTGAAACTTTTTAAATATAGGCAGCTCCTGTCACTCTGCTGAAAATGAGATGTGCCATCATCCATTCCCTCAGGTGACAGCCAGAGTCCCACCACAGCCTAATCAGCTGCCTGCTCCTCTCCACATTCACGTTACTCTTAGTGTTCCCAGGTAAATCCAAGCATGCTCCCACCTCAGAGCTTAACTACATCCCTTCTTTGGTATCAGTTAGGAAACAGGTAAGTTTTTCGTGGCCCTGGAACAAATTACCACGAAGTAATTTGTGTTTCAAAAGCATCAATTTAGTATCTCACTGTTCTGTAAATGGATGTCCAGTGTGGCTTAATTGGGTTCTCTGCTCAGGGTACCACAAGCCTGAAATCCAGGTGTTGGCTGAGTTAAGTTTTTGTCTGGAAGCTCTGGGGAAAATTCTTTTCCAAATCATACTTGTTAGCTGAATTCCTTGTGGTTGTAGCACTAAGGTCCAGTTTCCTTCCTGGATATCAGATCCTGGAGGCCCCACCTTCCTTGCTCTATGCTCCCCCCATCTTCAATCGGCAACTGCCTCAGACCTGAAGTCCTCTTTCTGCAACCAGTGAGAAAAAACTCCCTGCTTTTAATAAGTTCATGTGGTTAGATCAGGCCCACGCAGATAGCCTCTTTCTTATAGTCAAGTATGCCATGTAATGTAACCTATAGAAACCTATAAAATCTATCAGTCCTAGGGATTATATAGGCTGTGTACACAGTGGGTGGGAAATATTGGGACCCTATGAAAATCCTGCCTACCACATATATGCCAAAGGTACACTGGCTCAAACATGGTAGTTTTTCTCAGATAACTGTCCAAGTGTAAGTGCTCAGGGCTAAATGGCAGCCTTTTAGTCATTTTTCTATCTTCAGTGAAGTGGTCCTTATCTTCAGGGTCTAAGAGACTTCATCACCATATCTGCTAGATGACTTCCCAACTAGCAAGATTAAGGAAAGAGGAAGGAAAAGGCATACCCTTTCTTTAAAAAAAGAAAAAAAAAAGATTTATTTATTTATGCATACAGGAGCTGGGGCATAGGCCAGAGGCGGGGTGGGGGGGGGTTGGGGGGGAGGTGGTGAGAGGATTCACCAGGGACAAAGCAGGGAGCAGAACAGGCAGATCTAATGAAACATACCACTGAGGGCATCGGCAGGCAAGACAGGAGAGGTCTGCACCATATAGGTCAGCTCCCTGGCTGTGGATGGCTTCATAGTGCTGAGACTTAACCCATTGAGCCACCAGGGAGGCCCCTTACCCTTAGTTTTAAGATCACAATCTGACAACTGTACACAACACTCAATCACATGGACACACCTACCTGCAAGGAAAGCTGCAAAATCAAATGTCTATTTTCAGCAACCATGTGCTCAGACAAAAGTCAGGGGGCTCTATCAGCAAAGGAAGAAGACAATAGACACTAGGATCAGCTGGAGGCTGATAGCAGTGATCACTCTTCTTCCACATGTTCACTTCCTCATTTCAACTCTGCTCAAGGATTCATGAGATTTTCTCTGATCTGACCATCCAATATAAAATAGCAACTCTCGCCACCGTCCTTATCCTTCTTACCTGGCAGTATTTTTCTCCATAGTACTTCCTACCATTTCATATAAAATGCTCATTGTCTCCTTCTTCTGACTAGAAATATAAGCTTCATGGTGGCAGGATTCTGGTTGCTCCCTGCTGTATTCTCAGCCCCCAGGGTTAGGCACCACGAGTAGGTGATCAGAAAATATTTGTGGAACAAATGCATAAATGTACAGTGATCTTTATTAGCAAAAGAGATAGAACCTGGAGTAAGATTTCTTAAATCAAAAACCTGATTCTACCACTTACTAGTTGCAGGATGTTTTATCTGTTTAACTTTCTTGTAAAATGAAGATAATTAACATTAGAGAATGTTAATAGATCTGTTGTGAGGGTGAAATAAGTTAATGTATATAAATGCTTAGAAATAGCCTGGTGAATCATAAGCACTTGACATAACTAGTGTTAGCTAGGTGTTTTTGTTGTTTCATGGTACTCTATCAAGTGCTATTAACAAAATGGGGTTCACTGAGGGCACAAATAAGGACATGGGCATGCCTTCCTGGAAAGGGTAAAGAGTCAGAGTCACCGTAGGCCTTAAAGTACAACAAACAGTTTTCTAGAAAGACAAGACCAGAAGGGAATTCTGTTCAATAACCTCTACCAAGCTCAACATTGCCTAAAAATCTGTTTGTTAGTTAACTCCCATCCTACAGACTTTCAAACCTGCACTCTCATCTTCTGCTTTTTCTGCTATACTCTCTGCTAACTTTATCTATTAAAAAAATATTAGCTGCTGCCTCAATCAGCAGAGAAACAGAGCCAATAGGATGCATCTACATGTGTGTATATATAAACACACACACATATAAAGAGATTTACTTTAAGGGACTGGCTCATGGCTACAGAGGCTGGCAAGTCCAAAACCTGCAGGGCAAGTTCTTCTCTTCAGTCTTCATTCACTCCACAAATATTTACTGAGCATCAACTGTGCTGGTCACTATTTTAGGTGTTTAGTTTCAACAGTGTACAAAATAATGACATTGAAAAAAATTCCTGATTTATGGAGCTTATATTGGATAAACAAACCAAAAACATGAGTTAACAATTAATATATAGTGTGTGAGAAATGGTAGTGCTGTGGAGAAAGCAATGCAGGATAAAGATCAGGAATGTTTGAGAGGGAGATGGATGCAATTTTAAGTATCAGAGGAAGTCTTAATAAAAGGCAGCATCTACACAAGACATGAAGGAGAACAGCCTGTCTTTTCCCTGGTTAATTCTAATTTATCTTTAGATATCAGCTTCAAATCACTCTCTCAGGGAAGCTCTCCTTCATCCCAACAAAGGTGAGTTTATACTATACTACATTCCCATTATAATGCAAATTTCTTCTTTAAAACATTAATTACAATTGTGATTTGTTCTATATTGACCTTCACCTATTTAAGTTTCAAGAGGATATGATTGCTTATGTTTTATTGCCTAAAGGAACTCCTTAAAAGAATGAGAACATGCCTCTTAACTACTTTTTCTCACCTGATTCTGTTTCTTGGAATGTTTGTATGATGACTAAAGCTGCCCTCTTGGGTCACAGGGATGAGGGTCATACCCGTAGACACAACAAGCAGAGCTGATAAGTAGCTTGTTTCTCAGATGACTGTGATGTCATCATTTCACTTCTGAGCTAGATTTATATATGAAACAAACAAAAGTTCATAAGTTACTGTTATTTTGAATGTCTGCTACATATACCTTAGCTAAAATCCCAAATAATCAAAAGCAGTCCAGACTCAAGAAAGAAGCTGTTAGGCATTGGCTGCTGTAATCTAAGAATTGATCAAAGTCTAATTGAGGTGGTAACAAAGGGGATGAAGAGAAAAGAAAGGATTCACAAAATATACAAGCAGAACTATAGTACTTAGAAACTGAGTGTAAACTAGAATGATAGAAAGTATTTACTCCAGATGGAGTCTTTGAGGTATTGACTGATCTGATTATTTTTTTTCATGTTTCACATATTTATTAACCAGTGTAACCCCCAACACAATATACCAACATGATTTTGTACATTTATAAGGAAGTATCTCATGGTTAAGTGGAAAATAGTGCCAGTGGCTTTTGGAAAAACTTCATTTTAAGCGACTCTATAAGTAAAGGAGCAAAAAGGATGCTTGCACAGACACAAGTGGACAGAAAGCGGCAAAGGGAAAAGGTTTATGAAATGCCTGCATAGTCACAGGCGGGCAGGAGAACTGCATATATTTCATTTAGAAATCTGGATCTTCTTTCTTCAGTTTGCTGTCTATTTTCACTGAGTAGAATTTGTATTGATCATTGGGACCCAGTTTGCACCAGGGTTCTGTGTTATTCTTTCTTTCCCAACAGATTGCTGCATTAAACAGTCAGACACATGACAGGCAGCGATGTTTTAGTATCTCCAGCTCCAATAAATACAGAAAGGGGAATCAAGTCAGGAGGCTTCTTTGCCTGACTGAGAGCTGGCAGAGTATGGTGGCAGGAAAGGCCATGGGCTGGTAAGGAGAGTGAGGACAAATCTGCAAGGTCCAGGACTAAATCCCTATACCAGAGCTGTGCAGAGGTCTGATCTGCTAATATTTTTTAATACTTTCTTTTTAAGATTTATTTATTTATGCATACAAGAACTGGGGTACAGTACTGAGGTGCGGGGGATGAGGTGACAGGGTTCACCAGAGATAGTGTAGGGAATAGAACAGGAGGAACAACTGAAATACACTGCTGAGGGGAGCAGTGGGTGAGACCGGAGAGGTCTGCTGTGCCATGTGGGTAGCTCCCTGGCTGGGAATTGAACTCATGCTGCAGAGGCTGTGGACAGATTCATAGGTTGAGTCTTAACCCATTGTGCCACCAGGGAGGCCCCCTGATCTGCGAATATTAATGGCTGAAAATGCCACCCAGTAAGAGTTTGAATGAAAAACATCTCTAAATCATTAGCAAAGGCACAAAGGTCACATGCAGATTCACTTCTGCTTTTCTGATAAAAAAATCGTTTCTCTTGTTCAGTAAACAGTAGATTGAGCTGGGAGGAGATTGAAAAATGTTCATCCAGCAAATATTTACCATATTGTGTGCCAGTTACAGTGATAAGAATACAACAGTGAGCAGTACAGACATGGACTCTGACCTCAGAAGTATGTAATTACTAAGTATTAGAAATGCTAAATGCTAAAAATGAGAAATTATGGGAGCTGGGGTCTGGGAAGTATGATTTGAGGAGAGAGTATATGAAATAAGTACTCAAGAATCAGCAGAAGTTCAGGCAAAACTGGAAAACCCCTTGGACACGAGACTGGACCAGAGAGAGGACACAAAGATAGTCATGCTTTATAGAACTACGGGTGGTAGCAAGAAATACCTGAGCTGTGTGGGGCAGTGGGGATTCATTAGCACATGGTTACCAGCTTGGAGCCAGGAACAGTGGAGAGAGGTGGAAAAATCCACACTTGACCGAGGGAAAATACATAGAGAGGAGCCAGGGTACTCCCCTCAGATTGGGTCCCCAATGAAAAGGACAAAGATAATGTGCTGGATTGCACACTGAAGAGGATGTGGAGAAAGAGGAACCCTAAGGGATTGTTGGTAGAAATGTAAACTGTAATCCCCATTTTGGAAAGCAGTCTGGACCTTCCTTTAAAAACAAAAAATGGAAATACCATATGATCCAGTGATCCACTTTTGGATATAGATATGAATACAAAACCACCAACTAAAAAACATATGTGCCACAATAATTTTACAGCATTATTTACAATTACTAGGTTTTGGAAGCAATCAAAGTGCCCACCTATTGGGGATGGGATAAAAATGTGGTGTATCCACACAATGGAATATTACTCAGTTTTAAGGAAAAATGAGCTATTACCATTTACAGCAAAATGGAAGGAGCTTGAGAGAACTATGTAGTCAGAAATGTAAGTATCAGAGTTTCACATAGCTGAGTAAAATAGGGAATCCAAGAGAATGAACTGACAAAGCAAAATAATTATAAACTGTCAGACACTGATAACCTAAGTGAGGCTCTGAGGTTAAGGGTTGGGCGGAAGGGAAGGAAGAAAGGGTCAAAGACATAGGCAGTAGGGAAATAGAAGAGAGATAAGGGTAGGGTTTCCAGGACCACAGGAATTAATGTAGATCTCTGATTCAGGAGAAAACATTAGTTAACACTGAGCCTATAGAAGTATTTTGTTATTGGAAGAATAACACAGTCTAGAATTTTTTTCACATGTTGTGATACATATTTTCAATGTATTTTTATGTATTCTTAAATCATTTAAACATATATTCTGATTTCTCACTCCTAGATTCTAGGAAATATCTAATACTTTTTATTTCTGTTTAATTCATAAGGAAATCTAAATTTAACATTCTCTTGGGAACATAGTTAAAATTGACTGATGGTTGAAGATACAAGGAACTAACCTAGCTTTGGATAAAATGTAAAATACTTTCATGAACATTTCTTTATGGAAGACAACACAGCAACTAACAAATACCATCCTTTTCCAAAAAAAGAAAGAAAAGTCATATAGGAATAGTAGAAAAATCTGGTGAGATTACAGGAGCTGGGATTCCACTTGAAGTTGTGAACTATAATTCAGTGAAATAAATATGCTCCATAGTGACTTCTTATTGGAGTGGGGGGTGGGTAGTTCTCCAAATGCAGGCACAGATAAATGTCTAATTTTGTCTGAGTCCAACAAAGAGGTGAGAAGCAGGGAAATTTAGCCTATTCCAACATAACCACTACACTTTAAGTTGGATAGGAGTAGAGGAGAAGGTTAGTGGAACAGAGAAGGTAGAAGCAATAGCCTGAATGTTCCAACAAAATCAAAAGAATGGAGGGACATTTCAATAAAAAAAGGGGAAAGGAATATGGTAAGACATAAATAATAGTGTTTTCAAGATGCAATAGTTTGGGGCCTCCCCGGTGGCGCAGCGGTTGAGCGCTGGGTTGCGAAGCTGCCAGCAGCCTCTGCAGCGCCGGTTCGATCCCCGGCTGCTCCCCGGCCACCGGAGGAGGGTCCCACATGGCGCGCAGACCTCTCCTGCCGCCCGCTGCTCCCCTCAGCAGTGTACTTCGGTCCTTCTGCCTGCTCTGCTCCCCGCTCTGGCTCTGGTGAATTCTCTCACCCTCCCGCGCTTCTGACTGTACCCAGTGCATGTATAAACAAACAAACAAACAAATGAATAAATAAATAAATAAAAAAACATGCCTCTATTAAAAAAAAAAAAAAAATAGTTTAAAAAAAAAAAAAAAAAAAAAGATGCAATAGTTTGGGGTGATGACAATGGCCAGGTCACAACTAAGGGACTGTGTGGAAATCATTGGAGACCGGGTCAAGAACTAGAGACCAAAATACTGAACGAACTGTCCATATAAACACTTAAGAATCAAGTGTTGAATAGAAAAACCAAGAGTTAGCTGTTTAAAGTAGGAAAGTGGCCTGAAAGAAATTGTGGGTGGTAAAGGAGGGGGTAGTTTTGAAGCCATTATAACAGTAATAATAACCCTGTCCACTATGTATGTGATAAAGGGATAAAACTTTGTATATATTCTTGTGCTTGAAACACTGCACTGCTCGCATTATGCTAATGGCTTTATGACAGGACTCAAGGGAGACCAGCAACTATAAAATATGTATAGTAGGAATAAGATTCCCCTCAGTATTTAATATATTTGTAACCATAAGGAGCCAGGAGACATGAAGATTAAACATTTTAGGAGCTCAGATTGAGGGATAGTTATATTTCCCTACCTACAGACGAGTATAGATGTGCAGGCCAATATACACTCTGGAGGCTCAAATATAGGCTTTAGCATCAGATCTATGTTCCAGTTAAAAGGAAGGATACACACCTACAATGATGTGCAAGAATCTCTCCACTAGCAGCAGAAATCTTAAGCCCCCATTCCCACATTTGGGAACTGGGAAGTTGACTCACTGCATTTATACTTTCCAAGGAGAGAATTTTATTGGATAGACATGAGATCACTCAGAAGGGAATTCCTGGTCATCAACTTTTACATTCTTCACCTTTTTGTTCAAGATTTGTTAAAAAGCTAACAGGTAAAAAGGGCAAAAAGCTAATTGAAACCACTTTTCTCTAGTAAGTGTATATAAGATGGGCTTCTGGTATTCTTGCTTTCTCAATTGCTAAGGGAAATATCTCTTATTTGTAGTTTGAATATAAGATAAAGCATGACATATACCAACAGAAACTATACCCATTGGATACTCAGTAGATATTATCTTGAAGCAAACTGGTATAATAAAAAGAACAAAGGATTTCACAATCAGATCTGCATTTTAATACAGGGTCTGCTGCCAGAGAGTTTTCACTTTCTGATTTGCACATCTGTGGGTGGCTGTTAAGTTTTTATACATTATTATTGTAGAAGCCAAAATCTAAGAGCTTCTATTTCCTCCATAAATAATGAAACATGGTGATCCGATGGGGTATGGTTGAGGAGGGCAAAATTAAGGAGAGCAGTGAAAGTACAAAATAGTTGCCATGGTGATTAGGAGAGGAATAGACCAGGAACCCATAAAGGGCTGCTTCTTGGTAATAAGGGCTTTGGTTGAAACCATGAATGTTACACAGCTGTTTTTCTCTAGCTGTTTGAATGGAGGGATAGAGGAAAAAAAAAAAAAAAAAAAACAGCTGAAATGATACAAAAAAGGATGCAAGGGTAGTGGAGTGAAATACCATTCAGACTGTTGAATAGGTAAGTAAATTCCACAAGGGGCCTGATTAGGAAAGAATGGAGAGGTTGGAATTAGAAATCACAGAACAGTGGGAACAAACAGTGGGATAGAGGTTGGAAAAGCTGGAATTAAGAGATTACAGACAAGTGTTGAATATATAAGGTAACGTTAAAGAGCTGGAAGGCTTTGCTTTTTATTCTTTTTTACCTAACTGTGCAGCACCATCTACTTCTCCCTTGAGAGTCTCATCTTCAAGTCTGACTGTACCCTTAGCTTTCCCCTTCCTGACTCCCCCGGTAGAAAAGAACACAGATTTTTGTTTACATATTTTACTGTTCATCCTGGGAAGTCAGAAAACAGAGTAAAACAACTTAGGGAAATGAATGAAACGCCAGAACACCCCAGAATTCTTAAAGTGTGCACCTCTGTTCTGGGGCTACTTACTTCCCAGAAAGCAGTGCCTAAAAGCCTCAGGATTTCTTCATCCGTTTTCCTTAGGTAGCTCCTCGATTGCCTGAATCCCCAAATTCCTTCTTATAAAACATAGTCCATGAAAAATATTATGGACGAATGCATACTGGCTCACAGGTCAGTCATTTAAGTCAGACATTTAAGTTAAGGACAGCAAATCATAGTGCCCATTCTCTGTGTCATCTGGGCAGGAACCCTCTTGCTGTCGCTACTACCAACCTTAAAATTGGTGCCAGAATTGTACCCACAGACCTTGCTTTGACCACATGCACTGCAATGTTGAAGTTTTCCTTCTATACCTGGAAGGGGATTTCTCAGCTGCCAGGGCTGAAGCCAGCAGATATGCACTAACTGACAAAACAAAGGATGTTGCCACTAAAATGGACGATGCTTCCCTAACCAGAATGTAAACCAAACAAGAGTACAAGTGGGTTTATTTGGCTCCAGGAGGAGCAATGGCACCCAGCTCTCAGGCAACACCCTCACTCTATACAGGCTTAACTCAGCCCAAGGCCCACCGGCTCCTTCAATTTGAGGGTCCACACAGTGCCTCCTCTTCTGGGGTTGGGGATAGCTAGCTGCCAGATGGTGAATTTCCCGGTTGTTCAGCAGCAACGCCAGGCACAGCTGAAGCAGCCTCGTAGTCTGCGATGCGGCGCTGTACCAAGGCCGGCATGAGCTGCACGTAAGCGGCCATGAGGCGGTGGTTGGAGTGGATCAGTTTCCCAGCACAACTGTGCAAACAGGCCTCCTGGAAGTAAGACAGGGTAGAAGTAGAGGCCAAAGGTGTCCGATAAGGTCTGTCTCCTTCCTTCCCATCCCCAGTCTAGGGGCGAGGGTCGTGGAAAGGACCCGGCCAGAAGCAGGGGCAGTGGGGGTAGGAAGGAAGCAGGCCACGGTTAACTCTGGGATGGGGGGTCGGCTCCATGCTCAGGTCCCCACCTCCTCCGCGTCCAGAGCTCGGTGGTGCAGGCTGGGCACGCAGCGCTGGAAGCAGAGTTCCGTCATTCGATTGTAGACCAACAGGAAGTCCCGCAACTGCGAGTAAAGGAGACCGAAAACTCAGCGCTCGGGAGCCCACGACTCCATGGAAGGCCCCCGCGGAGGTTCCCCGGGACGGCGCGCCACTGCCCGACGCTCCCAGCCCTCGGATCCCTGGTCCTGCGGCTCCCGCGGTGCGGACGCGGCCGAGAGCAGAACGAACGGCCCGAGAGCGTTTTGAGGTCGCACTCACGTTTCTCAGCTGCTGCTGCTGCTGCTGCTCCATCATGCCACCGGCGCAAGCCTGCCGTCATTTCCGTTACAGCGTCTCGGTAACGCCCCGGAAGTAATCGCTCCCTTCTTCTCCTGGGCTGAGGGGTCGAGTCAAGGATTGCCCTGCCCCCGCTGACGACGTCACTTCCGCCCTTATAATCTGCGACGTGGCCGGCTTCTTCTGCCCGGGAGAGGACGTCACTTCCGCCGAGTCCCTGACCTGCTGCTAGGATCGCGACGGGGACTGGAGCCCGAGGTCCCCGTGCGGCCAGGGCCTGGCGCCCCGAGGGGAAGAGCGGCCCTGTCCGAGGTGAGAGGCGTGCACTCGGGCAGGGAGAACTTGAATGCATGAACCTGTCCTGGGGCAAGATGCCTCTGTGCCTTGGGGAAGGATGAGGACACACCTGATGCCCAGGTGTAAGGGGGGGAGGGGCCGGGACTCACACCTGGGGAGACATAACTCGCCTAGTTTCTGGAAAAAGGCTTTCCCCAGGGAAGGGGGACCATACACCTACTGATTCAACGAAAGCCTCCTGGGGAGGGCCTGAGGAGTGGAGGTGCATGGAATGGAGGAGGGGAGAACACCTGAAGGAAAGAGGAAGAAACAAGAAAGGAGTGTGAAAGGTCAAACATTGGAGAGCAAACAATGCTGAATGGGGCCTGGGCACCTGAGTCCTGGGAAGGGATTCGGTCTCCTGATAGGGGAAACCCATGCATGGGGATAAGCTTCGAGAGAGCGGACTTCATCTCTTGTTCGCTGCTGTATGTGCATGACACGGTTGTAGGCACTGCTTAAATGGCTCTTGGGTGATTGAATGTATGCATGCTCACTGGAGACCTAGTGGGGTTGGAGGAGCCTTAAGACACTTGAGGCCTGAGTGTGCTTGTGTAAAAATAAGTGCTGTGGAAGAGGGGTTTGGGCAAACTTGAGGAAAAGAGTGGTAGGCAAGCCCCCAGAAAACTCAAGCCCTGGGACAACCTCTAAAACCTCAGAAATGATAAGGGAGAACTTACTCTTCTAGAGTACTGGCCAGTTTCCAGAACTGTCTGTGTTGGGCTTTGCAGGGCACTGGGGTGGAGACTTTGAGTCCAGTCCCTTCCCTAGCCATGACGGACGGGATCCTAGGGAAGGCAGCCACAATGGAGATCCCCATCCACGGGAACGGCGAAGCTGGGCAGCTACCTGAGGATGATGGGCTGGAGCAGGTGCTTCTGTTTGATTCTCCTCTGTGTTGTTTTGATTTGGGAATCCCAACTCAAATTGTGGGTTCTCACCCCTAATTCCAGTAGCCTTCCCCTAACTTACCTAATTCCCTTCAATGTTTTTACAAATCTTCATTCTGATTCTGTGCAGACTTCCCTTGTGTGCTCTCTCTATGATGCTTCAATCCAAGCTTGTTCTCACCCCCAAATGCTTCAGCTGCCCCTATGTTCCTGAAGCCCCCTCTTCTCTGGCCTATAGGACCTCCAGCAGGTGATGGTGTCAGGACCCAACCTCAATGAAACCAGCATTGTGTCTGGTGGCTATGGGGGCTCTGGTGATGGACTCATCCCCACAGGTATGAATGATCAGAACAGGACATGAAGCTAGAAAGGGGGAGAGGAGTGACTCTGGAAGCATAGGATATATTTTAGAAAGCTTGCACTATGTCTGGAAATCTCGGGAACCTCTGCTGGTATGAACCTGATGGACTCCTCAGCCCAAGGCCAGCTCCCAGGGTTGTCCATCTGCTTTCACTTGCCATTTAGCCCCTAAGGTGCTCTGATCTGGAACTTTGTGAAGCTCTCAGGGTTTTATTTTAACCTCTAAAGTTTAGAGGAATAAATAACCCTGAATCTCACACTGACTAAGACTCCACAAGGGAACGTCAACCAGGTTTCCTGTCATCAGGACCCACCCCTCAAAACCTCCCTCTCTCTCTCTCTCAGCATACTTTCTTTAGTTTCCTCTGCCCAGTAACTCCCTCCACCCTCTCCCACTCCCTGCCACCACTTTAGAAGGAGGCAGATGTGTATTGGGATCTAGGTCTCAGAAACTAGTGGGTATGAGTTCCTCCTAGTGAGTAGAAGAATCCAATTGCCCCTAGCTTTTGCCCCTTGAGAAGAGTCATGTGCTGGGAGGGAAGTGTAAGTGGAGCCACAGAAGTGGTATCTGCTTGTCTCTGAGAGAGACTGGTGTCAGAGAACTTGGTCCTTTAGGGTCTGGCCGCCATCCATCTCACAGTGCCACTCCTGCTGGCCCCGGAGATGAGGTGGCTCGGGGCATCGCTGGAGAGAAGTTTGACATCGTCAAGAAATGGGGCATCAACACATACAAGGTGGGATTCAAGCACATCACCCTTGCTCAAAACTCCCCCTGGGTACCCTCTTCCAGATCCCAATACCCCATCTATGGCTGAGTCTAGGAGCCTGGGGATGCTGGGGTAGATACCTGTGGGGGGAGAGAGTGCTAGGGTCTCTGACCTATTCCCCCACTTCCCAATCAGTGCACAAAGCAGCTGTTATCTGAGCGATTTGGCCGAGGCTCCCGGACTGTGGACCTGGAGCTAGAGCTGCAGATTGAGTTGCTGCGTGAGACGAAGCGCAAGTATGAGAGTGTCCTGCAGCTGGGCCGGGCACTGACAGCCCACCTCTACAGCCTGCTGCAGACCCAGCATGCACTAGGTGATGCCTTTGCTGACCTCAGCCAGAAGTCCCCAGAGCTTCAGGTGCCTCAGCCGGCCAAAGAGGGTGGGGGGACTGGGCCCAGGCCCTCCCAGGCAGTTGCCCCTCAGCCTCCCTCCCTCCCTCCCTCCTGCAGCCCAGAGGTGGGCCCAGCTCTGCCCCCAGCAGCACTTACCTGTGGAGGCAGCCTAAGGGTTTGTACAGAAGTCCAGAAGTTGGGGGGGGTGGGAGCTTCACAGAAGATGCCTCACAAATAACTCTTCTCTGCGTTGGCAAGAATGCCTTAGGTGCTCAGCCTAATCGGAGCCCTTCCTTTGCCTGCTGCACTGGCTTTCCCTGTTCTAGTCCTGTGAACTTAATCCCCACATCCCTACCCCAGCCATCCCCAGGTGACCCCACTAACTTTCTGGCTAAAAAGAGCCTTGCTCAGGGTAGTCCTTGGTTGTTCCGGTTTTGATGGCTGTTTGCTCCCTGGGGAGGAAGGGAATGCAGGGCCCTACAGCTTCAGTGTGGTAGGGACTGTGACTCAAGGTTTCTCCTCCCTTCTGCCCTCAGGAGGAATTTGGCTACAATGCAGAGACGCAGAAGCTTCTGTGCAAGAATGGAGAGACACTGCTAGGGGCTGTGAACTTCTTTGTCTCTAGCATCAACACACTGGTCACCAAGACCATGGAAGACACACTCATGACTGTCAAGCAGTATGAGGCTGCCAGGTGTGGGCACTGGCTGGGCCTAGGGTTTGGGGAGTTGGCTGGCACGGGAGGAAATTTGAGCATTAGGGGCATAAAAATTCAGAAATGAAAGAGTATGTGTGGAGCACAAAGGGGTGGAGACCAGCTTATATCACCCCCTCCCCAGGCTGGAATATGATGCCTATCGAACAGACTTAGAGGAGCTGAGCCTAGGCCCCCGGGATGCAGGGACGCGTGGTCGACTTGAGAGTGCCCAGGCCACTTTCCAGGCCCATCGTGACAAATACGAGAAGCTTCGGGGAGATGTGGCTATCAAGCTCAAGTTCCTGGAAGAAAACAAGGTGCTAACCCCACCCCTTTGACCCCAGCCCACCTTTCTGTCCGTAATACTGCCCTTATCCTCAGACCCTCCCCAACATTGGATGGGGGAAACGCAGCCTGGCTAAGGAATGGGATCTGTGGGCTCTTCTCCAGCCCCCTCAACCTGTGGACCTTTCCCTATCACCATCCCTTTGATCCTTGGCCCTGTTTTGCTGTAGGAAGGCTGTTAGTCCCTGATACATAACTGGGAAGAAAATCACTCCCTGGGGAACCAGAACCCTAGCTCCAGCAAATCAAGTCAGATTGACCTTTCTCTTTTGCCTCCCTTGGAGGAGGCTGCCCCCACCCCAAATGCACCATCAGAGCAGAATCCATGTGCCCCTGGTCAGGGCTCAGGCTCAGACTCATAGCCCCTCAAGAAGGGCGTGAGTGCAGCCTCAGCTGACCTTGCTGGACCCCCAGATTAAGGTGATGCACAAGCAGCTGCTGCTCTTCCACAACGCCGTGTCCGCCTACTTTGCCGGGAACCAGAAACAACTGGAGCAGACCCTTCAGCAGTTCAACATCAAGCTGCGGCCTCCAGGAGCTGAGAAACCATCCTGGCTAGAGGAGCAGTGAGCCGCTCCCAGCCCAACCTGGCTACCAAGCAGGACATTGGGAGGGGCAGTCCCAGGGTGGGGGAGATTGGACATGGGACATCCCTTGCCACCTGCCCTCCGACTTGGGCTCCCTTTCTCTGACTGGGCCTGACACCAGTTTTGCCCATGCTACTATGGGTAGGGAGGGGATGTGCAGGCCCAGCAGCTGCTGCCCTGTTCTTTATCTTCCTGGGCTTCATTCCCAGATCTTTTCCTTCCACTCCACAGCCAAAGGCTATGACAGAACCACTCCCTGGCCAATGGCATCACTCCTCAGGCCTATCCCCAGCTCCTGGGGTGTGCTCCCTGATCAATGGCAGAGCCTCAAAAGGCCCTGTCAGCCAATGGCAGCTCTTCCTGGGCTCCGCTGGGCCAATGATGTTGCCTCCAGTACCCTTTGTCCCTCCTTTATGTGTGCGCGTTGCAGAAAAGGGGGCTGGGACCAAAAGGGTGGGGATACTGGGGGGAGCCCCATTTCTGGCCCTGCATCTGAATGGGCCTCCCCTCACCTACTCACCCAGTGGAATTGTGCTTAGAGTCCTGAGAGACCGGGACCTAGCACTAGGAATAAACCTTTCGTAAAAGCAGGCCCAGTGAGGTCAATTTATGGGGGGATTTTAGGCGGGTGGGTTGGGTGGAGAAATGCTCAGTGTAATCATACATCAAAATCTTACCAAGTGAGAAGAGCTGGGGTCAGACAAATGAAATTACAGGGTTTAGGACTAGTGTGAAGATCTGCTCTTCTCCCCAGCCCCAGTTTAAGCCAAAGCTTTATTTACCCTTTATGCCAGCACCAAGATAGCTATGGATTCTTAAGAGCACATGGCCCAGAGGGGGTTGGGCCTGCTGACCTTCATCCTGCATTCATTTATTCATAGAACAAACATGAATTAAGTGCTTTTATTTGCCAGGCACTGCGCTAGACCCTGGGGAAACATCAGTGAATAAAACAAGGTCCCTTACCACAGTGCTTATGGCCTAGTGAGGGATTCAGACAAGTAACCAGGCAACTACAATACAGTGATAAGTACTAGGATACAGAAGTACAAGGAGCAATGGGAGCACAGAGGAGGGGCATCTAACATAGAACTGGAGTGGAGGTGGGGATGTGAACGTGAAGCTGAAATGGGAAGGGTGAGTAAATGGACAGAGCAGGGAAAAGAGTGTCCTAGATAGAGACCAACACATGTGAAAACCCTAACTAGGAATTGCAGGAATTCACTGACCGGAATGAAAAGTAATGGGGGAGTAACTAAAGGAAGTCTGCAGAGGAAGCTAGTAAGAGATCAGGAAGATTTTTTTCAGGCTGATTACGTTTGTCCTTTGAAGAAAGGTAGACACAAAGCCCTTTATGCACAAGTTTGACAGCACTAGAAGTCTTGGGTGGAGGAAAGGGGTCATTGTGAGGCTTAAAGCAGTATAGTGCAGACCCAGGGCCCCTCATATTGGGTAGCCTAGTAACCCTTGCCAGAAATACCAGAGCAAGCATAACCCTGTGTGAAGCTCACTCACAAGCACTGGAGCACTTGTGCAGGATACAGAAATGGGATGCAAGGTTGAAGCAGTTATGCACCCAAACCTGAACTTGCATAAGGCAAGCAATCTCCCCAACAGCACTTTGATGTAGTCAGGGTCCAGGTGCCACTGGGAGGGCCAGTCCCAGGGTGGGGGACATTAAACATGGAACATCCCTTGCCACCTGCAAGGGGAGCACCAGAATTTTTCAGCATTCTTTGTAGAGGGCTGGTGGAAGGGGAAAACCCAGTAAATGATTCCTAATGGTGCAAAGTCCATTCAACCTGATTTTGCTCTTTTTCCTAGATCCTGCAGCTTCCAGGCAGGCCTCCTGGGCTTTGGTCAGCTTGTAGTCATCTGACTTGTTTATTAGGTGGGGTAGTCCACATAAAAATCCCCATTTATGAGTTATTGACGATTTTTCAATGTAGGGGGTATTGAATCTCCAAATGACTGAAGGCAGGACTGGAAAGCAGAGCTCAAACCCTGGTTTCTCCACCTCCAAGCTGACTGATAGGGTTAATGTTGGAGGAGTCAGGGCCCTCCCTTGCTTTCCCAGTGAAACATGGTTAATAAAAGATGCTACCTTTTAAGGTTATGAGTATTAAATGAGATAATATACGCCAAGCGGTTATATGCCTGACACATAATAAGCATTCAGTCCCTGTTAACAATATGATTTTCCTTATTTCCCACTGGGGCTGCTTCCCACAAAGGGATGATTCTGAGAATTGTTCTGTTCTTGGGAGTGAGCTAGGGAGTCGCTGGATGGTCTGAACCATAATTTCTTCCGGAGGGGGCTCCTGAGAGAGCTAACCATCTAGAGCCAAATCGAGCCCCCCACCTTTCTACCCCGCCAGCCCCTTCTCCCCGAGCTCTGGATACCGCCCTTCTACCTTGGAACCCTTCCGCCTCGCAGACATCGAGGTACCCGCGAGCCCTGGACCCCTCCCTGCTCAGCAGAGACCACACCAGCAAATTCCATAGGCGCCCCCCAAGGAGCTGCCGAGCCGGCTCCCAGAGTCCCAAATTCCTGCTGTCCAGCGTCTTTTCCTGACGGCTCCTCACCCCAGCCCCTGAACCCCACCACCCCGCCTTTCCCTGCAGCCGCTGAGCGCCGGAGCAGCCGGCGGGGCGCGAGGATCCGGGATCCGGCTCGGGGCTCCGCAGCCGGCCGGGGAGCAGCTCCAGCGGGAGGCGCCTCGGGCTTCGGGGAGCGGGGCGGGGGGTGCGGCGGGCGGGGCTCCGCCGGGCGGGCGGGGCGTGGGTGGGCCTTCGGCGCCCGCGCGCCCCCTCCCCGGCCGGCCCGCAGCCCCGCCTCGGCCCCTCCCTCCGGCCTGTGCGGCGGGTCCGGCGGCGGCGCCGGCGCGGGGACAGGCGGCGGCGCGGGGCTCGGGGCGGCGCCGCGGGCAGGGCGGGCGGTCGGGGCTGGCAGCAGGGGCAGCGCCGCGGGCCCCTCGGAGCGCTGCGGTCCGGGCCTCAGCCCCCCATTCTGCTCCATCGCGGTGAGTGCGGCGGGCGGCCCCCAGGGGCGCGCCCGAACCTCTGCCCGCCGGGTCTGGGCGCGGGTCGGGGCGGCCGTGTGTCTGTCCGAGTGTCTGTGGGTGGGGGCGCAGATGCTTTCAGGAGCCGTGCCGTCCGCACGTGAGGCGTGTCCCTGGCCGTGGGAGCAGTGGGGGGATTCTTCGGGCTGTGGCTGCTCACGTGAGGTCCGTGGTCGAGGGGGGAGGCGCGGGTGCGACGGGTGATGCTGGTTCCGTGGAGGAGCGCGGGGTTCGGGCGCTTGTGTGTGTCGGCGGAGGTGGCGATCGCTGCGGCCCAGGGTGGTGATGGTGGTGGGGGAGCGGGTGGGGTTGCTGAGCGGGACTCTGGGATCTTGTGGCCCAGCTTGTCTCAAGGGCTCCTTTCTCCCTGGTGCAGACACTTCCACCCCCTGCACCCCCTCCGACCTGCTCTGGCACCAAGAGGCCCACCAGCCAGGATAGAGGACACTCTTTCCTCCTCTAGCATTGCTCCCCGAAAGAAAGCCTCACCCAAAGGCTGTTTCTTGTAGGAAAGGATCCCTCCCTGGTTCCCCTGGACCCCAGGCCCCTCCCTGGTTCTGGCCTCCTCCTTTCTGGACTTGGCTTCAGATCCTGGGCTGCAAACCTGCAGGGACAGATGGTTGCAAGTTGGAGGGCAGGTTGCACCCCAGGGAGGTCAGCCTGCCTGAAGGCAGGCCCAGAGCTTGTTCTTGGTGTGGGGTTCTCTGATGTGGGCAGATAAACCCAAAACTGGCCCCAGTGGGTAGATGAGATCTGTGAGATTGGAACAGGTGCAGAGACCTTTTTCACAGGTCTCCTTGTCCTTCTGTCCAGCTCTCCAATGCCCATTCATCCTTTAAACAGGACTTTGATCTGCTGCAGAATTGGAATCAGAGCTGCAGGCCTACAAGTACCTGCCTCTCTTGGCTTGCATGCCTCCAGTGACAGAGCACTTACCACCTTCTGCCATAGGAAAGCTTCTTTATGATAAGCAGAGGTATTTTTTTTCTTGGAACTTTGTTCACTTGCCTTGCCATTGCCTATGCTGTCGCCTCTCTGTCTGGTGAGAGAAGGCTGCAGTGATTTAAGCATGGTTTTCCTGTTCACCAACATACACTGAGCACCCTCTGGATGCCAGGTGCTGCCTCGGCCACTTAAGGGACAATAGCTCTCTTACTGAAAGAAGAGCTTGAGTTAAGGCCCATCACTGTGATAGTTCAGCCTGTGTCAGGAAAACAAAACAAACCCCTGTGGGTAGAGAAGAGGGTACCCAGAGGGACTGTCATGGGAACCATCAACTCAGCAAACATTTATTTTGGAAGGGAAGTGGGGGCAACTGAGACCACCCTGTAACACACCTGGCCACATGGTAAAAACCAGGAATTAAATCTTCAAAATAATAGAAAATGGGGCTTAAGCAGGGGCTCATATTACAATCTGTATTACAATTACATACAGATTATATGGACCTGAACAGAGAACCCAGGGAGTCTCCGATTTGGGGAACAAAAAGATTCCCTTTCCCAATTTGCCAGCGGGGGATGGAGTAGGAGCTTGCCCAGTGTCTATCTAACCTTGCACTAGTGAAGTTAATGATAGCTAGATCCTAGGTCACCTGACCTTATAACCTTAAACACATTTTAGGGGCAGAATCTACAATATAGTCATAACTTATACCTGAAGGGGAAGGAAGAGGACAAGTTGAGAGGACTCCAGGGTTCTGACTGGTGTGGCCAGACGGATAGTGGCACCCTTTATTGAGATGGGAAACACAGCAGGAAGAGTATGTTAAGGGAAGATGAAGTCAGTCTATGCATCATCCATGAAGAGGTGTTCAAGGGACAGTTATATACAGGTCTGGGGTTCAAAAGAGTCTTCTAGACAGGAGGTGAGTCTTTGGGAGTCATTAGCAAGTGGCTGGTAACTGAAACTTTAGAGATGATGATATTGCCCAGGCAAAGTATGAAAAGAAAGAGAAGAGACCACAGAATAAAGTCCTGTGACATTAGACATTTAAAGAATGGGCAGTGAAGGAGCAGTCAGAGGCAAGTGGGAAACTTGCACAAGTGGACGGTTGAAAGCTTTGAGTATAGGCCTTTTTGAATCTTTTTTTTCTTGCCCCAAACAGTCCATGTTTCTTAAATTTTCATGTTTCTGTTCCTTTACTCACAGTTTTCTCAATGTACCCATCAAGCTCCTATTTGTCCCTCAAGAGCCAGCTCAAATATTCCTTCTTGTAGGAGAATTCTTTATTCTTCCCCACCTGCAGAGTTAGATACTTCCTCTTCTTTTTCCATGGCAGTTTTAAATATGTCAGGATCACACTTATCACATTGTAGGTATGTACTTCCATTTCTGCTTCCCACACTAGTGTAAGAACTTGTGAAGGACAGGGAATGCATCTGATTCAACTTGGTGGCTCCAGTTTCCAACTGAAGGATCTGGCCCAGAGTGAAGCCAGCAAAGTTTGATCATTTGAGAGGTGGATCGAATGGCTCATTCACCTACTCAGTCTGGAGGGGGAAGTACTGTGAATTTCATCACTTTCCTTCCCTGGTCTTATTGACAGGATTCCTTACCTTTGGGGACATCACCTCCTCCAAAGCCTCATCTGTTCCAGAGACACTCCAAAGACTAACCTTAGCCATTTGCCATTTTTCTAAGGCCATAAATGATCCAATACACTGGGAGGCTAGTGAGCAGGAGCAAGTCATTTGTAGGAAGCAAATGATTCTTGCTGACCTCTTGCAGCCACTGTTTAACAATGCCTTGATCACTGCTGTGTAAGTCATGTATGCTGGGCTCCCCTGCAGTTGTAGGAGGAAGTCACGGGGGATGTTAAATGCTCTTTGAAAATTTGGAGAAACTGAAAAGCCTTGAAACATTTGCTCACAGTCAGCTTCCTCCTTAGCCCCCTGGATCTGGCTTCTCTCCTCCAGTCCCTGGAAACCAGACTCCCTCATGTTAGTGAAGTTAGTGATAGCTTTTTTTTGGAGGAGGGGGCTTAGAGCACAGGCCTTTCTGCAGCATTATTCAGTGAAGATCATTCTCTTGTCCACGAAGATCTTTTTTTCCCTTAGCCCTTGTTTCTGCTTCTCCGACCTCTCTGGCCACACCTTTTTAATTTCTTTGCAGGCTTTGCTTCCTGGACCTGCCCCTTAAATGTTGGGGCTCCCCCCAGGCAATCTCAGGCTCTCCTTTCTTCCTTACGCCCTGTCTGGGTGATGTCATCCATTTCTGTGGCTTCAGGTACCATCTCTACCCAAAGACTCCAAGATTCAGGCTCCAGGCCAGACCTCCTTTTTAGGCCTAGCCCGTCTTCCCAGCTGCCAGCTGGACCTCTCCACTTGAATGTCCCATAGGCACCTCAGAGTCATTTTATTGAACGCTGAAGTTACCACCCTCTTCCAAACTGCTCATCTTCCAGAGTTTCCAAAGCAGAAAACTAGGAGTCATCTCTGATTCCTTCTTTTCCCTCTATTCTTCATATTCAACCAAGCAGTGACCAAATCCTCTTGAGTCTTCCCCATGAAGTCCACTTACCCAGGCCTCCCCTGTGCTACTCCCTGAGTTAAGGCTGACCTAACCCCACTTCTGGCATTTCATGGCAGTCGCCTAACTTTTCACTTGTGACCCTCTAAACTATTTTCACACGACAGACAAAAATTTACTCTTTGTCACTCTGTTATTAAACCCTCTTCATCGCCCCTGCCCTCCGCCCCAAGCGTTTTTTGCTCCTTGGATAAAGCTTTAATCCCCTAGCAGAGAAAGGTAAATTCTAAACTCCTTAGAAGGCCAGCAAAACCTGGTGGGCTCTAGCTTCTGCTTACTACTCCATTGCTTTTATTCACCCTCCAGTCACACTGTATGATTTGGCCTCCCAATGCAGAGGGGCCCTGTCCTCTCTTTTACTCTTGCTTATCCTGCAGCTCTCACACTGGATGGTACCTTCTTCAGGAGCACTTCCTTGAGCTCCAGCCTCCAGCACCCCCTTTCCCAGCTGCAGATCTAGTTTAGGGGGCATCTGTGCTTCCTGTTCATAGCCCTCACTAGTTCATTGTAGTAATCTATTTATTAGATTGTGGAATCCATAAAGGCTGAGCTGCCACTATTTATCTTTGTATTCCCAGGCTTAGCAGAGGTGTTGAGTGAATGCTGAATGAGCCATAAGAGAGGGTGGAGTGAGGGGTGTGGGCATGGCAGTAGGCCGCCTGAAGAAAGAGGGTGAAATTCCCCTTTGAGGACAAGATCCCCCAGTGTGTGCTATGATTAACTCTCCACTTAAACCATCACCTAGAGGAACTTGGGGACAAAACTCTAGGGCACAGTGGAAGGGAAAGGTGGGAATAGGAGCCCAGAAGAGGAAGCTGATCTTAAGAGATGCAGGCCCGGGTATGGCCTTAGCAGCTGCATGTCCAGCAAGTCTGGGTGGGGAACTGAAGCAGGAAGGGGAAGGGTGGGAGGAGCTGTCAGTCCTTGGATGTAGGCCAAATCCCGCCTCTGTGTGACAGACTGGGAGAGCCCCGTGGGCTTGGAGTGAGGCGGAGCCTGACATCCAGCTGCCCCTGCTGGGCCCAGCAGACCACTCCTCTTCCTCCTGGCCCTCCCCTTCACCAGACAGAAGCTTCAGCTTGGCTCAGGCCTCCTATTTCTCCCGCCAACCCTCCATCTGTCCTGGCCGCCTGTCGTATTGTCCTGGTATTAAGTCATCCAATTCAGAACTCATCACATCTGGAGAGAGAATCTCAGAATTCCTGTGCTCACCTCAGAAGAGGATATACTCAGGTATATATGCGCCCAGCCGCACACAAACATAAGAAACATGCAGCCCAGCCACACCCTAAACATGGACGTGGCTCTGGATTGCCCTTGCTGCACTTATTCATTCATTCATTCATTCACTCATTCATTCATACATTCTTTTTTTAGAGGCCTATGATGCATCTAGCTGGGCACAGGTAGTGGTGACCTGCTCCTGTTCTGAAGTAGTCCAGCTATCTTGCTGCCTCCCCTTATGGCTAAATTTCTGACATGAATGATCTACATCTGCTCCATTAATTTCTTCATTGCCATTCGTTCTAGCTGCTCTCAGTTGGCTCCCACCCTTAGCATTCCCCCACACCCGGGTATGGTGGACACTCCAATCTTCATCGTATTTCATTACTCCTTTCTTGAACCACTTTCTTCCCTTGATTTCTTTGGGTCCACACTCTTGGTTTTCCTCCCAAACCTTTGGGTTCTCCTTCACTCTCTGCTCTCTGTCTTTAGGCTATCTCATCCCTTCTCATTGCTTTCAACGATATTAATGTGCCAGTGATTCCAAATGTATAGCCAGTCCAAACCTTTCTTTTGAGCTTCAGTGTTCTAGTCCTCACTTGACTTGTCCATGTGGCTGTCATGCAGGAACCTGAACAAGGCATGCCTAAGACAGAGTGCCCATGTGGCTTCTCAGCTTCACTGTCTGTGTGGGGACCACCCTTTGCTAAATGAGAGACCTGAAGTCTTAGTTAACCTTCCTTTTTCCCTCTCATATTTAATCCGTTATGATGTATTTTTGATTCAACCTCATAGCTATTTCTCAGTTCATTCCACCTTTTTGCTTGTAGCTCTGCTAATACCCAACATCAGCTTTGCTGAAGGACTGGGGTAGTCTCCTAATTGGTCTCCCCACTTCTTCTCCATCTTCTTTTCAGTCCTCGTAGCTGCTAGAGCAACTCCTTAATTTATTTTTATTTTTATAAATTACATAATTTCCAATTTAGGGTAAAATCCAAATTCTTAGCATTGAGGTCCTTGATGATCTCACTTCAACCTACCTGCCCAAACTTAACTCTTGCCTTTTGTTTACTCTGCTCTGACCATATGGTCTAACCATGGTTCTCAATGAGCCTTATGCCTGTGCTGCTCTTACAGTCTAGAATGATTTCCTGTTCTCACTCTCTGCCACCCTACCCTCATCCCTACCACTTTCCTCAGAACTCTGCTTAAAAGCTACCTCCCCAAAGAGGCCCTGATCACCCTATCAGAAAAAAAAAAGTATGTTTTCTCATAGCATCCCTTTTTTCTTTATAATACTCTCCTCCCCCAATGTTTAATTGTGTATTTATTTATTTACTTTTATAATACCTTTTTTATTTACTTTTATATATTATCTGTCACCTCCCCACCACAAGGACAGTGACCATCTGTTATATATGTCACTCTATCCCCAGTGCCTGTGCAAAGTAGGCACTTAATAAATATTCGTTGAGTTACTGAATTAATCCAATAAATTTAGATTGATCTTTATGTCAGGCTCTGTGCTAAGTGCTAGGAATAAAAATATAAAAGCATAATGCTGGCCCCTAAGAACTCTTTATACGGTGGAGGAAGCAGAGAAGCAATAAGAACATTACAACACAGCGATTAAAAGCTAGGATGGAGGAGGTAGAGGATTCAGAGAGACACAGAGGTGGAGCACCTAACATGGACTTTAGGAAATCAGGGAAGGCCTTCTGGAAGAAGTAGCGTTTATATGGAGATGTGAAAAATAAGTGTGAGTCAGTTGGCACAAGGGGACCTGGAAGAGGATATCAGGCAGAGGGAACAGAATGTGTAACTGTGCAGGAGCAAAAGAGAACTAGGAGTTTTGGGGGAACTGAAAGTAGAGCAGTGTGACATCCTAGAAGGGTGAGATAGGAGGTTATAGCAGGAGCCTGGGCACAGCTAAGCCTCTGTGACCAGTTTAAGGAGTTTGTACTTTGACCTCTGGACAATGGAGAAACTCTGGAGGAATTTAAACAGGGAGCTGGTGATTAGATGGAGTCTGTTTGAGAAGCCTCATTCTTGCTGTGAGGGGGAGGGATGAGAGGACCAAGACCAAGTCTCCACCAAGATGCCAGTTAGAAGGCTATTGCCGTATGGCAGGAGAGGTGGCTTCCTGTACGGGGGCAGTAGCTGTGTGGTTGGAGAAAAGGGGAAGATATTTTGAAGACAGAATCCACAAGACTGGATATTGATTGGATGCAGAAAAGAATGCAATCCTGGGCACTGTGCTGAGAGTGGGTTGGTGCATAGATAGAAGGGCTGCAGGGAGTCGGAGGAGACACTCCACCGGGAAGCTCTCTTGGAGGAGGATTTGGGGGAAGCAGAAGATATGAAGCATGGACCTGTCAGTGAAAGTGGGCCTCCGTGTACCACACACTCAACATGCTCCATTCAGATTCTCAAAACATCCATTTGAGGTAGGGATTATTATCCCATAATTGCAGATTAGGCTCAAAGAGGTTACATGACTTGCCCAAGTTCACGTAACTGTTAGTAGACAGAGCTTGGTTTGAAACCCAATCTAGCTCAAACTCTGTGCTCCTAACAAGAGCTGTGTGGCTCAGGGGTCACTCAGCCCCCCTATTTCACACTTTTCCTTCCAGAATTATTGTTTGGTCTGTTCCTGGCAGGGAAGAAACGGACTGGCCCTCTGTGGGGAATGGAGTGGTGGGAAGCTGGTGGGGAGAGGGAGGACTGGCTCCCCGGTGCTGACGTCTCTCTGCACACAGGCTGGTGTGAGTGGCAGGAGCCATCCGTGGGCACCATGGCGAAGAGGGAAGACAGCCCTGGCCCCGAGGTCCCACCGATGGACAAGCAGTTCCTGGTGTGCAGCATCTGCCTGGATCGGTATCGGTGCCCCAAGGTTCTGCCTTGCTTGCACACCTTCTGTGAGAGGTGAGGGGGTGTACCAGGGAGGGATGAGGACCTTACGGGGGTCCCCCTGAGAGGGGAACAGCACGTGTAAATCTGTAATAGGTGAGGGAAATGTGTATACACATTGTGGGGAGCAGATGGACCCCAGCCTTCAAGAGATGAGGTTCAGTACATGAACCTGTGAGAGGACCAGAAGTTCCTAATGCCAGGCCATGGTTCCTGCTCAGAACAGGGCCTTCTCTGCCCTCTCTGAAGCCCCAAAGCTGCCTTCAACACCACCAGAGCAAACAGTGATGAGACTCTCAGCCAGCTCTGGCACCAGAAGAATTTGTGCCCAGTGGGAGGATATTTGAAGCGAGGTCTGTCCTTCTCTGCCAGTCTCCATTGTCTTCCTAAGGCAGCGAGGGAAGGGCAGCCCCTCCCAGCCTCTAGGCTTCTATCCACTATTCATTCATTCAACAAATACTTATTTATCAAGCAACTTCTATGTGCCAGACCTGCCCCAGGCATTAGGTATGTAGTGATAAGCAAAACCAGATATGATCCTTGCTTTTAAAAAAACTTTTAGTGTAGTGAAGGGGAAAGATAGTAATCAAATAATCGTGCAGCCAGACTACAGATAAGTGTAATAGTGTGCCTTAGTAAGTGCTGCAGATAAAGTGTTGAACCATAAGAGCTTAGATAGGATCTGATCTGTTATGGTTTGGAGAATCAGGGAAGGCTTCCCTGAGGTGTGAATGGAAATGAATAGTTATTAAGTAAATGTAGGGAGTGTTCTGAGCCTGCTAGGGAGGGCATGGGTAAAGGCCATGTGGCCTGAGGGAATAGTAAAAGAGGGCCTGGTGGGAGCTGGTGAGGCCGGAGCCCAGCAAGTGTGAGAGTATCGTGACAGGAAGCCAGAGAGGTAGGTGGAACCCAGCCCCCACCCCCGCCCGGGCTCGTGGACCAGCCGAGGAATTTTGCTTCTACTCTTGAGAGCCATGTGCAGCCTGTGAGGACATCTGTGTTTTATAGTATTCTCTCTCTGGCCCTCTTCCCTCTTTGCTCTGTCTCGAGTGGCCTGGTCCTTGGGTCTTCTCATCAGTGCCTCCACCCTGGCCTTCCCCTGGAAGTGTTCAGCCTCGCTGAGACGTGGCTCTGCTATGGGACGCTGCTCCCCGTTCACAGTCCAAGTCTACTGCTGTCTCCCCTCATCCACTGGACATGGGCTTGGCCTTCCTGCCTATCCCAGGTTCTCCCAACAGCCTAGGTGATGTCACTACCCACTTATGCCACTTAGTTCTTGACTGTTCCTCCCGGGATGTCCCGCACACCACCTCTGTCGTCCTCCGTCCCAGCCATGCCCCAGACCTTGCCGGCACCCAGAATAATACCACCTCTGTGGTCTTAGACTCTGGTATTCCACACCTGGTTCCCTTGGCCCACTCCCACGACACCAGCTTTGGTTGGCTATCAGTATCCAGCCCCCGCCGTGCCTCCCGCTTCTCTCGGCCACCAGCTCCATCCAGCCTCTGTTCCCTTCCTACGCATCCTGGACCCAGTGGCTGACCACCTCCTTAAAAGTCGGTGTGTCTTTCTTTGCCCGTCTCCACAGTCCTTTCTAAACCCACGTGGCAGAAGCTCAGTCAGGTAGCAGAGCTGTAGCTGGGTATCTCTGCACCTTCCCTAGTGTCTGGATCACTGAGCACTTCTGGAGAAAGTGAGTGCCTGAGATATTATAATACCAGTAGCCTAATGATGGCTAATTTTTTGCCAGGGACTGGCTAAGTAATTCATATGTATTAATTTACTTAATCCTCACAGTAGATACTTTATTATCCCCATTTTTGAGAGGAAGATATTAAGAAATATTTCTAAGGCTCCATAGCAGGTAAATAGCTGAGGTCTGAATCCAGGTTTGACTGCAGAGCTTTCTCTGCAAACCACTATTCACTTATCCCTTGGTTCCTGCTCTCAGAACTTAAGCTGTAGTGAGCAGTGACCTACAGTAAGGGGGCAAATAATCAGAAGAATGGCAGCTTGTGCTGTTTTGCAGGAAATAAACAGGGAATCAGTGGTGGTGCTTGAGCTAGAGGGCTGTTCTGCATAAAATCAGGGAAGGCTCCTCTGAGGAGGTGACATTTGACTTAAGACATGAGGATGAGGAGACAGACATGTGTAGATTGTTCCAGGCAACAGGAAAAACTCATGCAGAGGCTTTAAGGAGTAAGTGAGACATGTTTAGGGAGAAGGAGAAGCTAGTGTCAGTGAGTGAGGAAGAAAGTGGGATGAAGGTCTGAAAGAGGAAAGACAGTTCATGGAGGAACTCCATGGTTTCAGGAAAGTGTTTGGCTTCTGTTCCAAACTATCAGAGGATTCTTTTTAGTGGGGAAACAATGTGTCAGATTTCTTAAAGCTCACTCTGGCTGTTGGTGGGGAATGGATTACAAAGGAGCAGGAGTGGAAACAGGAAACCAGCTAGGAAGAAATTATAAACCAGGTGTGCTCCACAAATGGGAAGGAGGTCTTGGTGAGTTGGGAGGCATTTTTCGGAATCAGTGAAGTGAGGAGAGCACAGGGGAACAGAGTGGGAAAGGCTGAAATACAGATTTCAGAGTTGCTACTTTAGGGGGGGCGGGTTATGGGTGGTGGTGAGCATGACAGCGGACAGCTGAGGTGAATTGAAGGAAACAGTCAGAAAGGGTGAAGCAACCATTAGGTCAGCAATACCAAGGAAGGGTGGTGTGGACAGAAGGCGAGAGCTGCCAAGGAACGGAAGAATAATTGAGAAATATTCCAGTTGGGAGCGGGAGGACTCAACCCCACCTTCTGACCCTAAGGAATGTGGAGTATGAGACAAAAAAAACACTCTCTACTTGAGAAGACTAGGGAGAAAACTGGGTCACAGTGAAATGAGTTAATATTTGTGAAGCACTTAGAGCCATGCCGGTACATAGTGTTTATTAAATAAAGAAAAATTAATTAATTTGACTAAGAGATGTAGAGAACCTTAAAAGAACAGGTTGAGGATTTAGAGTTTGCCCAGATCTTCCCTGCACCAACTCGTGGTCTCCAAACACACAGCCATTAGTCTGTTTCTGGTCAGCTTCCTTTCCTGCCCCCTTCAGTGACTAATCGCAGCCCTCCCCATCTGCCTGATCTCAGCTCCTTACTGATCTTGCCTGAGGGGAGTTTACGGATCCTCTTTCCTGTGTGCAAGTACATCCACCTCTTTCTCCCTGCGCTGCATTCAGAGGGTGAGGTCCAGCCTCCTCTTCAAGCCATCTGAGCTGCTCCCACATCCTCAAGACCTTTTCTCATCCCTCCTAGTCCCTTCCACCTCTCTTCTACTGACCTCTCAATTTATAAACACACTCAGGGCTCCATTACAGAGAACAGCTTTCTTTTGTCTCTTTACTGCCCTCTACCCCCTCAGTCTCCTTCTCATTAGAACTTGCACACATTCACTGGAACCTTCCAACAGTCAAGCTCTCCTGCCTCCATAGCTCCACTCTGTTTTCCTTCCAAACTTCTGTGTATGTCAGATTCCATTTTCCAGCCCTTACCTCCCCGACTCCTAGCTGCTTTCAACACTGATAGCTACTCAATTCCCTCTTCTGGAATTGTGCTGCTCACTTAGCTGCCCCACCACTGTACCTCCTCCCACTTCTCTGCCCATTCCTCTTTGTTTTCTTCTTTCTTTTTTTTTTTTTTAAGATTTATTTATTATGCATACAAGAACTGGGGTAGAGGCCAGAGGTGCGGGAGTGAGAGGATTCACCAGAGACAGAGTGGGGAGCAGAACAGGCAGATCTACTGAAACACACTGCTGAGGGGAGCAGCGGGCAAGACAGGAGAGGTCTGCTGCGCCATGGGGGTAACTCCCTGGTGGGGGATCGAACTTGTGCTGCAGTGACTGCAGACAGCTTCATAGGTTGTGTCTTAACCCCTTGCACCACCAGGGAGGCCCCCTCTTTGTTTTCCTCAGTATTTCTGGGTGTACGGCCCTGCTCTTTCCACTCTCCGCTCCTTCTTGGATGCTGGCATCCTCTCCCATGACTACAAGGCCATCTGAGTGTTCATGACATTCCTGTCTCTGTCTCCAACCTGCCTTCTCCCCAGCTGCCCCGTCACCCTGGCTGTCCCATTGTCACAGTGATCTCAACCAGGCCAGGCCTGGACACCGCACTAAGCTGCTCCTTTTTTCTCTGTTTTTCACCTTTGTGAATATCACCACCATCCTCTCAGTCATCTGAGCTGGGCATCTGGGAGTCAACCAAGACTTATCTCTCACTCCTCGTATCTAATCAGACAACACCTCTGCCAGCTGTTTACTTCTTAAATACTTTTCAAGTTTGCTGTACTTTAGTCTGTGTCACTGTTGCCTAAATCCAGGTCTTCCTCACTTCTGGTTCAGAGGATTGCAAGAGTATCTTGGTGGAGCACATGCTTTGCCTTGGACTTGAATCCAGGCTCCAGTGCTCTTTGATCCAGAGCTTGGATCAAAGTGCTCCAGCGCTCACTAGCTTTCCTCTCTTGGCCCACTTACTCACTCTCAGTCTGTTAATATGAACCTGAAGTGCAAAGCACCTGGCACACAGTGCTCACTAAATAGTGACTGGCTGATGGCGGTGGTGATGGCAATGCTCTCTTCCTCCAGGCCCGCCTGGCTCCTGATGCATCTTGTCTGTGCCCGACTCTGCAGCTACAGCCCCTGTCTGCTTCTCGTCACCCTCCACACACAGGCAGTGGAAAGGAGCTGGATCAGATATAAGCCCAGCAGCCCCTTGCTCCTGTGGCCCCTATTGCTGTTGGGTTAAGCTCCTTGGGATGCCTCTGCCTCTCTCTCCAGACTTCCTACTCACACTACACTGTTTCTTGCCACCTTCTGAGTCTGCAAAATCCTTTCTCCTCTCTGTACATCTTTCTTTGGTTAGTTTACAAAGATTTATGCATGAAGAGTTAGCGTCTATCATCTCCAAGGCCTTTCCTGACTACCCACTCCACCCCCCCCTGAGCCAGAAGCCCCTTCTGTGCTTGCCCTTACCCAGGACCTACAGTGTTCCTCATACAGATGGTGAACAGCACTAATAGCCCACAGTGCAGAGCGCCCCTGTGAGGCAGGCAGTGAGCTCTCCCCGTTTACTCCTCCAACACCCTGTGAAGTCTGTGCTGTCTCCATCCTACGAAGGAAGGATCCTTGGCTCATAAAGTTAAATAACTTGTTGGCTCATAAAGTTAAATAACTATGATAACTGATTGACTTGAGAATAGAACCTAAGCAGCTCCAGGACCCATGTCTTTAATCTTTACATGATTTATTTCTATATTCTCTATTTCTGTGACTTATTTTCTCTGTAGGTGACAGTATTTATGAAAGTGGACACTGTGTTTTATGTTGGTGTCCCCGGAGCCTGGCATACATTTGGCAAGAATTGGCAACCAGTAAATGTTTAATGAGTAAATGAAGGGGGAGAGCTAGTGGTACATTCTCTGTGAGAGGGTTTGTAAACCCTGTGAAAGGTGATCCTGTGTTTGCACACACCGTAAGGAATGCGGATGTGCCAGCTCCCCCGAGCGCACCAGGGATGTGTTTCTATTCAGCTGCACCTGCTGGCAGGACAAGATGTGTGTGCCAGCTTGAGAGGCTTCAAAATGAAGCACAATGGCACGCCAGTGAGGAGAGGCTTGGGACCCATGGGAGTTGTGAGGAGGGGTGCCTTGAGGCCACCCTGCCCCTGCCTTCCTTTGACTCTCCCTCCTCCCCGGCCAGATGCCTCCAGAACTACATCCCCGCCCAGAGCCTGACACTGTCCTGTCCAGTGTGTCGACAGACGTCCATCCTCCCCGAGCAGGGCGTCTCGGCACTGCAGAACAACTTCTTCATCAGCAGCCTCATGGAGGCGATGCAGCAGGCGCCTGATGGGGCTCACGACCCCGAGGACCCCCACCCCCTCAGTGCAGTGGCTGGCCGCCCCCTCTCCTGCCCCAACCATGAAGGCAAGGTGGGCCCAAGCAGGCCCAGTGAGGCCAGGACTTGGGGAGGAGGAGGAGGAGGCGAGGTTGGGGGCGGGGCCGAGTGACTGTGGGTGAGAGGGTGTTTCTCTGGATAAGTGCGCAGGTAAGGGGTGCACCTAGAAGGTGAAAGGGCGAGGAGGGAAGATGGGGAGGGGAGAGGACAAGAAGTTTGGTGTCTAGTCGTTGCCTGACTGGAGTCCTTATGCCGCCAGACGATGGAGTTTTACTGTGAGGCCTGTGAGACAGCCATGTGTGGCGAGTGCCGCGCAGGGGAGCACCGGGAGCACGGCACGGTGCTGCTGCGGGATGTGGTGGAGCAGCACAAGGCGGCCCTGCAACGCCAGCTCGAGGCGGTGCGCGGCCGGTAGGCACCAGGGAACCTGGGTGGTGTGTCAACAGGGGTGGGGGAGGATCCCCGGGAAGAAAATCTGGGAAGGGGCAAAGATAAAATTCTTAGGTAGGGCAGGAGGTGTCAGCTAGGGGATCTCTTGGAGGGCAGCTGTAGTGTCTCCAGGGAGAAGGAATGGTTTGGTGGGGGTACCCTCAAGCAACCCTGGTATGAGATGTTTCCCTTCCCAGACTGCCACAGCTGTCAGCAGCTATTGCCTTAGTGGGGGGCATCAGCCAGCAGCTGCAGGAGCGCAAGGCAGAGGCCCTGGCCCAAATCAGCGCGGCCTTCGAGGACCTGGAGCAAGCGCTGCAGCAGCGCAAGCAGGCTTTGGTCAGCGACCTAGAGGCCATTTGTGGAGCCAAGCAGAAGGTGTGTCTTGTCTGTTCACCCTTTCCCACCATCCTCCGTCCAACATAGCCTTAGTGCCTCCATATTGTCCGAGCTTTCCACCTAAGCACCCCTTTCTCGGATGATCTATACTGTCTGCCTCCTGACTAGGTCCCACAGTCGCTTTGGGCATCTGCCCCAGCTCCACACAGGCACTCCTGTTTCTTTGACATCACAGCATGACAAGTTCCTCAAGAGTCTCAGAGACCCGTCAGCGCAGGTCTGTTAACACGGCCGCCCTCTTGCCCTCCCTAGGTGTTGCAGACGCAGTTAGACACCCTGCGCCAGGGTCAGGAACACATCGGCAGCAGCTGCAGCTTCGCGGAGCAGGCACTGCGCCTTGGCTCTGCCCCCGAGGTGTTGCTCGTGCGCAAGCACATGCGGGAGCGGCTGTCGGCGTTGGCAGCGCAGGCCTTCCCAGAGCGGCCACACGAGAATGCGCAGCTGGAACTGGTCCTTGAGGTCGACGGGCTGCGGCGATCTGTGCTCAATCTGGGCGCGCTGCTCACGACGAGCGCCACGGCACACGAGACGGTGGCCACGGGCGAGGGCCTGCGCCAGGCACTGGTGGGCCAGCCCGCCTCGCTCACTGTCACTACCAAAGACAAAGATGGGCGACTCGTGCGCACCGGCAGCGCGGAGCTGCGCGCGGAGATCACTGCCCCAGACGGCGCGCGCCTGCCGGTGCCGGTGGTGGACCACAAGAATGGCACGTACGAGCTGGTGTACACGGCCCGCGCGGAAGGCGAGCTGCTCCTCTCAGTGCTGCTCTACGGACAACCGGTGCGCGGCAGCCCCTTCCGAGTGCGCGCTCTGCGTCCCGGAGACCTGCCGCCTTCCCCGGATGATGTCAAGCGCCGAGTCAAGTCCCCCGGGGGCCCGGGCAGCCACGTGCGCCAGAAGGCCGTGCGCAGGCCCAGCTCCATGTACAGCACAGGCGGCAAGAGGAAGGACAACCCCATTGAGGACGAGCTCGTGTTCCGTGTTGGTACAGTTGGCCAAGGGGGGCGCCTGCCGGGGGCGGGCTCAGACAGTGGGCAGGGAGGGGAGGGAAGCCCAAAGTGACCTGAGTAAATGCTTCTGTTTCCCTCCCATCGCTTCCCCACAGGCAGTCGTGGAAGGGAGAAGGGCGAATTCACCAATTTACAGGGTGTGTCGGCAGCTAGCAGCGGCCGCATAGTGGTAGCCGACAGCAACAACCAATGCATCCAGGTAAGTGCTTTTGTGTTCTCCTCCGGCGCAAAAGAAGGGTTCTCCAGCTACAGCCTCCTAAAAAAAGACCAGAACATACAGGTCATCTCCTGAAAGATGAAACCCTACAGATAGTTGCATTCCTTAAAGAGCAGTGAGTCATCAGGCCGGCCCTCACCCACCTGCTTTGCCACCCACAGTGGCCACAGCAGTAAGCAGCACCTTCACAGATAGGCACTGGCGTTACTGTGTTTGCAGCCTCTGCTTCCTAGGCTGTCACTTGGGCCAGACCAGCTCCTGCACCCCCAAAGGTCTGGCTCATTCTTCTTTCCCCTCTGCCTCCATTTGAACCTCTGACTGGTTTACTTTCTCCCATTTTCTCCACCGCTTGGTGAGGATGCAGGGTCTGCCCTTCCTTCTAGCCTCCAACATACCTGCTTGGTTCCAGATTGTGTCTTGTCTATTCTGGTTGCTGCAAACATCCAGTTAACTAGGTAGTCAAATGGGGTCATTTGTGAAAAGGGGTGCCTTTTGGTGGCTACTCTATGGTACAGCCTCAGGACTGGTCCTGCTCCTGCCCTCATAGTACATCACATACCTGAGTAAAGTATCTGCTGCTCGAATGGATGTGGCCTCTGCTGCACTTCAGCTCCTTAAGGCCAGAATCTGCAGTTTTCTTTCTATCCCTTGCAGTGAGCCAGACCTTGGAGTAGACCCAAGGGTGATAGACACAGCGAGCTGTTAAAAGTTCAGGCTTTGAAACCAGATACCTTGCCTTGAATCCTAGCTCTACCACTTACTGATAAGTCATGTGACCTCTCTGAGCTTCAGTTAACTCCTGTACAGTTAAGAAGAAAACACCATGTAGGGTTGGTGGGAGCATTCAATGACCATGTGCTTTTCCTAGCGAATCCCCTGTTGCTGGCTGTGGTTTAAAATATCATTGTCCAGGTGGAGGCTATAAACAAAAAGCTAGGAGGTGGGAAGAGCTGGGGGTGGGGGTGGGGGGAGCAGGTTGCTTAGGGAGCTGGGAGGATCCCAGAAGGGCTGCAGGGAGATGAGTATTAGGAGGGGAATGACTGAGTCACATAGTACAGGGTTTTGGAGAGGACATTGTGGAATTTTGGTTTTATCCTATATAGGATTGTTTAACTATGATGTGCTTCAGTTCTTGCAAATGTTTTATTAGGTAACCTGACCTCCCCCCAAAGGTCTTTGCTTCCCAACACCTGTACATTTAAACTTTTTCCTGGCCCTGCCTGTCACCTATTCAGCTCACCAAAGGTCTGTCATCCCATTGTTACCTCCTCCCTGGCCTCTGCTTTCCACCTAGATACTGAAGGTGCCAGGAATTTTTCCATGATCATGCTTTTTTGTCTTGTTCAACTTACCTTTGTTCCGACCTTATTCCTGAGAACGGAGGGATGGAGAGGCTTGGGTCAGCATGGGAGGCATCTGGCTATAATCTGGACAGTGAGGAGGGGGAGGGTTGGGACTCAGCCTTCACCCTCTTTTCCTCCCCACTCATGTCAGGGATGTTTCCTGACATGAAAGTTGAGATTTGGGAAACTTTCCCTGGTGTGCACACATGTAGGCACTCATGTGCCACTTTGTCTCCCTGATGAGGGCCTGTGCGTTGTTCCAGGAAGGGGAATTGGGGTGTGGTCTGCTCCTTCCAAACGCCTGCTTCTCCTATAGTAGTCTTCCTCCTTGCTCATCCTCCCACCTGTACCCCAACTTCCAACCTACTAGCAGCTTGGCTCTCTGATTCCAAAGCTGAGTTTCTGCTTATCTTGCTCTGCGTGTGTGTTGGGCTCAGATCTGGTGTGTGCTGTGCTCCCAGATGTACTCTGCTATCCCCTGTCCCTACCAGTTCATGAGGATTAGGGTTCTTGTGAACTTTTCCTCCTTTGGACCCATTTATGGTAGAAGCTGAGGCAAATCCCCTCATTGTGCTGAATCAGCATTAGCCAATAGAAAAGAAAAAAAATATTTTATTATTTTCAGTGAAGAATTTGATTTATATATATATTTTAACCTTGTCTTAGTCCAGAAGTTGTATCAGCTCTGTGAAAACACCTCATTTCCTTCAAGCATAATTTTAATCACATTTTCCTCTGAACTCCCTTAGCTTATGCTTTGGTAACATACTTCACTGGAATTACTGCCTTGTTCTTGTTTTTGTCTGGTTTTTAAATTTTGTGTTAGTCTCTCTCCCACAGTTGACTCAGATCCTGAAGTTCCTGTGGTATAGATGAGAGATGTTAGGGATCAAACTAGGATACCAGCATATTGTAGAGGTGTTCAGGAAGCAAATAAGGCAGGTTTTGAGCAGCTGTTAGATGTCAGGGGAAAGGGAGGGGTTGGGAATGGTGGACTTGGTGCCCTGGTTAAGTGGTGTTGCCATTTGGGAGTGCACCTAGATGTAAGTTTTTGACTTCAATTTTGCGATATTGACTTTGAGATAGCCATGTGGGTATGGCATCCAAGAAGAGATTTCTGTTTTGGTGTGACTTTGAGCTAAGGGATTTGTTTAGCATCTGCTGTGTGCCAGTGCTGCAAATGCAGCAGCAAATCAAACACAGTTCCTGCCCCACCTGGGGCTGACATCTTTAGGTGGGTATAAAAATATCTAAGGGTTATTTAGCTACAAGAGGAATAGTTATAAAAAGCCATAAAGCATGTATCATGGGACCTAAATTTTTGGGTGTGTATTGATTTAGGGGGTGGAATTGGTCATTAAAGATTTCACTGAAGAAATGACTGGGAATTCTGAGAATCAAAGGATGAATAGGAATTGGTCACATGTAAGGGGCAGGGTAGGATGGGATGGAGGAGCCAGATACCCCCCTCAGGTCTCCCTAGACCTGCTGAAGCCTCATTAATGTTGAGCTGGAAATGGAGTTGCTCAGACTGGAGGAGGCAGGCTCACTGGTACTTTTTTATCCCTGTCACATCAGATCTTCAGCCCATGTTGAAGAGTTCTCATGCTGACTTCCCACAGGGCTATGCTGGTCAGCTTGGTGAGGGCTTAGTGGGACTCCACATCAGGAGCAAGTGATATCTCTTGATGGTACCAATGGAAAAAGCCCTGCAGGTCTAAGAGATGAAGATGAGGCAGGGACAGGGGACCCAGTCCACCAAGAAGCGGGTCTGGGTCAAAGAGCCATGCCAAGAACAGAACTTGAGTTCTCCGAGGCTGTTTCTAGCTCTGATTCATCTCATGTTCTGAGAGCCTGTAGCAAAGCAGATTGACTGTGACTTATACAGAGTGATGTTCTTCCTGGGAAGGAGAAGCAAAAGGCTGAGCTTCATCCAGAAGGAGCATTAAAAGAGGTGCTTTTAGGTTGGGGACACCTGAATATGTTGGGTGACAAAGGTGAAGGAAGTAGGAGAGGAAGAGAAGTTGAAGAGTTCTCTGTGACCGGAGGAAGATGACCTTGGCAGCCCCAAGGTCTGGATGGACTCATCCTTGTCCATTTCCGCCCATACCTCTACTCCTTTCTTGCTTGCCACCAAGTCTTGTGGAGTCTGCCTCCCATATGGCTCTGGACCCCATCTGCTCCCCTCCAACCCAGACTCTGGGCCAAGCCACCAGCATGTCTCGCCTGACTACTGCAGCTGTCTGTCTTCACGCCCCCCTGCAGAATGCTCTCTCTTAAAAGCCCCTGTGTGTCTTTTCTACCACCATGCAGCAATTCCATAATTCTCAGTGGACACCAGGTGTCCTAACACTTCCGTTCTGATACTATCTGAAGATAACACCAGATCCCACAGCTGAAGGCCCCGGCCCCACAAGACTGTCCCCACTTCAGATACCAATTGCAACTCAATATTTTACCTGCTTCTGATCAGCTATAAATTGGAAGGTCCTGCCACCCCCTCTTTGGGTCTCATTCATTCCAATTGGGCCTACAAGACTATTTCACAGAATTTGGGAGAACATTTAGTTAGATTTTCTATAAAGGATATAAGGGATACAGGTGAAGAAGAACATAGAGTAAGGCCCGGAAGACGCCCCTGGCACACAAGCTTCAGTTTCTGGATGTGTCACTCTCTGACACCAGCTCAGAAGCTTATCAAGTTTTGTTGTTCCAGAGCTTCTATAGAGCTTAATCTTCCCAGGAGTTGGGTGAGGAGGAAAGTTCAGCCCTCTAATTACTTGGTCTTCCTGGTGACCAGCCTTCCCCAAGTCTATCTAGGGACCCCACTCTAAGTCACTTGAGTTGCACAAACTCAGGTGTGCGCAAAAGGGGTTCTAAATGAATGACAAAAGAGACTTCTATCACTCAGGAAATTGCAAGGGTTGAGGAGCTCCATGCCAGGAACTGGGGACAAACACTAAATACATTTCTCATACCATAAAGATAAACCTCACCCTTTTACTTTCCTGTCCAGAAGTTTTCAGTGACTCCCAGGATAAACTGTGCTCTTTCTGTTGTTCACTGGAGTGTTCCCTGCAGTCCCAGCACACGGGGCAGTCCTTGGGCTGTGCCCTTACTAGACTCTGTGCCTTTTACATCCTTTACTAGCAAACTGAGGCTCATCTCTTGGCCTCCCCATTAGTCTCTATAGCTCAGCTATCCCTTCTCCTGGGGACTTTCCTGGCTACTTCCCCTAACCCTTTCATTTTCTTATGTCCCTTTCACCCCTCTGCTGCATGCCTGCCAAGGTCTGCAGCCATGTCTGATGTTTGACACCAAACATGTTGTCAGTGCTTGATGAATGACTGAATGAAGGGGGGCCTCCTCCCTCAGGTTCCTGCTCCTTTCCTTCGGGACCCACAGTCTCTCCCCTCTTCTCTGCTCCCTCCCATACCCCTATGCTCCAGGTTTTCTCCAATGAAGGCCAGTTCAAATTCCGCTTTGGGGTCCGAGGGCGCTCACCGGGGCAGCTGCAGCGCCCCACTGGTGTAGCAGTGGACACAAATGGAGACATTATTGTGGCCGACTATGACAATCGTTGGGTCAGCATCTTCTCCCCGGAGGGCAAGTTCAAGGTGAGAGACCTACTGGCATTGCACTCTGCATGCCTGGTGGACAGCTGAGGTGACTAATCTGGTGTCTCCTAATGGGCAGGGCCTGGACTAGTCCATCCCCAACCCAAGTTCTGCTTTGCCGCCTTGCTGGGACTACTCTCCCTAGCAGGCAGGTGAAGGCCTCCTTTGTGTCCCCTTCTTCCAGACCAAGATTGGAGCTGGCCGCCTCATGGGCCCCAAGGGAGTGGCCGTAGACCGGAATGGACACATCATTGTGGTCGACAACAAGTCTTGCTGTGTCTTCACCTTCCAGCCCAATGGCAAACTCGTTGGCCGTTTTGGGGGCCGTGGGGCCACTGACCGCCATTTTGCAGGTATTGGGTCATGATTCAGAGATTGTTTTGATACCTAGTCCCAGGGTGCCCTGATACCCCAGTTCTAAAGACCTCCTCCTCTCATATCTTGGCCCTAGAGGTGCCCCTCCCTTCTCTATCTTTGCACCATCATCCCAGAGACCACTTATCACATCCCCCATGCCCTGCCCTCTCTTACACCATACCTCTATAATTTTAAATATTCTTCCTCACCCTGCTATTCAGTATCCCAATTTACTGCCCTAGAGACCATTCTGTATTTTCAGGGCCCCATTTTGTGGCTGTGAACAACAAGAATGAGATTGTGGTGACGGATTTCCATAACCATTCAGTGAAGGTCAGTGTCCTCTCTCACCTTTCCTCTTGCTTGAGATCGTTCATTTGAACAATAAACATTTCCGACATGGCTACTTGGTTCCCGGCGCTATACTGGATGCTGGGGATACAGTGGCAAGTAAAGCAAATATGTTCCCTATCTTCTGGATTGTGGTCTGGTAGGGAGGAGGAAAAGGTAACCAGGATATTACAAGAAGATGTGGTAGGTTCTGGGATTGGGAAGCATAGGGAGCTGCAAGGGCACAGCAGAAACCTTTGGTTGAGACTAAGAGTGGCCTGAAGCCTGAGTGGGATATAGCTAGAAGGTGAGAAGAAAGAGAGGATTTGAGACAGAGGGCACAAGAGGAGCTCAGAATTGCAGGTGGGAACCCTTGGCATGTATTCAAGGAACTACAAGAAGTTCAGGCTGGGTTTGGAAGGGGGAGTGGTGCAAGTGAGGATGCGGCTGTGTGAGCCCCGGGAAGGGGCTTTGAGGAGTCCCTGAAAGGTTGCAGGCTGGGGATGACGTAACTCTGTGTGTGAAGTGAAAGATCACTCTGGCTGGGGTGAGACCAGAGGCAGGACGATCAGAATTCTGTGTTCAGCCAGATGAGAAATGATGAGGACCGTCACAGCTGTCCCTTGAACAACATGGAGGTTGGGGGCAGTGGCCTCCCCAAGTTAAAAATTCACATTTTAATTCATAGTAAACCCTCCACACCTCTAGTTAGATGAACCCATGAATACAGAACCTGCAGAAAGAAAGAAATTTATGTATATGTGGACCCAGGTGGTTCAAACACGTGTGGATCAAGAGTGAGTGTATACACACAGTGTACAGATTTGAGATCGGACCAGAAGACTGTGGGGGTTCATCAGCTGTCAAGCAGAGCAGAAGATCAAGTCAAGAATGACTCATGACCAAATGCATCTTGCCAGTCACTGGAGAAGAGGGGCTGCTAGACCCGCTAGGTGCAGGGCACATCAGCTGAGGCAGGCAGTGGGGATGCGTGCATGGGGAGCGCAGGCGAAAGGACTAGACTGTCACTGCAAATTTGGGGGTCCTCAGCCCTGGGGCTTTCACCCCTTCCTTCTCCAAGACCCTGCCCTGTGCCTGAAGCTGGGTCCCCAGCCCCCAGTCCTTTCCCTGTCAGGTGTACAGTGCCGACGGGGAGTTCCTCTTCAAGTTCGGCTCTCACGGCGAGGGCAACGGGCAGTTCAACGCCCCCACCGGGGTAGCTGTGGACTCCAACGGGAACATCATTGTAGCTGACTGGGGCAACAGCCGCATCCAGGTGAGTGGGGCCCGGGGGTGGCATGCAGGGGAGGTTTCCTCCCGTGCTCCGGTACACACCTCATGCCGGAAAGCCTCTCATCTGTGCGATCTCACCTCTTCCTCCGTTCTCCTCTCATCCCCAGGTATTTGACAGCTCTGGCTCCTTCCTGTCCTACATCAACACGTCTGCAGAGCCACTATATGGCCCCCAGGGCCTGGCACTGACCTCGGATGGCCACGTGGTGGTGGCCGATGCTGGAAACCACTGCTTTAAGGCCTATCGCTACCTCCAGTAGCTGCACAGGGGCCCTGCCCAGCTCACGGAGGGATGGACACAGGGGTGATTGGACAAGAGGGTCTGGCCGGGAGGTGGGCCAGACCTGGCAGCACTGAATGTGGGCAGTGGGCATGGGTGTGCCCGCTGCCCTCCCTCTCCCCGTCTCCCAACCCCCACGGTTGCACTTTATTTATTCGGTTCTTGCTTTGGTGACTGGGTGGGCCTGGACTGTGGTCCCAAGGATGTGTGCAGAGCTTCACCCTACCCCACCCCCACAACCTCCCCTGTCTCCTCAGTCTGCTCCCCACCCCCCAGCCTGGGGCCACAACAGCCTCTTACTCCAGGACAGAAGTCCCTCTGGTTGTCTCCCTACACCCCATACACACTGACAGAGACAGCAATACCCCATCCCCCCATATTAAATAAATGTGTTCGCCAAGATGGTTTGGTTGGTTTCTGTGGGCGGGACAAGGAGGGGATGGGAGGAGGGAATTAGCTCTGGACTGAAAGGTGGGAAGGCAGGGAACCCAGATTCCAAACAGACCCTGAAGTTTTGAAGCTTCAGGGGAGGAGACAAGAGAGGGTGAACCACTGAGACCCTAAGCCTCCAGACCCAGGCCCACATCGCTTGCAGAAATAGGAAGTCCTTTAGTTATCTGCCTGAGGATGAGAGACACCTGGGAAAGTGACCCGGGCCAGGACACAGCAGAGGCTGCAGAGAGACTTCCAGGTCTGAGAGTAAACACTGGGTCTGGGTTTGGGCCCTGGAGCTAGCCTGGGTGGACCTGAGGTAGGAGACTCCCGTGAGCAGCATGCCCTTTTGCTCAAAAAGAGAAGACCCCAGTCTTGAATCTATAGCTCCATACTCTAAATCGGTAAGCAGTATACCTTACTCATTCTTATGTGCTTTTCACCTAGCATTGGGACGGGCAAAGAGGACACTCAACAGGATCTGGGGAGTAATGGATCTGGGAAGGCTGGCTATGAGAAGTAGTGAAATAGATCAAGACACTGACCTGGTATAGCATAGTTCCCAGCTAGGATAGGAAGGGCTATCTATCCATGCACCTGTGGAAGACCGCAGGAGCTTTGCAGAGATCAAGGTGCTCCTCGTGGACCATATGGAAGTCTTGGTTATATTCTCCTTCCTGGCCCTCTTTGTCCCCACTGACTGCAACCCAGTAGGCAGAGGGACAGATGAAACGCCTAAAGGTTCAACAGCAAGTGTAATAGTGTCTGCACTTCTGGCTCTGATTATGAGTGGACTGCCTGGCCATGCACTGGCCAGCTCAAATGCTGTGCTCAGTGATCAGTCACTCAGTTCCAGTGGGGTCTTCCCCGAAGATTTTCAGGTGATGGTCTATTCCTCCCCTGCACCCCCATCTTGAGCAAAGCACCAGCAGTGACACTGAGATGAAAACTCCAAGTTCCCAGTCTTCAACCTTACGCCTGCTTACATCCTGAATGCCAAAAGGTAGTAAGGGAAAAGGTAATAAAGGTGAACTTCCCTGGTGGGAAACCCCTGCTGGATCCCTTGCCAGCTTGGGAAGAGTCCTGACCCTGATTTCTATAGGTAGCTGAGTAAGTAAGTAGACTGCCTAAGGCAGATAGAAGGTGTCTTAAGGTGGCATCACTCAGTTCCTCCTAGACCTGATCATCTTTCCAGTGCAGACCTTGGGCCTAGAAGTAGGTGGAAGCAGTGCCTGAGAGTGGAGGATAGACCTTGACTTAGTTGCTGTAAGTCTTATATGGTCTTTACAGAGTTGAGGTTGCAGCAGAGGTACTGGAAGAAGTCAGAAAGTTATTTTCTTGCCTGCAAAGGATCACACTTTATTTATATAGGTCTGTCTGGTGAGCAGAACAGTCCTGTGGTCTGAGGCTCGTTGATTCATTCAACAAGTAGTTACTGAGCGTGGACTATTGGTCACACAGAATGGTGGGCTCTGGGTTACAGTCAGCATTGATCCCTGTGAAGCTTAAGTTTATTGGGAAGGCAGGTAAACAAGTAAACACAGGGGGAAAAAAATGCGTGATGACAGTTTGTGTCAAAATGGTGAGGGAAATGAACAAGATGGCAACAAGTAAAATGATCGTGAATATGGTATTTAATGGAGTGGGCAAGGAAGGCCACTGGACAGTGAGTTGCAGGTTGGGGAGTAGGTAAGGAACCAGCTGTGTGAAGTAAGAAGAGTAGCTAAGGATTTCCATACTAAGGAAGAGCAGGTACAAAGGTCCTGAGGGGTCAAGATGTGGTATGCTGAAGGACCCATGGAAGCCGGGGTGACTGGAGGAGGAAGTGGAGAGAAAGCAGAAAGGAACAAATTTGGAGAGTCAGGCCTGAGCTCATCATTTAACTGGGATAGAATTTGGATTTCATTTGGATATAATGGTAAATCACAAAAACATTTAAGTGACAGGATTGAAAGGGATTTTATGAGATGAACTGGCACCTGCACAGTAATTATTTTTTTAATTTTTTAAAAGGTTTATTTATTTATGTATGCAAGAACTGGGGTACAGGCCAGAGGTGTGGGAGGGTGAGAGGATCACCAGAAACAGAGTGAGGAGCAGACAGGCAGATTGATTGAAATACACTGCTGAGGGGAGCAGTGGGCAAATCAGGAGAGGTCTGCTGCACCATGTGTGTAGCTCCCTGGCCAGGGATCGAACTCATGCTGCAGTAGCTAACCCCTCCACCACCAGGGAGGCCATGGACAGTAATCATAAAGGAGAAGGAAGAAAAATGAGATAAAAAATAAACAAAAAAAGAACATCTCTAAACTGCTCCTCTTGAAGATGTGGATATATTAAAATTATCTATAGTCTTCCAGGTCTAGGGATGTTTTTAAGAAAATAATTGGCCAAATGTGTGCACCAATGTTTATCACAGATTTATTTATATTTGGAAAAAATCCCAGAAAAACCTAAATATCCATCAGGAGAGAATAGTTATGTAAAGTCTTGCTTAAATGTATAATGAAATAATATGCACACTTTAAAAATAATTGATGTTTAATATACACTGCTAAGGAATAAAAGACCTATAAAATTATATCTTTGTTTTTAAAAGATTGTAATAGTAGGAAAGGGCTGGGATAAATAAAATGTTAAAGTGGTGTTCTTTGATTAGAATTAAAACTGATTTTTATCTTTATAGAAGAGTTTTAAACAGGAGCATAAGCTCCTCTCAGATATATTTTTGAAGATTACTGAGGCTGCTATGAAGAATATTGTTGGATCACTCTTCTACTTGCTGGATGAGATGCTGCCTGATTCATGAATTGCTTAATGAAGTCAGTTAGATCTTTAAAATTAGAGGGAAAAAAAAGAGAAGTCATGGAGCATGCCAGGAGAAGCAGAGAGGCAGAGGCTATTTCAGTGGTCAGACAAGAAATGATGGTGTTTGCACTGTGAGGGAGGCAGAGAGAAATGGACAGATTTTAAGTCTATCAGGAAGTAGAAACAACCTGATTCAATATGTATTTAATAATGTTACTAAACCTGTTATAGAGCAACCCCGATATTAAACGGGTTCCTGGCTGTGGGTCCTCACCCGCGCGCTTTAAAGGGACTTATGAATACTCTACTACAGACACACGCAAAAGGGTTAATAAAAGGTTTATTTACAAGAGAAAAAGAAATAAGGAAAATGTACAACTCAGGGAGAAAATAGGGAAATAAAGTCTTTAATGCGTCCTACCCGATCCGACGACCTGGAAACCCCAAAGTCACTCTCAGAGCTAGACGGACGCCACGAGCTGGCCAAGGGCCCCAAAATGGAGAGCCCCCAAAGCCCACGTGTCTGCCTTTTGTATCCACCTGGCTGCTTAACCCCACCCTCAGGTCCCAGCCACCTTCCCTTTGGTGGTGATGGGATTTGGAGTTCCCAGTGTCTTTGGCTTTGACCTGGGGTGGGGGTGGAGTCCACAAAGCCTGTATGGAATTTGCTTTGGGACTGCCTTTTCCCCCTAACAATTCCCCCCTTTCACTTTTTGCCACCATTTCCATGGTGATGAAGATCAAATTCCATACAGGCTTTGTGGACTGCCTTTTCCCCCTAACAAACCCAGTGTTTTAGGCGCTGTTCTAGGTGCTGAAGATGTATCACTGAATGCAGCAAATAAAATCCTTGTTCTGTTCATTAAGACAGTAAGTACAGTTGTTAGGGGAAAAAGGCTGTCCAGGAACCCGTTTAATATCGGGGTTGCTCTATAACACAGTGGACAGTGGTCTGCTGGACCTGGCTTGTACTGTCACTCTAGAACTCACTGTCAAGTTTTCAAGAATGTTAACCATGGGTTATGAAAACGTAGTCATTCTTTAAATTATGTAAATAAATGTTTTACTAAAAATCAAAGTTAATAAATACTCAAAATGCATCACTTCCTAACTACTGTATTGCATTCTATTATTACCTATGCTCTTTTGGGTGTTTACATCTCTTGTGACTGCTTGGTGGAAATACCATATATAATACTATGTTTCTGTGCATGTCTTCCCAAGTCCACAATGAATTCTTGTAGGTAGTCTTGAACCTACATGGCCATGGTAGGAATATTCAGGCCACAAAATAGCAAATACTATAAAGTTGGGATTTTTCTCCTCCTGGGAGAGGTGTTAAACATTTAGCAGCTCACCCTTTGGTAGGATAAGGAACACCCTGAGATGTTAGGTAGTCAGAGCTCAACTGCTTGGTCACAAATCTACCACTTGATAACAGTGGGGTGTGGCCAAGATACCTAATGTTCATATATTGATTTCTTCATCTGTAAAATGGAACTAATAGTATCCTATGCATAGGAATATATTTATGTATCTATATAAATTTAATAAAATGATCCATATCAGCATATCCACAGACACAGTAAAAACAGATACGAGCAAATTATTATTTTAATAATTCACAAAGAAGCAAGAAGGTACTATGCAGGAAGTTCCTTTATAGAGAGCGAGAGAAGGTGGATTTGTTGGAGGAGTCAGAAGCAGAGAGCTCTTTTGGCTCCTGGAGCTTTATCTAAGGAACCCAGTCCCTGCTCTCTGGAGTACACAACCACAAACAGCAGTGCCGCGGACCAGCACAGCAGTAGACGATGAGGCCACCTCAGGGTTGAGAGAAGCGTGCAGGGTGGTCAGGGCGTCGATGAAAGAAATGACAAACAGACACACTTCAAGAGTGAAAATCTGAGTGTAATTTTCTTTGAGTTTGTGACCAGTATATATATGTTTTCCAAAAGCACAGGAATGAATATCAATGAAATTAGCTTGCTCATGGGCTCAGTCTATCACCATCAGGGAGGTGATCTACATAACAAGCAATGACCATTATAGAAGAAAGAAGGAAGTTTAGAAAGACAAATAAGGGATTAAAGTTTGTAGTTCTAGAAAGACGGGATAAGATTTTTAGCATTCTTGTAGTGGTTCTTGGTGGTCTTTATCTTTTGATAAGCTTCTGCCTTTTCAGGGAACTTCCGCTGAACTTCCTCGGCTTCAGGCTGTTCTCCCCCCTCCCCCCCCCGCGCTGGTTGCCCAGCCGGATCTAGGGACCGTGGCGAAAGCCATTCCTAAAGATCACTGCGGGGGGGAGGTGCAGCAGGTAGGGTTTTGCTGTTCTTCCCCTGCGCGCTGGTTGCCCAGCCGGACCTAGGGCCGGTTAGCCCTAAAGGTCACTGCAGGGGGAGGTGCAGCACAGCAGGCCTAGCACAGTACTCTGGGGGCCTCAGAAGAAACCATTGAGGTCAGAACCCGATCAGTGTCTGGGCTGGCTGGACATAGCCATTCTCAGGGACAATGGGCAGCATGCAGCTTACATGTGACCAATGGCAACACAAGTGGAAGCTATGTCTGTGAGCTTCAGACCTCTTTGGGTTTGACCCACATTTAGACCCCTTTGGGGGAAAACAGAAAGCAGCTGATTAGGAGGACTGAGACAACTATGTGGAAAAAGATAGTTGGAATTTTCTGGGCTTGAATTTCCCAGGAAATCAAGCAAAAGAGATCCCCAAACTCTCTCTAGGCAGCAGAGTTCTGCAGAGGAAGAGGATGTGCCTCTAACGTCCCACAGCAAGGCTGAGGAGGGAGGGAGGAAGACTGTGGAGAGCCAATTTCAGGGAGGAAAAATTCCTGGGCTCTGGCCTCAGGTTGAAGATGTGACTGCACTGACTCGTGCGACCTCCAGGGGGCGCCCTGGCCCAAGTGTGGACAAATTGTTAGACTAGGCCAGAGCTCTGGGAGGACTTGGAAAATGCAGAAAGAGCCACATCAAGTGAGGAACAAAGTAAGGCCAGCTCAGTCCAGGGTCCCCTGAGAAGAGCTGCCCTTGTGCCCGGTGACCAGGATGGCCAACATATGCATCCACGACCTGGGTTTCAAGGGGACACAGTCCAGTGCCTCTCAGCTCTTTGCTTGGAATTTGAGCTTCAACCAGAGCTACCTGCCATGCAGAAGGATCTGCTAGCCCAGGTCCTGGGTGGAGAGAAAGGGAAAGGGAGGGGCGAGGAAGGCTCCAATAACAGTGTCCAAGCCCCCTTCAGGTAGATAAGCAGGAAAAGAAACAAGAGTAAAAAGGAGGCACTCTTCCGCCATAGCTAGATCCAGTTCTGTGAAGGACACCAGTGCCACGTGGACAGAGGAGGCCAAGCTGAAAACATCTTCCAATACATGTGCTGTGTCCCCAGGAGAGCCCTGCTAGGCCAGAGGGGAGGTTGTTCCTCTGGCCCAGAAAACCCACCTGGGCCCTCCCTATGGGCTTTCTAGGGGGCATTCATGACTCAGTGGGACAGCTTTGGTCTCTCCAGGCAGGCTCAGTGAAATCTGGAGCTAGCGACAGTTGTTGAGGGGGTTGCTGGTGAAAAGTCCCTGGGTGCTGAGGAGGGGGAGCCCAGGAAGGGGATATAATGTTGTAGAGGCTGAGAGGGAAAGAAACAGTGACAGGGAGTCTTGGAATAGCATGGCCAGTGGAGGGTGGAGCAGGGCCAGCCAGGGATGCCCTGCAGTGGGGAGAAGGTAGGTGTCAGGCATCCATCAGAAGAGCCATGGCATTGCCCAGGAGGCCAAGAGCCTGGGGAGTCCCGCTTTGCCTACAAACCAATCAGGAAAATTGATGTTAACGAGGCACATGTGCATTTGTAAATCAGGAGAGTGCATTGAACCTGATGGCATGGGCCTTGTTCCAGAGGTTTCCAAAATCTTCATTTCCAGTTGGGAGGAAGTTTTTCAGAGTAGAAAAGGGATATGAAACCTTTGCTGAGGTTTTGGGTGAGGCGGGGAGCTGTAAGGGGCATGGAGGTACTGCAAGGAATTAGGGTCCTTTCAGCCTGGGGTCCTGGACCCTCAGTCTGCTTCATAACTAGCTGCCCATACTTATCTTCTGTCTCCAGTGGAGGCTGGGCCGGTTTTGGGAGTGGCCTCGGGCAGTGCTGAAGATGGCGAGCACTAGATAGCCGGGGAGACCCCAGGGTCGAGGGGGAAGGGATGTGGGTTGGGACGCTGGTGAGAGAAACAAGACCATGATGAAGGGACCTGTGACACGTGGCCACAATGTGCCGCCTATTGCCACACACCCTCAGTGCCCAGTGTCCCCTCACTGAAGAGGGAAGTTGGCAGAAATTTGGTTGCAACACTAATCAGCACTTGAAACCCACATTTTTTTTTCATTCACCCATTGCAGACCTGTTCTGTGCCAGGCAAATGAGACAAGAAAAACAAAATGAAGACAAAATCAAAAAATAAGTAGACAGAAGAAGTAATTTCAAGTGTTAATAAGTGACAAAAGAAACAAGCTAAAATCTGAAATGACTAAATAAGGTGGCGAGGAAAGGTTTCACTGAGAAGACAGCATTTAAGCCAGAATTGGTATAAATATTGCAAAACCTCAGCTACGGTTCTATTTATTCTGTGATGGGTAAATAAAGCACTTTCCCTTCAGGTGGAAACTACCAAGAAATATGAGTTACTAGTCGTGTTCTCTGGAGCAGAGACACCTCTTGCTCCCTCTTTACTGGCAGCCCAGGTGACTTTTGGCCAGTGGGCGTGGGGCCAGGGTGGGAGTTAGACATTTTGCAACAGTGAAATATTATCAGTCCAACAAGGGCAAAGCTGAAGAGGCTTGGGAATGCCCCCAGAAAGTCCCCTGACAGAATTTAGGAAAAGCTATTTCCTGAGTACTCTGAGTATCTCTTTCTCTGTCTCTGTCTGTCTGTCTGTCTGTCTGTCTGTCTCTGTGTGTGTTTGTGTGTGTGTGTGTGTGTGTATGTGTGGCTACTCAGTATCTATTAAGTATCAGTGTCTTAGAGCAGGGTTTGATGCTTAGTATACAAAAATATTAGTTTCCACCTCTATTCTCCAACCCTGCTGGAAGCCCGCTCCAGCAGAATGTCATGTCAGGGGTCTCAGAGGGGACGGTGTCGGCTAAAACTTGGGGGGCTGAGGGAAAGTGGGGTGAGGCAGACACAGACACTCTTATATTGGTGCAAATATCTCCTACTGAGGGTCTCAGCGGGTCTTTATACCTTAAGGTGAGCAGTGAGATTACATCAGCATAAGCATTGAAGCACAACAAAGACAATCATTACGTATTTTCTCATGAACATATAGAGACTCCCTTGGTCTCATATCAAAAGGGCATTTCTTTGGTTACCTTAAGAAAAACATCAGGGGCAATTAGTTTCCTAGGTACAGCTCATTTTCTAACATGATCAATTATTTAAGACAGCACAACATTTGGTAACAATCATTCTATTAAACTTTCCTAGTTTTGGAGTGGGCGCGAAAGTCCTATTCTATATTTTGTTACTAAAATCAACCTATCTCCCTAGAACACAAATAATCTAGCTAATTTATCAATTACTTCAAAGTGGCCTAAAGTAACTCATCAAATCTATGTTAGTTCTACTGAAGTCTAACTCTTAACTAGAAATGCCTAACCTCCACACGGCCTGCTAACTATTGACCTTTCGCATACACCAGGAGATGTACTGCTGCCGAAAACACTTACCCCCTGGGTTAGGCTATGATTTCCAAGCACAGCTGGTTCAGAGCAGCTTGTTCTCCCTAGTTCTCAGGGCCAGGACATTTCTATCCTAACTATACCATTAACAATTTTTACTTCTTTTGTGATCGTTCATGCGTAAGAACAATAAGCCAATTGTCACCTGGGTCAGAATTAGGTTTTCACAAGCCAATTTATAACTAACTTACATTTGCATTAACCAAGAACAGAGGAGTATTAGCAGGCATTGCCATGGAGACTCCCTTATTCATATCTTCTGGGAAGTGCAGGACTCCCCTCTTCTCAGGAGTCTCCCCCAATGCCCGGACCTTGTCAAGAGACAGCATGGGTAGCGCCGCCTACCTCACTCCCCCATTGTAGAGGTCAGTCCAATCACAGACAGGCGATCCTCCATCTATCTCTGCCCTCCCTGGCCTTATGGGCACCCAGACCCTTCAGGGGGAAGAGTCAAGCTAGGCGCCCATGGCACAGGCCAGCCACTGCTCGAAATTCACTGAAGGGGATGGGGTTTCCTGCCGGGAAGAGCTGCTTTTGGACTCAGATTTCTGTCCAGACCCTGACCTTCCTTATATGATGTAATGAGCCAATATTGGCACAGTCCTGAGAGGCATTGCATTCCCAGCAGGCTTGGAGGTGGGGGCGGTGCTGCTGTAGTCGCTATATAGGGAGTTCAGCCAGGTGCCCCGAGCTGTCCTGTGGTGCCTCTCCAGTTCAGCATGGCCGGGTCTCCAGGAATACCAGTTGTGCTAGGACTGTGGGGTCTGTGTTGGTCTCTGGCTCTTGCCTATCCTCTCTCTCCGTGAGTAAAGCCGGGCGAGGAAGGGGGGGCTGGGTGTGCACTAGAGGGGCGTAGGGCCACTTATTTTAGGTCTGGGGCAAGTTTGGGGTGAGGAGTTATGGAGAAGGATTGGACCCTGTGGACCCAGGGTTTTGTCTGTCCTCTCTCTAGGACTGGTGCCCCTGGGAACAGAGCTGAAGGTGTCAATGGGACTGAGCTAAACTCAGATGTGATCGGTGAGGTCCTGACTCCCTGAATTTGTCTATCTGTCTGGCTGTGTTACTGCATTTTGTCATCTGATGGGTCTTTGACTTTTCCCATCTCTACCTCCAGCACGCTGCTCAGATGGCTGGAGCTTTGAAGCTGCCACCCTGGATGACAAGGGGAACATGCTGTTTTTTAAAGGTAGGAGGGGCTGGGGTTAGTAGCATTGGGCCCCCCTCACTGAGGGTATGCCCATGTGTGGGAAATCTTAGGAATCACCGAGGGAAACCCTCACAGCTTCTCTGTAACTTTTTTCCATTGGCCAAAGCTTGGCACTGGGTAACTCAATGAATGCATTTTCAGGGGAGTTCGTGTGGAAGAACCACATGCACAGGTTGGCCAAGGAGCTAGTCTCAGAGACGTGGAAGAATTTCACCGGCCCCGTGGATGCTGCATTCCGCCTGGGTCACGACAGAGTCTTCCTGATCAAGGTACTGCTGGGCCAAGGTCAGAGCTGTGCCAGGAAGTGCTGCACCTGACTGCAGAGACCCTCCCCCAAGTGGTTCTGGCATGGATTCTTTACCAATAAGTACCAGGTTTCCTCCCCTTGTGCTTTCCTTTCCTACAAGCTCAAGCTAAGGGAGTATGTGTGGCCTGCACAACATTCAGTGGCTATTTCTCAATCCTAATCCTCACCCAGACTTCTCTGCTCTTCCCATGCTGTCAGTCATTCTTTCCTACCTGGCAATTCCTTCCCTTGACACCCATGATCCTGCACCAGGTCATCTTTATATGGTGGCCAGGATGTTCACCTCACAGCGGTGCTGGCCAGAGGGGGCCAGCAGAGGATGAAACGCAGCCCGCATTGCTCCCCTGCACCTTGCCCCGGCCCAGACTGAGTCTGTCGGAAGAAGGGCGCCTTCTGACTTGTGCTGTGTGCTTGGGTGGCCTCTTTCTCTGCCTTTTGTCCTCCGCTAGTCCCTGAATGTTTCCTGGAGATTCACCCCAGTCCTTCTGTGTCCTTCCTGGGTGACCTCAACTGCCACTGCCCCGAGGGCGCTCATGGATCTGGGTCTCTCCCATAGCTACAGACCTCTCTTTCCAATTTCCGGGCAGATACCTCTGATTTAGAAGTTCCACAGGCACCTCAAATTCAGTGTCCCCCAAAGTGAATTTAGAATCTTCCTTACAAAGCTACCCTCCTCCTGCTCTCCTGTTTCGGTAAATAGCACCACTGCATGCCACCCACTGCAGCCAGGCTCACGTGCACATGGGTCTTGAGCTTGTCCTTGGGATCTTTTCAGGTTCAGCCTCTTCCCTGCCCCATCCACAGTGTGGCAGCGCTTGGAGCTCTGTGAGCATGCTCTGTGCAAAGTGCTCCCTCTGCTGGTGGTACCCTTTGCACATTTGTTCACCTGGAGAATCTTGCTGGGTTTTCAACTCTAGGCCCGAATGCATCCTACCCTGTGGTGTCCTCCAGAGCTTCTATCTGCCCCCCTATATTCTATCTACCCCTCTATATTCCAAGGCACTTCATGTGCTTCAACCTTGGTGGCTGCATGGCTAGAATTGTAGGACGCCTTTCTGCTCTTGTACAGTGAACTTGAAAGTAGACGCAGTCTTGTCATCCCTTTATCCCCAGTCCCTCTCACATGTAGTTCAGCAACTGTTTCTGGAAGGAAGGAGTGAATGAACAAATCCCAAGGGTATGGATGGATGAATGATTGCACGATGACTATTTCTGAATGTGTTTGACAAGACTAATGATGTTGCAGATAAGTGTGCCATGGGGGTGTCTGGCTGTATGTGGTCATATGTGTGTGCTATGGTAACAGTGATAGGATTTGCAGTCAAACTGAGGATAAATGTTTGCTCAAGGGGACTGCACACTGTTGCTCACAGATGGATGGAGCGTGTGTGGGACTGTGGGTGGATACTGTACAAGTGTAATGGAATGAAGATCTTGCGTGAATGCAGAGTGGCTGCATCTGGAGTACATCACTAAAAGTCAAGTGCTGTTGCTTGCAGGGAGATAAAGTCTGGGCGTACTCTTATGAGAAAGAGGAGAAGGGATATCCAAAGTCCTTCCAAGATGAGTTTCCCGGAATTCCGTTCCCAGTGGATGCAGCTATTGAATGTCACCGTGGAGAATGCAAAGATGAGGGCATTCTCTTTTTCCAAGGTCAGTCCAGGCTGGAATATCAGAGCCTTGAGTGTTGGTGGGTGGGGGTGATGGAGATGGTGGTGGTGATGGTGGTGTAGAGCCACTATCTGGCTTGCAAGGAGGGGAAGAAAGCAAGAAATCAATTATGGTCTGGAGAGGTCAATTAGGGGCAGAAGTCACCCTGGAGAAGGGAACTGATGTAAGTCTCTCATTGTTCCCGTGACACTTAGTCTTACATATTCTATAACCAAGCCCCTACTGACACTCTGGCCTCCATTCTCACCATACCCTTATCTTGAATACAGAGTTCCAGAAACTGTGCTGTACCCTGCATACTCAATTTGCTTTATGCTTTAGATTTCCTCTTTGTGGAGTTCCACCTCCCTCTCTTATCTGCCTTGTACTCCCTGCTTCAGATTTTAGTTTGTGCCACCTCCTCTCGGAAGTTTTCCCTGATTCTCCCTACTGCCCTTGATGAGCTCATCACATGCTTTTTTTTTTTTTTTTTTTTTTTTTTTTTTTTGGGATCCTCGCCGGTGGCCGGGGATTGAACTGGTGCTGCAGAGGTTGCGGGCAGCCTCTCAACCCAGCACTCAATCGCTGCGCCACCAGGGGAGGCCTGATCACATGCTTTTTACTTCATAATTTTATTGTAAGATCACTCTTAGCTATCTCCCTGCAGTGTGGCGGGCTCCACTGGTTCACCCTAAGGCCCCATACAAGCACAAGGGAAGGTGGAGCCCGGACTCACTGGATGCTTGTTGACTGATTTGACAAAGGTAACCGCACGTGGTTCTGGGATGTGGCCACCAGAACGAAAAAGGAGCGCTTCTGGCCAGCTGTTGTGAACTGCACCTCTGCCCTGCGGTGGCTCAGCCGGTACTACTGCTTCCAGGGCAACCAATTCCTGCGCTTCAACCCTGTCACTGGAGAAGTGCCTCCAGGGTACCCACGGGATGCCCGAGATTACTTCATGCTCTGCCCTGGCAGAGGTGAGAAAGCCCCTGGGGCTCACTGGAATTTGTCTACTTGCCCTGAGTTTGCAGACCCCATGGGCCCAGCCGCCCGCCCAACCCCCTAATCTCCAGTTCTGTGATATAACACCTTGGACTTTACCCTAGTTCTGTTCTCATCTGGCTCTTCCCCTTGCCCTTGATGCAGGAAACCCACACCCACACCTCAGCCATCTCTCTACCTCACTCTGACCCCTGGCCTCCCTCTGTGTTCCTCCTTACCCATTTCTTCCCCAGGCCATGGACGTAATATTAGCCGCAAGGACGTGCGTTGCAGCCCAGATCTGGTCCTGTCTGCACTGCTGTCTGACAACCACGGTGCCACCTACGCCTTCAGTGGTGAGAGATGCCCCCAACTCCCTCACCTCTGTCCTCCGCACTTCCCATCTCTTTCATGCATTTCTGGTGATTTCTAGACATGCTCTGGGGTCCGGCGTCTTACCCTGTACATGCATTCCAGGATCCAAGAGAAGGAGAGAACAATCTCATTAGACTCAGCCCAAGCTATGTGAATGATGAGACACCAAGGTAAAATAGCAGCAAGAACCTACATAGTGAAAATCCCCTTTTGCTCCTAACCCTTGGGCAAATATGATCAGATACTGGCTACCAAGCTGTAATTAAAAACACAGTCACAAGGAGAGCATATCCCCACGGCAGGAATGTACACTGCAGTGAGAACATACAGCTGTGATAAAATACATCCCTGTAGTGAAAATTCAGACTTATACTGAGAACATGCCACATAGTGAGAATATATAAGTATCAGAAAAACATGCAGTTGTGGCAACAGTATGGGGCCGTTGGAAGGACACGCAAACAAAGAAATATAGAGACAGACAGAATGAGATAGAGATAGAGGTTGAGCAAGATCTATTCATCCATCTACCTATCTGCTGTCTATCTAGAGACTGAGAAAACAGGACTTCAGGGACCACACAGAGATGTAGAAAGAATATCCAGCTGTGGGGCTATCACAGAACTTCAAGGTCATGTGACCATGAAGAAAATATAGCTGAACTCCTAAATCAAAGTGTGAGATGTATTTTCCACAGCTGTTGAGAGAGCACAGAAGATGAGAGAACACCATTATGTGAAGGAAAAAAAAAAAAACAAACCCAGCCAAGGTGAGAATGTTCTGTGTTCGTAAAAGCATCAGTGTGAGCCACCTACTCAGCATAGGATGGGTCCTCTCCTCTCGGAAATCTTTTTCTTCTTCTGACTTGCGACCCATTCTTTCTGATCTTGCGCATCTTTGACAGCACATGGTCTATCCTACCTTCTCCACTGTCTCTCTATCCACGATCTTTCAGCCTCAGATGTAACTGGTAACTGCCTCAGTTGCTCTCTTTTTCTAGTTGTCTTTCCAGAGAGGGAACTGGACTGGCCCAGCCCAGATTTTTATTCCAGAATATATTAAAGTGGCTGCTGCTCAGTCTATGCATTGGCTCCTGAGGTACTAGAGGCTCATCTCTCGCTTCCTTGGCTCTTCTGCTCAGAGCAGCTTAGGGCTGTTTCTCAAAATAGGGACCATGAGTTTCAGCAGGGGTGGGGGGGAAGATGAATATGGAGGTGCCATGACAAACCCAGTAAACAACCATAAAAAGAAGCTGTGACTGCAATGAACACACCACCTACTTACCCAATAAGTGCTTACTGAGCACCCAATAGGCCCTGGGCATTGTCCTAGGCACTGGGATATGGTAGTTGACATGGCACGTGAGACACTTGCCCTCCTGATGTGTGCCAGAGGGAGAGGCTGATGAGAGACAAAGAAGGAAGGAGAATACTTCTGGTTGGAATGAATGGCTATGAGTGTTTTGGGAGCATCAGAATATTTCTCATTCTCAAATACCATTTGGTGCTCATGTGAGCACATTTAGAAGTGGTTGAAGTTTTAAAATATAAAATAAAATTTTAAATGTAAAATGTGTGAAGAAAATAAGACAGGATAATAAGATAGAAGTGAGCACAATGAGGGGCATATTCTTTGAAGAGATGGTTTTTGAGCTGAGATTTCCATGATAAAGAGGAATTAGCCACACACAAAGCACTTGGTGGAAAACATTTTTGAGAAGGACAGCAAATATTGTGAGAGATCAGGAAAGAATATCAGTATGGCTTGAGCACATTGAAGGAGCAGGTAAGTGTCTTGAAAAGAAGGAGGTGGGGGCCAGATTACAGAGGCCTGGTAGCGATTTTCAACTGTGAAATGAACCCTGGAGGAAGCCACGACTGGCGCTGTGGTAGGTTCTGACTTATTTTGTAAAGATCATCCCAGCTTCTTGGGGAGCTCAGATCATAGGAAAATGATCAAGTACACAGGGCCCCAGCGAGTACTTCCTGCAGTTGTCCAGATTAGAGGTAACGACAGCTTGGCATCAGAGGTGGTGAGGAAACACATATTGGAGATGGACCACCAGCATTAACCAGTGCATTGGATATTGGTTGGAGAGGGGAAGGGAAAGAGAGGTTTTAAAAATGACTTAGCTTTGGGGGACTAGGCAACTGGGTGATGAGTGGTTCCTTTTTGTAAAATTGGGAAAAATCTAGGGGAAGAGAAGGGGTCTGTATGTGAGAGAGAGAGTGTGTGTGTGTGTGTTTATTTAGCGGGGGTAGAGAGTTTGGCCATGTTAGTTTTTGGTGTTAGGTTAGGCTTTTGATGTCTAATGGGTATGTCAGGTTAAGCAATTGAGGTTGAGACTGAAACTCAAAAGAGAGATCATCAGAGCAAAAGAGAACCGCTCGAAGTCACCACCTTGTAGACAGTAGCTAAAACCTAGACAACGTGAAACCACCAGGAGAGTGAGGATAGACGGAGAAGAGGCTCACACCAGGGGATTCCAATATTAGATTTCAGGCCAAAGAGAAGAGAAGTGGAAAAGATAAGAGGAATTCTTAGAAGCCAAGATCCAGAGGAGATACTTAAAGACGGGAGTCGTGAGCAGTCAGATGCTGCTGAGAGGGGGAGTAAGGTGAGGACAGCAGTGACCCTGAGATCTGGCAAACGGGAGGACAGTGGTGCCTTAAGAAGAACCACTACAATGGAGAAAGGAAACAGAAGCATAAGTGAAATGGGTTGAGGAAGAAAAGATAAGTGGGAATGACACAATTCTTTTAATAAGTTGTTATGAAAAAGGGAGAAGGAAATTAGGGTGCTGACCTGGCTGCTCCCTCACTCTTGCCACCTCTGGCTGTAGAGAATACAGCCAGAATGAGAACATTCAGTGGAAGCTCGTGTGATTCTTCTCTTTTAATTGCTGGTCACTATATTTCATTATCTACACTGACTCATGGTCATCTGAGATGATAGGAGGCCCCAACCACTGGCCTTACCTGGCAACTTGGCCACTGTTCTCCATGCTTGCCCTTCTGTCAGGCTTCTACCAATGTGGTTCTAATCAGGTCTCAATGCCCAGTTTTTCTGATCAAGTCTGGCTCTATCTCATCCTCTGGCTGGGCCTCTTCCTCCTTGGCCTCTGGTTTCACACTTCCCACCCTCTCAGGACAGATACCTGCATCTGTCACTAGCCCCTTTCACTGCCTGGTCTTTTACCACCACATTAGAGGTTGCTCTGCTCACCCACAGGGTCCCATTACTGGCGCGTGGACACCAGGCGGGATGGGTGGCATAGCTGGCCCATTGTTCACCAGTGGCCCCAGGGTCCTTCATCAGTGGATGCTGCCTTTTCCTGGGAGGACAGAGTCTATCTGATCAAGGTAAGTCTTGGCAGAGAGACTGGTGGAGACTGGGAGACTATCCAGCTGTTTGCTGATTAATGTCCTTTGTGCCCCAGGACACTCAGGTCTACATCTTCCTGACAAAGGGGGGCTATACCCTAGTAGATGGTTATCCAAAACGGCTGGAGAAGGAACTTGGCAGCCCTCCTGGGATCAGCCTTCCATCTGTAGATGCGGCCTTTATCTGTCCTGGGTCTTCTCGTCTTCATATCGCAGCAGGTGAGGGGGTCCTGAGTGCTAAGGGGTGGCTTTTTTGGATACCTCTTCATGGCAACGATTCCCAGCAGGGCACAAGAAGGGGTAGGCCATGATCTCTATGTTGTGGAGGCCATGCTATATCTCCTGCCTTCTTCCCAGGACGGAAGTTGTGGTGGCTGGATCTGAAGTTGGGAGCTCAAGCCACGTGGACGGAGCTTCCCTGGCCTCATGAGAAGGTTGATGGGGCCCTGTGTGTGGACAAGCACCTCGGCCCCAACTCATGTTCTGCCAGTGGCCTTGGTTTGTACCTTGTCCATGGCCCCAATTTATACTGCTATAGTGACGTGGAGAAACTGAATGCAGCCAAAGTCCTCCCCCAGGCGCAGACGGTGGGCAGCTTCCTGGGCTGCAGGCACTGAGAGAGCTCCTGATGGGCTCCAGGCCCCACCTCTTCTCTCTGTTTTCCTTACTATAAAGCCAGCATGCTACTTTGCTTGAATAAAGAGGCCCTGGCTGTGGAATAATATCATGTCTGTCTTTGAGCTGAAAAGTTAATAACATCTCTGTTGCAGCTTTCAAGTTCAAATGAGGCTATGGGAGGCAAGTAAGGGGAACACTGAGGGGCAAACCTCATTTGTGCACAGAAGATTCCTAAATCCCAATTATGAACTGCCTTCTTGCAGAGTATTGACACATACAAGGAAACAGGACCAGAAACAGGAAAAGGAATTACCCTGTTTACACAGCAAGTAAGAGGCAGAGCAGAGTCTGACCAGGTTTTTGCTAATACCTGACCACAGCTTGGCCCCAGGGAATCTGGAAAATAGGGTGGGGTGGGGGTCAACCGTGCACATGCAAAGTGGAATGGCTCAGAGATGTTAGGGGGGCCATGGGACTCTCAAATAATGGGTCCAGGAGGTTCAGGTAGCACCACATCAGAAGAGGAGGCTTTGATTGCCATGACCAGGTATAACAAGTGGAAGGCTGTAGAGGTGGGAAAGCAAAAACATGGCCTCTATCAGAGGCAAACAGGGGTGAGGGGAGAAGGAATGATCCAGAGGCTGGTCCTTAAAAGATCCACTTGCAGAACTCAGCCTGTGGAGGGAGGTGTGTGGTGTGTGTGATGTGGGGGTGGGTCTTCTGGCTCCTGTCAGTCCCCTGGGTGTCTGTACCATCCAGTCAGGTGAATATTAGCTTGGTGGAGGTTGCAATGCTTGGTTCTTTTCTGGTCATAAACTGACCAAGGGTTTAAGTTTCAAACTTGCTGACACCTATTTGACTGGGGGTGGGGCTGGGCTATAGGCATCTGGGGCTCAGGTGAGACCCTTTTCTTCCTCTGCCATTCCAACACAGTTTAAGTCGGAGGTTTATTATTTTAGGGCACAAAAACTAGTCTCAGATGTAGGAGGTATCCTCCATCTGAGCTTCCATGTCCTAGCCTCAATGACCTCTTCTGTGAAATGGGTAGAAAACTGCCCACTTCCTAGTGACAATGAATATGAATTCAAACTCACCCCCTGGACAGACTCAGGAAGGAGCTCTGGAAGTAGACCCACACTCTGGCCCATGGACTCACCTGCACCTGCTTCTGCTGACCTGTTATCCCATTGCTTTGTGGGACTTTGATGGGTAGAATAGACGACTGACAAGCTCTGACTGCCACAAGGGGCTCTGCACTGGGAGGCCAAGGCTAAATAGTGGTTCTTGATGGGCTCCAGGCCCCTCTAATTCAGGACTATCTAAGGTTTCTTCATCAGCTTTGATGGCTGGGCAGATGCAGGGGGTTGAATCTGGGCCAGTTAGAGAGGGTTCACCCAGGATGTGAGGTTGGTTGGGGCTAGGAATAGAGCTTAGAGGCCAGGCCCCCAGGCCTGGGGCTCCCATCCCAAGGAATAGTTTGAGCTTTCCTCTTTATTGCTGGTGGTGTTTAGATGGTTTGCCCAAGGGAGGTTGACACCCCTCCTTCATTCTGAGGGGTGAGGACAAGACCAGAGTCCAAGTCTGGAACTTACTCAGCCCACGTGCTACAGCTGGAACACTGTTCCAGGGAGCCTAACGGTGTCGATACAGTCATCCAGCAACTCTGGCACTCAAGGTTCACTGCCTTCTTTCAGTCCAAAGGAGAGAACTGGGCCTCCCTAGTGGCGCAAGGGGTTAAGCACTGCACTGTGAAGCAATCTGCAGCTTCTGCAGCATGAGTTCAATCCCAGCCGGCCAGAGAGTAACCCACATGGCAAGGCAGACCTCTCCTGCCTCACCCGCTGCTCCCCTCAGCAGTGTATTTCAGTCAGTCTGCCTGTTCTGCTCCCCGCTCTGTCTCTAGTGAGTCCTCTCACCCCTCCCTCCTATCTCTGGCCTGTACCCCAGCTCTTGTGTGAAGAAATAAATAAATCTTAAAAAAAAAAAAAAAAAAAACAAGAAAAAAAAAAACCAAAGGGGAATACTAAGTCTCTTCTTTCTTCTTCCCTTCCACCTGTTCTGTTGTAGAAAAGGCTTTAGTTTGTCTCCAAAGAACTTCCAGAAAAGGTGCAACTCATGCTTTTCTTATCCACTCATTCAGTACCTCCTACATGTAGAGCACCGTGTCATGCAATTGGCTAAAAACAACAATCAGATGGTCCCTAACCCCAAGAATCTTCCACTCTATCACAGTCAGGAGAGGACCACAGACAAGGGCCCACCTAGAGCCCAGCAGTCAGGTGAAACAGACATAAACTGGAAAACTTTTTACACAGAGGAGAGTGGCGCCAGCAATACGTGGGATGGAGAAGAAGTAGAAAGGCCTCCTAAACAATACAACACTTAAGCTGAGTTTTTTTTTTTAATAATAAATTTTATTTTATATTCCCCATACAATTGCTACCCCCCCATTCTGACCCCAATCCCTCCCCTCCCGCCCCCACCCCCCAAAAAGTGTCTCTGGTTCATAGTTCTTTGTTGATTTTGATTTTCACTCTCTTATAGTTATTCATTTTCCTGGTCCCTTATTTAAGTTTTCTAGATTCCTGCTATGAGTGAGACCATCCGGTATTTTTCTTTTTCTTTCTGGCTTATTTCGCTGAGCATGATCCCTTCCAGCGCCATCCATGTTGCTGCAAATTGCATGTGCTTATCTTTTTTGAATGCTGAGTAATATTCCATGGTATATATGTACCACATCTTCTTGATCCAGTCATCTATTTTTGGGCATTTGGGCTGTTTCCAAAGCTTAGCTATTGTAAATAGTGCTGCTATAAACATAGGGGTGCAGGTGCTCTTTGGAATTGATGTTTCTGTGTCCTTTGGGTAAATACCTAGGAGTGGAATCGCTGGATCATATGGAAGCTCTATGTTTAGTAGGTCCAGAAATCTCCACTCAGCTCTCCATAGTGGTTGGACCAGTTTGCACTCCCACCAACAGTGCAGAAGAGTTCCTTTTTCTCCACACCCTCGCCAACATTTGTTGTTGCTAGTTTTTTTAATATGTGCCATTCTCACTGGTGTAAGATGGTATCTCATGGTAGTTTTGATTTGCATTTCCCTGATTACAAGTGATGTTGAACATTTTTTCATATGCCTGTTGGCCATTTGCATTTCCTCTTCAGAGAAGTTTCTTTTTAGCTCTTCTGCCCATTTTTTGACTGGATTATTTTCTTTGTTGTTGTTGAGTCTCATCAGCTCTTTGCAGATTTTTGTGATCAGTCCTTTATCATTAGTGTTGTATGCAAAAATGTTCTCCCAGTTGGTGGGGTTTCTCTTTGTTTTTGTTATTGTCTCTTTTGCTGTGCAGAAGCTCTTTAATTTGATGTAGTCCCAGCTGTTGATCTTTGCCTTCACTATCACTGCTTTGGGTGATGTGTCTGTAAAGATGTCTTTGATGTGCAAATCACGTAGTGTTTCACCTATATTTCCTTCTATGTATTTTATGGTTTCAGGTCTTATGTCTACTTCTTTCATCCATTTTGAGTTGATTTTTGTGTATGGTGTGAGGTAGTGGTCAAGCTTCATTCTTTTGCATGTAGCGACCCAGTTTTCCCAGCACCATTTATTGAACAAACTTTCTTTGCTCCAATGCATAGTCTTTGCTCCTTTGTCAAAGATTAGGTGACCATAAATCTGTGGGTTTATTTCTGGATTTTCTCTTTGATTCCATTGGTCTGTATGTCTGTTCTTGTTCCAATACCATGCAGTCTTGATGATTATGGCTTTGTAGTATAGTTTGAAGTCTGGGCGTGTGATGCCTCCATTCCCTTCTTTTTTTTTAGGAGAGTTAAGCTGAGTTTTAAAGGTTGAGTAAGATGTACGTAATTTCTTTAGTAAATAGTTGTTCACTGCCTACTATGCGCTTCCAGGCCAGGGAGAAGCACAGGCAGTGGAAGAAACAGGAGCAAAGGACAGCCAGTGAGAAGAGAATCAGGGGTGGGCACTGCAACTGCTCTGGAGGACTGAGCACAGGGTGCAAGTGAGAGGCAGGTGGGAAATGAGGAGGGAGGAGGCAGGAGCTTATGAGCTCACAGGGGCACTTCCATATCAGGCTAGGATGGATTTTGCCTAGCTTTGGGACTACAGAGACCAACTGAGGGTATAGACAAGATAGTAAGGTGACAAATTTACATTTTAGAAAGATTACTCTGACTGTGGCAGAGTGGCTATGGGGCGAAAGAGACCAGAGTGGGTATGAAGAGATCACTGAGGAGGTGGGTGCTGTGGTGGGAGGTCATGCAGGCCAGAATATTGGGTGGTAATGGAGATAAAGAGAAGTAGGAAGATTGAAAAATCAGGGCCTCCCTGGTGGTGCAAGGGGTTAAGAAGCAACCTACAAAGTTATCCGCAGCCACTGCAGCACGAGTTCGATCCCTGGCAAGGAGCTACCCACATGGCGCAGCAGACCTCTCCTGTCTTGCCCGCTCCTCCCCTCAGCAGTGTATTTCAGTCAGTCTGCCTGTTCTGTTCCCCACTCTGTCTCTGGTGAATCCTCTTATGCCCCGCACCTCTGGCCTACACCCCAGTTCTTGTTTGCGTAAATAAGTAAATCTTTAAAAAAAAAAGAAAGAAAAGAAAAATAGTTAGAAGATAGTCTGTTTGGGCTGATAGATGGCCCAGGGAGATGAGGAAGAGTGGGAATACCACCTCCAAACTGCTTGATGGCTCCTCTGGCCTGTTCATTATTTTTCCTCTTCTTCCCAAACTCTCCATGGTGCCCTCTCAACTCATATTCGTGGTTACGAGCTTTTTTCTCTTTACCTCCAGCTCTAATTGAGAGCAGGCGACATGCAAGTGAGTCATACGAGTTTATGGCCATCATCCACCAGCCTCTGACGATGTCCACCCGAATGCTCAAGTGACCACGTCATCTGGCCAAACTCTGTCCCTCTTCATCATTCACAATTGCTCCACCTGTGAAATTCTTAAATTCCAACATTCCACTTGTGACCACCACCTCCAGTCCATTTCTTTCTGCCTCATCACAACTGCACTTTCACTCTCCTGCT